CAAACCACCAGCAAGAGCCCAGCTTTCGGGAACCTGCAGATTTGCACGGGTGCTTGCGCATATTAGGTTGTATAAAAGAAGCTTATCCACCATCAACAACAGTACCTCATACCTTGCTTTACAAGGTGGGCATAGACGCAATGCGGCCCAGGAAATGTCCATTCTAGGAAATATCCATTTTTCAACCGGAATGCGCCGCGAGGTGCAATGTGATAATGGCGCAAAACTACCTCGACATCCCAGCTCGTTCATGCCGTACGACGCTGCTAAATGGATATGCTACTGCGCTATGCCGGGGACTAAGCTACACAAGGAACCGCAGATAGTCGTATCAGGCCCGTGAATAGCACCATAGTCCGGCTGTTTTGAGCGGTAGTCGGCTCTCATGCAGGTCAAATTAGGTGCTCGATTCCTAGTAAGCTTGAATATTAGCTACTTTTTGCCGAGAAGGCTGCTCCGCGCTCGGTGGTCGGTATGGAGCAACTATCGCTGGCGTTACACCACCGCCCCTGTCGCCTAGGCAAATCTTGGTATTCACTTCTGCCCGCCATTGGTAAAGGTGCTTTCGCAGAATTGTGCCAAGTACAAAGAAGTGCCATTTTTCAAATGATCACATTTAAACAGATATAAGCCCGATAAGGAAATCAGGGCACTTAGACGAATAGGTAATGACAATCTAAATCTCGCTAAGTTTGTAACTGTACAGCTACAGCGGTGGCGACCGGGATGGAGAAGATATGGGTAGCTCTATGGGTAGAGAGACGGTGGAGATATGTGCCGCTCACATGCCTTGCCTGCCAATTCAAAGGTCCCTTTAGCAAGCTCCTCAGCTCTATCTGGCTGAGCATCGACCGGGTCTATGATGGACTTTTGTATATGCTCTTAGCTCATTCAGTAAGGTCGCAAATGAACTTGTTGGTTGGTTCTCATTGTGGCTGACTGACTGCGACGGGTACCTTTTTTAACCTGCCGCTTGCCAAGATAGTGCTGTCTTAATAATATGGGGCTGCCCTTCGGTCTATATTAGTGCTACAACTCTGTCTGTCACTTATCGGCTTTCAAGTGTGCGAGGAAAGAGTACAAATGGGCAAAAATTCCATTTTCGACTACAAGATGCTCTATAAGTAGGCCAGCCGTCACCAGTAAATGAGCTTTAACGATATCCAGGCGTCTGTAACGAAGAGAAAGATGGATGATGTGGCCATCGCTGATCGCTATACCAATTCAGAGGCCTGGATTCTAATCAAGAGAAATGCCTGAATCATCCTGACCAGAAGCTTAGCCAAGAAAGTTGGCGCGTCGAAGTGTGCGGAGAACCCAGGCCACATACCTAATAGGCATACGGAGAACATGAAGGCCAAGAAATGGGGACAATTTAACCTGGATAAGGGCTAACTAACGTTTGACATGTTAACCACAGGGATCTTTTCCTTCATAGCCGCAACGCTACCCCCAGATTCGGCATTCAGAAAAAAGTTCCTCGGAGAGCTGGATCGATCCACTCGTCGAGCGCCCTTTCGACCCATTGCATATAAGTAGACGCTCTTGGCATGCCAAGAGGAGCGACAAAAATCCCTTTCTTTTTTGCAGTGGCGAAATAGCGAGAGGAATATCCTACTGGATAATTCCTTGGCTGTTGACAAGGCCTGCGCATTTTGCACTGGCCGTAGTCGGCGCGCGCCTTCTTGTAGGACTGAAGAGCTGACATTTTCTTTGCCGTCAACATAGCGCCTGAGACAGTCAGTCTTGTGGGCATCTCAATCTGAGGAACAAAAGATACCATTTTTAATAACCCTTTTCATCTGCTTGGGATTACGCCACCATCTTTCTAAGATGTCCTTGGCAAATGTTCTATAAACCACTGAGCTAATTCGAGCCCTCAACAGCCCGGTGCCCAATATTGGATTGTGACCTCGAGATTGATAGAACGCCAATGTGTACAATGCGATTTAATTGGCAGCCCTGAAAAATTCAATCAGCGCAGTATTCCTATTTGCAATATCTCTATATTTCCTATCTACAAATTTTTAAATCGAAGGAGCCTTTTAATTGGCAATGGCTTAGGCTAAGACTTTGCTATCTCATAGAAAGGGTATCTAAATCATGGCGTGCCCACTCATTCCAATTGTTCCATACCACGTTAGCTTTATATAACTACTTTTTTACATCATTGGTAGTTAAGCTAATACAATAACAGCTAATTTTTCTTTTATTTCAATGGAAGAGTTAAACTAGACAGTTATCTTGCTCTGGGTTAGTCATTCAAGATGGCCGAGTCCTGGTTGCACCGCGAACAGCAGTGACAAGATCTACAGCCCAGACAATACATATTTCGAGGTTTGGAGACGGCAAGAATCGCCCAGTATGAATGAGACAGGTGTAAAAATAATAAAGCTCGGTTCCGTTCTCCAAGCAGCCCAACCCTACTGTTGCAGACAGCTACAAAGCTGAATCTTACATGGCAGACACCTTAGAGGCCAAGGTCCGACTTGCGTTCAAACTGCGATGACTGCTGAGACTCCAGGGCACTAGTGCATGCCGTTATCGGACTATGGTTCGCGATGTTTATATGCATACATCATAAACCAAGCAACACAGCGTTAATCTGCTAAACATATGGATTATACAATCGAGGCACAAACGAAATTTTGCTAGCAGGAAGCTGCGATTCATCATTGCAATTGTCAAAGGTTTAGAACATAGCCAAGCATCTCATATTAGCCACTTCAGCAGCCATACTTCAACGTTTAGCTTTAGGAAAGAGACAATTGACTAACGTGTCCCTAAACCAACTAACTGCATATCATGTTGAAGAAAATTTACTCTGCCTTCGTAACAGTTGAGCGCTATTCAATCAAGTACCTTTGTTACATCACGTCTAAGGGTAAACAAACTGTATTCACCATTTATTCTTAAAAGTCATATACGCAATTCTCTCTCATTCAGTTACAACGTTTATAACAATTTTTCTGGCCACTGCACTTATTTTAATGTGATCATAATAGACTTAACAGCCAAATAGGATCTTGGCTTGCATTTATTTATATGCCTATATTTTCTTACGCTTCTATCGTTGCCGTCATCTTATATATACAAATACTATCTCTTTCAGTTTCACATACTTTACTTACCCTATTACTCGAGGGATTTCCTCTTAATTCTCTTCCGCTTGGTGCTCCCCTTTTTAGCCACCATCTCTATCGCTATTGTCATCACTTCAACTTCATAATTCTTCACGTAATATTTTCTTTTACTCATCATTTCTTTATCTTCGTCTACCTTAGTTTGGGGGTAGGAGAGGAAACTTGTAGAATAGCTGAGTCAGTATCCCCGAAGCGATGAGCTTATCCCCGAGGCCAATGCACCCCTAAGGCGCTAGAGATATTCTATCTGGGGCAACAGACGCCCGAAATGTTAAGCCCATTGCCCGTACGGGAGTTGGTATTACGTGGGAGCGGGAGCCGCTAATATGGCTAATGGTTATGGACGGTATATCCAGAAACTTGCCTGTTAGGCAAAAGAAAAACACGAAAAGTATGATCCCAAAAGTTAACATAACTCGCGATGGCTCTGTATAAACAATAATAATATTAAAACGTCTTTTTAATAAGAAGATTCAAGTTACAGACATACACTTCCAGAATCATCAGGTCATTAGTGTCGATGTTCGGCAAAGATCCTTTCATATAAACTGACCACGCAGGAACGAATACAAGTGTTTACGCAAGTACTCTTTCTTACGCTAATATTCTCTACCAGTGCTTCTCTGCAATATCCACAGTGTTCACATCAACACCGTCCTTGAACCACCTCTCTTCATCGCTAATCTTTACATCATTTCCACTCATCTGGCGCTTTCTCATAAGTCCATTCTCTGCAAAAGTCCAGTCCTCGAGGCCATACGTGCGCCACCACTGACCGGCTTCATCATACCACTCATACCAGAATTGCACTGCAATCTTGTTATCTGTGAAGGCAAAGAGCTCCTTTCGTAGGCGATAGCTATTCTCCCTCTTCCATTTATCTGTGAGAAACTGCTTAATCTCATCGCGGCCCGTCAGAAATGTGCTACGGTTACGCCAGATGGAATCCGGGGTGTACGCCATTTTGACGCCATCTGGGTTTCTATAACTCTTAGTAAGTAAAGCCAGTTGGAAGACAGGGGAAATATGGGATATACAAACCTGGTGTTCCAGGCATCTTGGGCGGCCTTGACTTTAATTTGGGCCGTCTCTGCTGTGAATGGGGGGTATGGGGCTCTTCCTTCTTGCGCGGCCATTGTGAGCAAGGATGCAGTCGTGAAGAATTGCTTCAGTTGTTGAGTTGTACAATCAATGAAGAAGAAGCAACGCTTGGCATTCTACGCATGCTCTATTTATGTAAAATCTGAGTTTGCCTCTCTTTTCATTTATACTTCTTATCTCAGCGCCGCAACTAAGGCAGCTTGGCCCGAATCTTCCAGCGCTATTAGTACAGCGTCGTAATATTTGCTTTAGCTCATCTAGCGTGGGTTACATCATTGAATGGCCGCTCTCTCTTTGCCAGCGGCACAGCAGCGGCATAGCTATCGGTGCGGTTGTCGGCAGTTATGGAGAACTTTGCGCCATTTCCGCGGTATCCGCCCGGAAACACAAATAACGTTAGCTATCGAATAAGATGAATAGGAATGCGCTACTTGCGCCGAATTGAAGAGTTTCAGCAATTGCATGTTACAATCCTAAAGGATAACATGATTCATTCCGTTAGAACTTTGGAACCACATATTGCACTTTCGGTACTTCGGTACTTCGTAGACCACTACTCTTTAGAAGCTGTTGCACGTAAAAGTCATAGTAAATATATCAAATGCAGAGACAAGTGGTTCCAAAGGAATTGTGAACTAGCGTTACAAGCTTCAATTGTTCTAAACATTCATCGCTAACTACTTATACAGCATAAGCTTAATGTAGCCCTCAAGGCTGCACGTTGCGTCATGTACAGCTTGATCAGTTTGATTACCCATTCCTATTCCCCCCATGTCATTTCAAAGTCGCCCTCATGCGGCAGTCAAAGTGCCGGCCTCAATGTTGTTGCCAATGGGGTCATGGATGAAAGAGGCGTAGTACTGAGGGTGGATTCCAGCTCGAATACCGGGAGCTCCATTGTCCTTTGCGCCCGCAGAAAGAGAGGCGGCGTGGAAAGCATCAACAGCCTTGGTATCTATAAATAAACAGTTAGTAGTCATATCAGTTGAAAGGATGCACAGAAAACTAGATGGGGCGAATATGTGAAGGAAGAATAATATCTTTTTACTTACCCGCTGCTAGGAAAGCGACGTGAGCGTAGCTGGACTTGTCGCTAGATTTCAGGACGAACTCAGGTCCGGCGGTGCCAAAGCCAACCATACCCTCTGGGAAACCGGGAAGTACGTTCAATCCGAGAGTCTTGAGGACATTGGTATAGAATTGAACAGTGGGGGCGAAGTCAGCCTGAGCGACCTTGACGAGAACGTGTCCGATAGGCATTATAGTTGTAGCGGATGAAGGTCTTAGACTAAGTTAAAAATGGAGATTTGGTGTTGTAATTGTGTTAAATTGTCTTGATAGAAGTTGAACGTTAGTTGTGTGTATTGTATTTCGATTCTAGGGGGGATCGCTTCATGGTCTTATATACGCGACCTCAAGACGTTGCTCTTAGTCTAGTTCGAATAGATTTGCTTCATTATGCCCAGCACGGATGCTGATAAATCACAACTTCAGAGCGAGTACCCAAAATCTATCAATGATTACACATCTTTCATCACCAAATCCCACTTCAATACATTCAGTGGTATCACCAGTTGCTACTTCGCAGGCTTTCCGCCAGGATCCAGCTGAGTCGGAGAAGCCAGAATGGCGACGCTAATACCATTTAGGTAACCAGTACCCTTGTCATCTTCGGCTGGTTGGTCGGCAAAGACAGCGTTGGAAGAAATAGAGTAGGCACTAAACTTCTTGAAGAGGCTGGTACCCTGGTACTGAGAGTTGCTGAAGTGTTGCCTATTTAGAAGTTTCGGTATATATATGCATCTCCTCGTTGGAATCTTAAGATACAAAGCAATCGCTTATACAAGTCGTTGAACTAGTAATTGATAGTTAAGTCGTGGGGAATAGCCTATCCGTCACGATTACAATTACCTAGTTTATACTCCGTATACGTGAGTATAATTCAGCTTGATCTACCAGTAATGCTACAATATTATAAACAAGACGATCGCCTGATGAAAATATTCCAAATGCCTATTCCTTTCATATCGGATCAAGGTGTCTCCCAGTTCATCCTGCGGCACCAATCGGTGAAGACTTCTTTCGGCATTAGAAGATATCCGGTTGATGGCTCCAGCTGAGCATTTTCGTACCAGTCTTTCCACTTCGTTGCTGTAGATTGGGCAGTTCTTGCAACACTGAGCTTGATTGCCATGAAAAGTTCTGCCTGAGATTCGTTTGACAAATTTATCTTCTTTATCTGAAGGATGTTCGATGCATACTTCTGCGCCGTCTCTTCGCAGTAAGCATTCGCTATCGGGTCCAAAGAAAAGAGTAGTCGATTTATTACGATGGAGACAGCAAAGCTGAATCCGAGAGCCTCATGCTGCCTGTCTGTATCTATTGGCATATTAAAGCAGCCCGCTGCAGCTGACCCGAAATAGCTTTCTTGCCACTGCAAACATGCTAGTCGAAGTCGAAATAAATTGCTCATAACATCGTCAATCCAATAGTCAGGAGTATCGTCGCGAGTGACACAAATAATTTGCGTCGTTTTATGGAAATATTCCGGCACATGGCATACGTTGGTCAGTAGCGCTACAATTGGCTCACTCCTATCGGAAAACAGATTGTCGTTTGTAGGTATTGAGCGCAGCACCGCTTGCCATTCACCATCACTTAAGAAACAGCTCTGATTAACGTTGAGCGCGTCGTGAAACTAGATACATCGTTAGTAATCCAGATTCTACGCTAAATATATGCGGGAATGATGAGAGGGTTACAATTTGACCAACATGGGATAGCAGTAGTGCCTTCTCGAAGTCGCTCTGACAGCGTTCAGGGCCACGAAGTTTGATCAGTGCTGCTGCCCCTGTGGAGTGGTAGTTCCAAGCATCTTCCGTCGACATCTTCAACAGCTATGTAGTTCCGTAAGTAGAAATATTAGATATATTTGTTACGCGCATCAAGTTACCTCATATATTCCAAGTAGCTCTGTGGCACAGAGCACGTCTGGCCGAAGACGTGTGTCGGGAGACTGCAGCTCGGCTTGAAGAGCCGCCAGTGCTTCCGAGTAAAGCTTCAATATGCTACTGGATATCCGCTCCGATGGGGAAACAAGCCATTGCTGAGCTCTAGCGGCCACACATGCAGCAGCCTTGTCTAAGGCACCATTCTGCCCGATGCGGGCCGGAAGATAGTTCAAGTATGACCAATGCCGGCGGCCGAGAATATCGCTTAACATATCCGGTTTGCTTGCAAGAGAGCTTGCCGTCGCATAGCTAATGTGAAATGAGGTCAATTGTGACAGATCAAGAAGATCAAAGTTGTACTTCGCCCTCATTCTCTCGTACTGACAGCTCGGTAGGCTCGGTACGATGGCCCGAATTGCCTCCCAGGCGATATCTCTCTTTCCATTCCCTTTACCATAAAAGATTTCAGATGGATACTGTATCAGGTTATGCTGTCCATAACCGCCTCGTTTTCGTCTGGCATGGGCAGGTTTGCTCATAGCCTGCTTCCGTATAAGTTTCCTAGCCTGTTTATCATCGGGAAGCAGCCGATTAGTTGCCGTAATAAAAACAAGATCCGGCATGGTGTCTGTGTTGGCGATGAGGAATCAACTTTTACGAGTATACATAAGAGCCTTGCAGAAAAATACGGAGAATATCCGCTAGATTTAGAAAATTCGAAAAGAGTTCATGTTTAAGAGAGTTTCAGCCTTCAAGTGGCCATGAATGCCGACCGTCTAGTGTTCTTTGGGGAGCTCCACTTAAGAACTCGGATAAGGAAGCGAAGAGTGGCGTTGGATGCGGGGCAGCAAAATGACAAGGGTACTGGTGTCCATAACAGGAATGGTGTTTTACTTGTGGCCGTCGAGGGTAGAAGACTGATTAGTATATCGAAGACTCGAGATGGACCATGGCGAAAGCCAATACTTTTTCTACTTACAACCCCGAAATAATATTATGGAGAACCCTTGGTAATCGGTAGGATAATATGCAACCCTTCGTTTGGAATCATTCATATTCAGCCTCGGAAGGGCTCGATTCAGTTCCACAATCACTTACCCTGACGAAACCGGCTGCTTAATTGCTGTTTCGCCATAGCGGAAAGTGACGGCGCACAGAGCACAGTTTACAGGAGAGACAGACTTAGCTGCAACAGGTCATTTGTAGCTGACACGCTCTTGTTTCGAAATCAGACTTCCTTGTCAAACCAAAAGCAGGTTTCATTGTCATGGATTTCGAGAAGAGATAGTTATCAGAACATTGCTTCACACTATTCTATCACTAAAACGGACAATGGATGCGCAGCCAGTTCTTTCTGCTTCAACTCACCTATCTCCATCCCAGCAACATCTTCATTAATAGGGATTAGAACCTCACAATGATTATCGATCTTGAGTGGATGTATGCTTTGTCTGTGGAGATGTTTCACGCTCTCCTCCCCTCTCTCGCTCAACCTGACCCCCCTCTCTCAGAGGATTTCCCTTGCCGTGAAAATACGGCTGGGCCAGCAGTAATAGAGTCACAAAGCCTCAGGGTGGGTGATTCATGCCGCCGAATTCATTCCATCCACTTATCATAGTTGGTAGACGAGTAGGCACCTGTAAAACTTGCCGAGGCTGTGTATAGAGTCAAAGCTCTAAAAACTACTCAGAGAGCTTGCCAATCTTAAATCTAATAGAGAATAACACATTATAGTCTAGAAGCGGTATTCCATCGGCGTACATAGTAAGTTGAAGAGAAAATTGTGCTTAGGAGGCAGGGCTCGCCATGATAGCGTTCAGTTCTGAAGTTCTTTCCTATAGGCTTGATGATCACAGACCTTTCAAGAGTGTTGAAGATTATAACATCATCAACAGAGTAGAGGCTATGAGACAACGGTTTTATCCAGCGTCGTTCAATCTCCCGGAGAACCCAGCTCAGTAAATGGCTTAAAAGGGGAATAATCATAGGATCAAGCCAGTTAATGAAAAGTTTGGGTTGCATAATAAGTCCTGGGCATGCAACTTCAGGTAGTTATAGACCAGATCAAATTAGAGAAAGACATTGAAATATATAATCAACGCATTGAATTAATGTGAAATTTAAGAATAACTGTGTAGCCAAAATAAACCAGTATTAAGGGGGGTTGGAAATTTCTTCACGGATATCCGTGAAGCTCACCATCGGCCGCTTTGTAATGCTGCTTTTGGCGGGGTATCTCGAGCGTTTATGCGGACCATTTTCCACTCCAAAAGCACTAGATGCGGGATACGGAAGAAGGATTGCGACAAATTCCGCCAGGGTCCATGTTATGCATTTGGCGAGCATTTTTATAGTAGCTTCATATTTCCGATGGCCAGTTAACTGGAATTGATGTGATGAAAACTGCAGTCGCCATTTGGAGTGCAAATAGGTGAAGTCATCGTTCACGGAGAGCCATGAATAGTACAGGAAATTTATAAGCATGTATTCTAAGTTTAATCTAAGCAATACTTCAGCTTCGACAGTTATATAAAGATCATTTCAAACGGTCTCCAAGCGAATTTTATTCACTCAGTATTGATATCTTTCAATTAGATTTGACGACAACATGACTGCAGAAACTCTCTCACTTGAAGGCAAGACTGCCTTGATCACTGGCTCGGGTAGAGAAAATGGCATCGGCGCTGCCATTGCCAGAGCTTTTGCCCGGAACGGTGCAGCTGTTGCAATCCACTATGTCTCGGAGAGCTCCAAGGTGCGGGCTGAGAAGGTTGCAGCAGACATTAGTCGGGAGTTTGGAACCAAAACTGCCGTTGTACAAGGAGCGGTGGAGAAAGCTAGCAATGCGGCGAAGATAGTCAAAGAAACCTTGGAAGGACTTGGCGCCTCCCACATTGACATTCTCGGTATGTACTTGAAAAAAAAAATCAAGCTTTGTTAAATGAGACTTAGACAGACGTAGCTGACGATTAGCTGTGACCCAGTGAATAACGCTGGATATGGAAATCCTAAAAGTCTCCTGGAGGCAACGCCAGAATTGTTCGAAGCCGAATTCGGCATCAATGTCTTTGGCTCAGTTTACCTAACACAAGCTGTCATTGGACTAGGGAAAATGCCTAGAGGCGGGCGTATAATCAATGTCGGCTCTATTGCCTCAAAACTTGGTCCTGAAGTCAGTGCAGTCTACGGCGCATCAAAGGCTGCGCAAGACAGTCTCACGGCATCCTGGGCTGGCCAGGTGAGTTTTTCTTTTTGACAAGATTCCTATTCTCACAAGGATATACTGTTTCTAATGGCGAGTAATAGCTTGGCCGTAGCCGCGGAATTACCGTTAACACCCTTGCCCCGGGGCCAATCCTAACCGACATGTCGAAACCGTTCTTGGAGGCAACTGAAGGATCTTCAGCTGATTTGATGAAAGCGGTAGAGGCGGGGACGCGAGCTGAGGCACGAATTGGGACAGTTGAGGACATGGCCGACGCTGCGTTGCTCCTCGTTTCGGAGAAGAGCCGCTGGCTTACCGCTCAATGGATCTCGGTCAGCGGTGGAGTCACTGGGACTATGTAAATGGGCTTTCAGGCTGCCTTCTAAAATGGTCCGCTCAACCGAAGTAAAATCACGGCTACCCACGGGGTTTTGAAAGTTGTCTCTACCATACTATACGAGAGTAACCATAATATGGGCCAAATATAGTGAGATAAAATCGTGTTAAACTTATTCAAAGATATCTGGCCTTTCTTGCCGTTACCAGAGCTGACTATTGCGAGTCTGGAGTTTATTATCTCTTAATCCAGCGTAGTTGACGTTCCAAGTACGGTGCAGTGTTAACGTAGAATCATCCCAATCACGTCACTGTTGAAAATCACGATACTTGAATTATTCAGTGCTTTTGTAAATACTTAAAGTACACCATTGTGATTTGCTAAGAGATTGAAAGTTCCACAACAGTGATTAGGGGGTTTATTTACAGCTCTTAGACATGTGATTGTTATTGGAAGTGTAGTGGGCGCGACACGTGGTTCAGTTTCAGCTTCAAGGGCCAAATCAGCCAATCGTTACACTGGATAAGGTTAACGGTCAAGTATTTGATAGTGAAAGCGATACTTCGTATAAAATTGTGCCGAAACGCGAGAGATAGCCTTTGGAAAAGAGCTGTATGGAATTAGTTGAGCGGAGTTTAGGAAATATATGCGGACAAAGCTATCTAAAGATGGTATAACGACCCACATTATAATGCTACCGATCCCGCTAACTCGCACTTAAAAACGAGTAGGTTAGCCTAGCATTACTAAACTCCGGATTGCCATGCCTGACAGATGGGAATTAATAAGCATAATTGTTGCACGGAACTCCGTGAAATGGATCTTAGGGGTAAACACGGTAAAGTATACCTTCGGCATCCATACGGAATAAATGAATTCAGCAAAGTGCATTTCCAAGCACCAATAACACTAAGCCGCAAGATTCAACTGTAGCATCCGGTAACTGACAAAATGCACGAGGGGCAGAAACGAATACCTTCCAGCAACATTGAAGCAACCCGCCATTGTCCGCTATGTAAGAAAACATTCAACCAGGGTAGGGAATATCTGGAATCTCGTAAAATATTACTCCGTAGTTATGCTTATTTCTAAACACGCACTAATATCCATGTGTTAGAGTCCTCGTGCAAGCGGCACTACTACTACTGTCGCTCCAAACTTCCTGACACGAACAGATCTCGCAGGCGATCTTGCGCCGCATGCGTTCGAGCAAAAACTCGTTGCATCATACCTGAAGATACGAGCTCAGAGGCTTGCATTCGTTGCCGTGACCGGAGTGCCGAATGCGAGTTTTCTGTGGCAGCACAGCGAAAGAGGGAGTCTCGTGGAAGCGATGTAAGTGGTGCAACTCGCTCCGCGGATAAGCCTTCAGAGCCTCATGGGAGTACATCCTCTCTGGCCCTCATCAGAGGGTCCAGCCAATCTACAAACTTGGAAACCACCGCCTTTTCACAGGGCTCCGCTAATTCTTTGACCTCCCTCGGATGGTCAATGGAAAGCACGTGGGATGGTTTCAAAAATCCTGGCTTGTCTTTCGATACTCCACGGTTTGTTGAACTTGGTATCGAGCCTTTGGTTATTCCTTGGAGTGAAGGTGAAGAACCCTGCATAGTCGGGAGTGGCATATCTGCCTTGACACCATGGGATTTCTCTGGCCCTTTGTTGTTTAAACGTCGGACTTTTTCTAAGCCAAACCAAGGCCCCCTAGTGTCGTTGGCACTGCAGATATTGCGATCTTATCCCTTTATGATACTCCGAAAAGCCGCGCTGCCGCCGTTTATTAACCCTATGCAAGTCTCGTGGGCTGAGACTAGAATTGGCCCGCGACAACAGGTCAGTTGATGCGCTTGCCCACCCTCATATCCTTACACGCTTGTTATCAGCAAAGCTGAGCCACAGCTTGTAAATATCATAATCAAAATCCCCCATTTATATATTCGGAAATTCTCATGAATAATGTATTCCTACTAATATTTCCTCATTGAGCAGTCCTTACTTACGTGTATGAGCCTGGTGTCGCTGTTCAAATCTCGAACTGATTCCAGCAGGAATCTTGTATGGAGGCTTATCAAGCTTGAGCAAGAAAAAATACTTTCCAAGGTATGCGTCAGCTGTTGTTATTTTGAATTTAGGAATAACCATTACTAGCATGCGGAGTTCGATAAATGGGAGCTCCTGGCTGCTTTCCAAGCCCTGCTCGTATACTGTCTGCTGCGCATCCAGGATGTGCCGGTGAACAATGACGGCTTCGAAGCCGCCCTTCTCACTACCGTGAATGTAAGTACAATTTCTCCCTAAATCTAATATGCTCTCTGCTCTGACGACCATGAAAGCTTGTATTCATTGCTCTAATGTCGTCGACCGGGGGAGTCCGTAAGTCAGAGCTTCCCGATGACCCCGGCGTAACCTGGATGGACTGGATCTTCAACGAATCAAGGAGACGGTGAGCACTCCTGTCAACATATTATTGCCGTTTTAAATATAATTCATGCTGACCCACCGGGAAGGACGGTAATTATCTTTCAAATCCTCAATATTTTAATTGAGATGTCAACTGAGGTTTCTTCTTTTCCTGGTTGCGGCTTCGTTCTTATACCCCTCGCAAACAGTGCGACTCTATGGAATGCAAATTGTATTGAGGAATGGCAAAAAGAATTCGAAATCTGCAGTAAGGAGCGGAAAGTGCATGGCCTCTTGCGAACGGGAGTGTTGATGAAGATTCTGTTACCCAATAACTGCTTTGTACTCGAGTCGGTGGAGTGGGAAGACTGGAGGGGAGAGGTTGGTGAGATAGGAACACTCGTGATGATTGTGGGGGCGTTGTTGACTCCAACAAGAAATTGATTGTTCGCTGAGCTCTATCGGTAGGCGGCGATTGCGCCGGGTGGGTTGCAAAGCAGGAAGGCTGAATGTAATATTCACCTTTTTTCTTCTTTGGGTTATTCAGTATAGTATTAGTTATTATAAATATGATACACAGAGACTCTGCAATAGTAGTCTCCTTACTCGTCTACTTTTATATAGTATAAACCGCTTCTCCCTTTAACGTAACTCACTCTCACCCCATCCCCAAGCCTCTCGAATATCCTCTTTTCGCACGTCGTCCGGCTACTTCCGCTGTTATCCAGCTTCCACAGCAAAGGCTGCAGTGTAGCCGCCAAGCCAACACAGCTATGGTCCCTTATCGTTACCTTGCTCGCAATCACGGCCGCAATCACCGCCAGCAGCAGCTGCAGCCCGACCGTCAAACCCAAGATTATATGTACATACGTCCAGCTGGTGATGTCCAGCTCGATGCCCTTCAAGGGCAGCAATCCCGTGGCGTTGATATTTGTGTTGACTTGCGCCGTGATAGCAACGACACCGACAGCAAAGGATGCCATAAGCTGACCCATACCGGTATTATTGCCTCCTTGGGGTCCTCCGTAGTAAGATTCAGCTGGATAGCTCTGGAACTGGAAGTGCCTGGTGCTGTTGAAGCTGACTCCGATGGTCGAAGCGCCGTAGCCCTGTAGGGCGATGGCTGAGGCGGCCAAACTGGTTACGTTGACGCCGACATCCTGTAACGGGTTCTGGACATTAGTAACCGGCCCTATGGTGACGTTGCAGTTGTAAAACCACGGATCTGTTGCCGAGGCTTCAAACGCCAAGACATGCCCCCACGTCGGCCCGGACCCACGATCGGGATCTACCATGAAGGTTGTTTGCGATCCTCCATTCTGAGCGGGAATCGTTAGCTGGGTCTTGTTTGCGTTGTCAATGGTAATTGTGCGCTGTGTCCCATCTCCCCCCTTGAGAACCCTCCAACTCTGACATGTTGCCTGCGTAGATATCGATCGGTTCGTCGCCACCGACTGGTAGTAATCCAGGTTATCTGGTGTTGCTTCGTAGAAGACATAATAGCATGAATCCAAGTCACAATACATCAAATCTCCATCCGAGTTAAAGAGACTTCCGGCCTTGGGCATCTCATCGATGTCGCCGAATCCGTATGCAAGAGCGACAAGGCCATAGCTGAGTTTTCAATATTAGCCACGACAGCCTTCACGCCCCCACGTTCATATACTCACTTGTTTGCAGTGTATCTCAGAGCACTGATGGCTTGTGAATTAGACGATAGAACTTTGCCGGTCTGGATATTGCTCATGTCTGGTATGGCGACAATCCCAGGTGTGGTCACGGCGATTGTATCGGCCGAGTTAATGTTGTAAGTCAGGCCAAGCGTCGCGACAGCTATTTGCGAAGCCTAAATGAAGCCGTCACAATTAGCTCAAGTGTCCAAAAAACCATGCTTCATCTAAAAGCAAGAATTAGAGCATATTACTTACCACGTTGACCAAAACCCAGAACAAAACATACACCCTCACCCAGTGCCGACGCGTCACATAGCCCAGTTGGAAGAGACAGCTAAAACTTTCGCTCTGCAGGATATAATCGGCCTTTGGACGTTGAAGAGGCTCAAAATTAGCAAGGTCCCTGTGTTATGATCGTGGCGCAGCTCAACGTTGCCTACCTCTCTCGGCATCCACTCGTACCAACTCAGAACCCACCACCTCAACTCCCTCACGAGATGTTTCAAAGAACTCGCAATATTCAAACCCAGCGCGATAGACAGCGCAATAATCAGCGTGTTGAACTCCTTCTTCTTATTGCTGATCATGGCCGCCTTCCGCGAATACCGCCACAACACCAAGTACGTCCCCATTACCAACACCGCCGTCATAAACCATCGCACCAAGCACGCAAAGAGCAGCCGCTTCAGCTGATTCCTGCGCTTGAAGTACTCGTTGGAGAAACTGTCAGTGCGGCCATCGCTGCGCCAACTGTCGCTGCGCCAGCTCAACAGCGAGGGCGGGATTTTCATAGCTGTCACTGCCGTGCGCATCTTGGATGCGTGTTTTCCCTCAACCGGAGCGCCCGCACTCACTGGTTGAAATCGGTTACATATTCGTGTGGACTCGACTCGATGATAGTTGGCGGCAGCCAATTTATGAGAGTAGCTTTACTTTGTCTCTCTTCTGTCTCGAGACCGGCATCTGCCAATTTTGAAACAGGAGTTCACACGTGAAGCAGCTGGAGTAGAAAAATAGAATGAAACCAGACAGATTCACTTCCAGAATGTGTTTTTGTCAAGCTGAACCGTTAGAGTTCAGGCGGCACCTTTACAAAACCATACTAGCACCCTGATACTAGCAGCTCTCTGAACCACAAAAAAAATTGTTCGAGCAACAAAAAGGAAGGCCCCGTAGTTCCAGACAATCTGCCCCATTCTAATTTTGAGCCTCAAGTTGGTTGAGACACGGCCTTCTTTCTCTCTCCAGTGGTATTTTTCATTTCATTTCGGCATGGCTCATAAGTCTTACTCATTTGCACAAGAATTGTGGCAGTGCTCGTTTGGAGCCATACTTGATGTGGACTCGTAACGAATCGCGATAACCGTAGGGCTAGCCATTCTAAGTCGCCGAAGAGCGTATCCCCCTGGTTTTGTGAGGATAGATTCGGCAGATTTCCGCCGTGATGTAAAAGCTTGACTTCTTGTTTTTATTGTGCTGTTGAGAGCTGCTGCTAGCTATGCAATTGATTGTGGTGTGCTGCATAGCTCTCGCCACACACATAAGGTTATCCTTAGAGGATGAGCAATGTGGCGAATTGGTTCCCTTCGCACAATTAAGTGACAACTGGTCCTTCAGTCAGTACCCAGCACAGTGTTATCTTGCGGAAATGAATTGAGGCCTCACAAAGACCCTATAATAGTGTAGGCAGTCATCGCACGGGCCAGCAACCAAGTCAAGTCATCGGCAGCACCGTCACGCCGTTGCGTTCCATCGTCTTTTACCGGCACGGCCCAGATTTCCTGATCAAACTTGGCTCAGAATATCTTCTCCATTATTCCTTAGCTAATCAAGTATCCAATGACCATCTTCGTTTTAGAGCGTATTTGGTTCCGGAGGCCTGAGAGGCTCCTGTTTAACTCTTTGTGTCCATTCCATCACCGTTTCGACTTACAAAAAAACACGACACGGTTCTGTAAAATAGCTCATCCACGTCATTCCGTCATAGTTCATTCATATCCCATCAAGGCAACTATTCAACGCTGTCTCGGGGCCTTTTTTTCTTTTTTTCCCTTCTCTATTTATATACCGTGAAATATCACGCCACATAACAATAGTCTAGAGCCCAACGGCACTTGCAAGCCAATTGGCGGCATCAAGAGTCCCGCTCAAAATACTAACGAACCCCCCCTTGGCCAAGCTGAGCATAGCTTCTACCAGAGAATCTAGCTTGAGACACTTCCGCTCCAGCGGAGAAAACAGCATCGGCGATGTTGTCAAACTCAACAGCACTATTACGCATTCACGCAGCGCCGCGGAGTAACTGAGCGGTATTTCTCCTTCTCTTTCAGTCTTCCATGATGCGTATTTGCCTCTCGTTGGCGCAATTGAGCCTGCAGTTGGCATATGCGTCAGCACCCAGTTATGCATCTTGAAAAAAAGCAAGCACGCAAAAGAAAACAACTGAAGGAAAAGGGTCCAGTTGTCCCCCGTACAACGGCCGGTGGCCAAATGCGACGCAATAACTTGAAATGTACATACTACTGCACCACCGCACCAAGATCCATGTTCACGATGCACGACCCTCTCAATCAAGAATCTCGTCTCCACAGACATGGGCCCATTCCTCTCTCCACAAAGCTCATATAAGGTGCTTTTTCGCTGTTCTCCATCCCTACCCAGGTCGACAGAGCACGGAGCACGGGAAGCACTGAGACACACAGATTCGTCCCTCCACCAGGCAAAATGGTCCAGTCGCAGCATCTCCGTAGTACCCCAAAAAATCTTCATCGCTTAGTTACCTAGCTTCTAATCTGTCCATCTACTCCATAAATCCTTTCGCGATCCTTCCATCTCCATCTTTCCCGTTATCACTGTCATCCATTCACGCCCCCCTTGACTTGGCCTCATGTATGTACATGTACTCTACTCGTATCCTCGTTATCCATACCGTCATGCATCTTACACGTACCCGCCTCTTCACATACACTCCCCTAAAAAATACTTGTATGTATATGAAATACTACTACCACTAAAACAATACCAGTAAAATCAATAAAAGGGCCCCCTCCCCCCCCATCGTCAGGCATCAAGACGTAAGCAACCTTATAAAAACAGCCACTCCTCTCTCAACACATGTTCCCTCTTCCCCCTTCTCATGCACATCCGCCCAAATGCACGACGAATGCACGTCGGTCGCTTGCTTGCTTGCTTGCTTGCGTTCTGCCGTGCTTCACTCCTCTCTCATACGAGAAGCTCTCTCCCCTAGCCTAGAGAGAGCCGCTCCCTCAACTCAAGTTTCTCATGTCATACTTTTGTTATAGCCAGTTCCCTCCGTCTTCCAACCTCGTCCGATAGGTTCGATGAGACGGAGGAAAAGTAAGAATAAAGATTATACGCCCTGAGATGAGATATTGAGATGCATATCACGGCCGCAGCGAGGAGGGAACAGAAGCACTGCCCAATCCCAGTCCATGGCTTGACTTTCATGCACGTACTTCGCCCCCCGCAAAGTTGCCGAGCTCGTCGCCGCCAGTGCTTACAAAATGCTTTCCTCTGAATGACAACGATGGGAGAGATGCCGAATAGCGGATATGTTGCCTCCCTTCTAGACCCTGCCAAGCATGTACAACTCCGTAGTGAACATGGTGAACTACCGAAAGGCCAGGATCTAAGGCTCCAGCTGGGGTTTTGCTGGCAGTGGTCCTCACGCCACGTCCCCCAGGCAAAGGCCGCCACCAAGTGGGCCGTCGACTATCCATGAGAAAAAGCCAAGTCTGCCATGCAGCATGGACAGGTCATCACATGGAGTCACATGTAATCATAATTCACACGAGGGACACAGCATACCACAAGGGCGTCGTAATTGAGGAGCATAATATCTTTTTTTTAATCTAGGCAATTCCATTTATGTCTGATCTCTTTGTAGTAGTAGTAGTACCAGAATGCCTTTTGAACCAATTGAATCAATACCATTAGCAACCGACTTTTCCTTTCCCGTTTCCAGCCTGCTCGTAGTAGCCCAATGCACCCTGGACCTAAGCACCAACCCGTCGGCCGCCTTTCAGTCCATTTCCTAAACAACAAATGAGAGCATCGACAAGTCATTATCAAATCGCCTGGTCCGCTTGTTCATAACGGTCTGGAGCCGTAAGAGACGTATAGAGCAAAGTGAAGAAAAAAGAAGAAAAAAAAACAAATAGGAGATAACCACAAAGGAGAGATAACCGTAGTGGCAAAATTACTCCAATGCAAGACCTGTCATGAACCGAACCCAGAGCGCAAAATAAAACAAGAGCAGAAAAAGAAATGAGAGCCAGTTTTCCATATGCCCTTATGAGCGCCAAGCGAAAAGCAAAAATAGCAGAATCCCTGTCGTATGTGACCAAACTCCAAAAGCTAAAAACACAAAGCCGAAAAAGCAAATAAAGGAAATATAGAAAAAAAGAGTTCTCGCTTTAGTTGTTGCTGTGAATAAGAGAAGCCAAGGCCGCAAAAGCGAGTCCTAAAAAAATGTTTGCTGATAAAAAGCGACGAGGCCATGTTTGTAAGAGCCTCTCATTGTTAAACCAGGGGCATTGTATTGCTTTGTCAGCTGTCCAAACCCAAAAACCAGTTGTAAAAACTTTGTGTTCAACCTTGAGTGAAAAAAAAAAATAATAAAACCCTCGCGTTAAGTGAGGAATATCCTGCATATCGCAGCTGTCCTCATCCGATAGCCGCTGCCAGTGGTCATCTAGCCTCGGATGGCGGTTGCGGTATGAGGCTCTCCGCCCCAGCGAAATCGCTGTTGAATCATCTGCTGGGCAAAAAAGGGAGCATCAGTTGGCGACGTGGAAAAGGATGGCGATGGCGATCTCATATGAGGCATCGACTTGGGAGCCGACGGCTGGTCCCTGCTGATGAGGACAGAGGACATGGAGTCGAGGGCAGACGAGTTCGATGCCGCGAGATAGTCGGCGGTCAACGGCCTAGTAAGTTTCATATCAACGGGGTGATGATGAAGGCTGTGATGAGCCGCAGGGCCGGCATGGTGAAGAGGGCCGTGAGGAACTACTGCAGAAGACACCGTTGTCGGGCTAACGCTCTCGTTCTCATCGGCCTTGGTCGTGCCATTAGTCGCAGCCGCGGGGGATGTCTTCGAACCAAACTGTAAAACGAAAAGAAAAACCAAATGTCAGCTACCAATTCCCATCCCATTTTTTTTTTAAGTTTTATATTTTTCAGACGTTCCAGCCCATGTCACTTCCAGCCTCTCCCGTTTTCGTTGCGTTGAACTGCACGAGTTCCTTGTAACCAACTAGATTGCGGCAGGCGGCTGGGGCGGCTGGGGGACACTGAAGTGGTCTCCGGGGGTACGTACAAAGCAGTATTTACTGACGAGCTCCTCATATGAGGAGCTAGAAAGGCCGAGGCCAAGGCCAACACCGGGCGAAGGGGAGGCGGCGGCAGCGGCAGCAGCAGCAGCAGTGGACTGGCTGGACGCCGCAGCAGGCGGTGTGCTCAAGGGAGGGCCAAAGTTCATGGGGCTCGGGCTATCGCGGACATTCCTCTTCATATACAAAGCGTCCCTGTCCTTGCTCGCAGAATCCTTGGCAGCCTGGACGGCAGCACTCAGTGAGGCACCAAAATCATAACGGTTGGCAAAGGCCAGTCCACTGGGAGCGGTCAGGCCCAAGCCCTTGGAAATGTTATCACTAGCCAAGTTGCTAGTTGACTTGGTCTTGAGGCGGAGGCCGGGAGTGTTGGACTCGCCCAAGTAGTCGAGATGGTCATCAAACTTAAACTTTGGTTTCTTATCAAAATCATCAAACGAAGCAGGCATCTGCAGAGACCGGCCGGCGGCCGCAGAGTTCTGCTTCCGGTTGCTTCGCGGCAGACTGCTAGTCGACCGCGATCCAGCACCTTGGAAGGAGTTCTTACCATTCTGTGGCTTGAACTGCTTTCGAAAGTCAACCTGGAAGTTGGAGTTGTTGTTGCTGTCCCAATACTCCTGGCCATTGACGTTGTAGCGAACGCAAAAGTACAATGTCTTTGTCTCCAGGTTAGTGGTGTCCGACAGCTTGATGGAAAAGGTGAAGCGATCTTGGCTGATACGAGTAACGACGGGGCGGATCTCGTGGCTGAACTCAGCAACAACTTCCGACGTCGTCTTCCAGTAGTCCAATGTAAACCGGCAGACAACAGTCTTGTGGAAGGAGATGTTGGAGACAACAACAGAGCCCATCATCGACTTTTGATCCGGAGAGAGCCAAACTCTCTCTACACGAACAGGCTGCTCTCGTCTCTGGAGGGAGTCATGGGGGAAGTTGTTTGTGATCAGCTGCCAGTCAAATGGCGGCGATCGAGAAACAGGGCCCCTTTTCTCACCCCCAGGGAAGGGATACTCAGCATCGCTTTCATAGTTCTCCACTGGCGACGAGCCTGCACTGACGGCAAGAGGTCGATCAACCTGAAGGAAGTGGCGGATGTGCTCCAGATGGGAGTCAAAATGGACGGCCTTGGCAAACACGGGGGTACCAGGCATGCTCGAGGGCCGCTTGTAACCCCGCAGAGCCGGTCGGACCAGCTCGCCAGACTTCTTGCGTACCATGGGAGGCTTCGGCCGCATGTCATCTTCAGAGTCCTCCGAGACAGTCTGGGAGTTCTCTGCAGACGTCATGATGGCAGACGCATCGGGATCGGTAGCAGATCGAACATGGCCTTTTCGACGCTTAGGAAGCTCGCTCAATGTCATGGCACTGAAGCTAGTGTGTATCATGCTCCGAGGAGTAGCATCGTCATCGAGGCTTAGTCTCGATTCTTTGCTTGGGGGTGACGGCGTCCGGGGTTGAGGGATCTGGCTGACAGCATCCCTAAGCTTCCCCAGCTTCCTTCCCCGAATTTCCGGACGGCTGTCATCCTCGCTATCGGATGAGGCTGAGTCGGGCGGGGAGATGATGGCACCATTTGGGATGCCTCGATCATCAGTCACCGGCGGGGGGGACTTGCGCAAGCTCGCGCTCACAGGAGGGTTACCAGCGTTCTTGACTTCGTCGGAGGATCCATAGGGGGGAGACGGCGTAGCGTGAGCCTCAGTGTTGGACGGTGTGGCAGACGGCGTTCGACGATGCTTGCTGAGGTATGAGGCGGAACGAGGCAGCGAAGGCTTCGGGCCTGAAGTGATTGATGATCGTCGGCTCACATCCGGTGAAACGGTCGCTGAGGAGGCGGGGGATCGGTGGGAGGGCGGCGTGTAAGGCATTCCCAGAACTTAGGCCGGGGGAAACTCTGGGGGGGAATAAAGGCTTCTCTGTTACTGAAATGAAAAATGCGGTTTGAAACGGGCCGTGATAAAAGCTGATGTGTGTCCAAGTCGTCCCGAGTTATATCATAGGATAGAAAAGAGTAGGATTGTTGTCGGTTTGTCAAGGGTAGCGACAGGGAAGCTAGTGTCTAGGTAGGTTGGAAGATCTGGAACACGGGAAAGTACGTTGTCAGCACATTGACGGTTGAGATCTCAAAACAGTAGTAAAATAGATGAGGCATGGGGACAAGGATAGGGCTAGAGGGCAACACATGGTTTATAAACAACCGAAGCTTGGCCCGCAGATATAGTGCTGTGATAGCTCATTCGTGGCTTGCAGAACGTTGTCGAAGGCGTTCCAAATGTGATGCTGATTATTCTTTTTTGGAAGAGCTTGATATAATAAGGAAATAGAGTTTCTCGGAAGCCTTCGTATTGGGCAATATGGCTTTCTGGAAAGACAAGCCGAAATTCAAGGGTGGAACTTACAGCAAGAGGTAGAGGGAGGAGACTTTGGGACTAATTTCTCCGCAGTGCTCAGGAAGCAACGACACGGTCTCAAAACTCGGGCAATATTCCAGCAACCGAGCTAAAAGACTGTGAGGTGCAGCCGTACAAGCACAAACCTGGGTGCGGATGGCGTTGTATATAAGATCGCCAACCGATTGGTCTGGCGAACGATATGGCCGGCTCGTGGGTGAGTTGTCGAGTCGGACAGAGAAAAAGAGACAAGGGGAACGAGAGATTACTATGAATCAACCCCAAGATAGATACGTGATGATGACCGAGGTAAGAGAGAGATGGAAAAAACTAGAGATGCACAGAAAGCACGGCGAGGTTGGCGGACGAGGTTCGAGGGATGAGGTGATGGCACGGCAACGGCGGAGAGACAAGAAGGCTATAGCCTCTGGAGTGATGGGCGCTGACTGAAGGCGGGGAGAGCGTCGTGGGCTGGGCTCCGGGGGGATGAATTAGCCCTTTAAAGAAGAGGAGAGGAGAGGAGAAGTATCAAGCGGCGGTGATGAAGCCGATGAGGATGAGGAAACGGGAAAGATGGGAAGTTGAAGACGGAGGAGGTGGGGAGCGGCTGTTTTTGGATTGCGCGAGACGAGCGACAGATACGTACCGGCCCAGCAGTTGTGCTCCAAGCCAAGCCAAGCCTGCAGGCCAACAAGTACCGGAGCCCAAGGGAATGGGGACAGGGTCAGGCCAGAGGCGAAAAAAAAAATGGAAAAGAAAAAATTAAAAATCGACTAGAGCGAAGCCATCGTACAGGTACCTGCTAGTGGAAGGCTCGGACCCGGATCCAGGTCGCTATGCGCCGCAGCACCACGCTTGTGTGCACTGCACTGAGACCTTAACTTGCCCTGCTCTAGCCTGCATTGGCCTTGCTTGGACTGGATGGGGGGCTGCAATGCAAAACTTGGCTGGCCGTGGGAGGGGAGCTGGGGCCAATGGCCGGGGGGGTTGATGCCGGCGGCGAAGGAGCCTCTGCTCATCTCGAAATCAAATCTTGTCATCTCGCCGGCCTGGCCTTGCCTGCTCGCTATCGTCCAGGAGCCAAGCACCCCCTCCCTCTCCCAGTCCCAGAGGGCGGCCACACTGGTTCGATGGCTTGAGACGGTGGGCCACCGTCGATCGGCTTGGAGGGTGGCCAGTGTGCCTTAGCCCAGCAGATTCCATATGGATACTAGGGAGGGTTTCCCTAGAAGACGACGCGAGAGGGGCCCTAAGATAGGCGGCCAGCAGGGGGGGGGTTCCATCACGTATGGGCGAGCCGAGCAACGGCGCAGCAGGCGACCTGAACCCCAGCCGGCACCACCACCACCAACAACACAACACTTCAGCAGCCCCATCGTCAAGCCTAGCGCTCTTGCGTCGTAGCAGCAGTGGCCCGAAAGCAACAGCAGCTCTGGCCGTCTCGCCTATTGCTGCTTTGTACAAGTGCCTACAAGCGACAATCTGCAGATGCTTGGACCTTTGATCTTCAACTTTACGGGGGCCCGTGTTAGCTCCATCTTGCTCGCTCGTATGTATGTACAAGTAGGTATGTAGTTACGCTGGCGAATCTAGGTACTCCTTAAACCGGGCTTTGGTGCGATGTTGATGAATACACACACACCCTCTCTCTTCTGATACACATCAATTGATATTCAAAGCACGGCGGCAAAATACAAATGAGAGGCGAAACACCTGCAGATAGCTGCGAGAGACACGGACAGACAGAATCAAGAACAAGAGAGAGACACAAACGGCGGCAAAGGTGTGTGCCAGCCTTCTTGTTCCCCCCCTCCCAAAGCCGGGTGCCGGAGGGATTTGCCAGTGACCATCAGCCAACGAAAGACTCCATCCTCCGTCCAGCAGTAATGCACCCTAATGTAAGAAAGCTGCAGTGTCGACGTCGCATTCTGGATGTCCATTTTTGCGGAGTACACTGCCTCGTTCTCTTGCGTGTCGTCTCAAGGCACTACTAGTCTAATGCTGCTCCGTACAGGGTCATGTACAAGCATGGACGAGTATGCATCTGTATACATGCCTTAATTCATATTGCCTGTATGTACGGAGTACATGATAGAAGACGGTTTTGATCGTGCTAATGCACATGTCCTGTGCACCCCGTGCCATCGCCCTCGGACTCCTTGGAGCCCAAGACAGTAAGAAGCTATGATACCAATGGAGCACCCCAGCTCCTCCAAGCTCGGATTACACGCCAGTGAAGCTGAGGAGGAAAGAGAAAGAAAAGACGGAAGAACGGAAAGAAGCGATCCATGGAAAGTGCCGTGATACGAATCAGCGCCAATGAGCAAAAAAACGGCTCAGAGTGTTCCAATTCTATCCAATACTCGTCCGTTAAACACCGGGGGACCCAACCCGCGGCAGCTGCGGACATTGGGAAGTTACCGGAGTCGGCAGCAAAAGCAGTCAGTCATACGGATACAGGCACGGGGTTTGTCTCGATCGTCATCATCATGTCTTAAAAAGACGCCGTCAATTTTTTTTAGAACGATTCTGATATCTACCTCTCTCCCTCGTCCGCCCAGATAAGCGGCGCAAGAAGAAGCAAAAAAGGCGTCAGTCCCAAAGCGGCCGTGCGCTTTTTGGCGTCGCCTGATAACAATGCGCTTCGCAGTATTAGCTGGGTAGTAGGCGGCCTAGTATTCTCGAAGCGCCGCTTGCACAAAGTAGCAGTGTTAATGATGGAATGCATGGGCTGATTTTCAATGTCAGATGATTTGAGATTTGCGAAAACCCATCTGAACAATCTCGCCAGGCGATGGCGCGTTGCTAACATCTTATTCTCTCAGGCCGGATCAAACTTTTTTTTTTTTGTAACTGTTCTTATTTTCTTCCATTTCTTACAGTAATACTTAGGACGGCCCCATCCGCGCGCGCCCTCTCTCTGTATTGCTCTCTTCACTTCTTGTCTGGGCTAAGGCGGGTAACCGGTGAAGCCGGATATGGAGAGATGGGCACCACTACTAAGCTACTAAAACGCTACCAGTCGACTTTAGCACCAGCTACTATCGCCCAGGCAATGAGAGATATCCGGCAGCAATCTGGCTACTAATAGGTATTCTTAATTTAGCTCATGTAAAAGAAAAGCGTAGTCGTTTTGAGAGCTCCTCCAGCCGTTCTCCTGGCGTGGCGGTACTAGATCGAACGATTCACAAGCCGTCAATGCGCACATGTAATAGGTATTCGACATCAAATAATGATGTCGTGCGTAATGTGCTGGTGCGAATTACGGCACATACACGTATACTGCCTACCTAGTAGCTATTACTTTGCTCTTCGTACTCGCAAAAGGATTCGGCTGGCGTGGATCTTGGCCGACAGATAAAATTTGCAAATTTTGCACCAAATCTCTGCCCTTGTTGGCTGAAGGCCTGCCGAATGGCATTGAAGGAGGCGACTAGGGGTGTGAAGAGGCGTTCCAAGGTATTTTTCTTGCTTGCAGCCTTGCACTGCAGGCTCCGTGCATACTAGCCAATATGTACGCTGTGCCGGGTCCTCTTTCATTTCATCTCTCTCTGGTGCCGTGCAATTGTCCTGCAGCGAGATGGGGGCAACAAGAATCCGAATTTCTACAACATTCTGCAATGCTTCGCTGCGAGTCTGCCCATCCGACTCCCAAAAACCCATCTTCAGAGCTACCCTCACGCCGGTTGGCTTTCCAAAGGAGAATTTTTTGCGCTCGGCGCCAGGGGCTGGTTGGTTGGACGGCATGGCCTGGGAATAACGATGAGGACTAGGATGGGGTGGGCACTCCGGCATCAGACCCGGTCCTGGTGTGGCGCCCGACTCTGTGGTCCGTTGAATAGTTATATCTCACCCCTGTTCTTCGCCAGAGCAGGGCCCATGCCGGCCATTCTCAGCCGCTCATTGGCAGTGGCCGCCTTGGGTTAGCTGTTAGATGTCGAGATAATGACGTTGCCCGCGGTTTGGCTGAGGCTTGCCAGATCTCGTCCGCCAATCAGGCCACACCAGGCCATGTCGCTGTGCGCATTCCGCAGCGTCGCCTTCCTGTTTCACCGTCGCCTCTTTGTTTGCTCTTCTGCAACCTGACCAGTTCGTCTGGTGTCTAGCGAAGAGCATGCTGTACCTACTAGTAGCCAGGTGGTCTACCATATAATCCAGAGGAGAAGGGGGAAGCGGGATGGTTTGGTTTGGGTTCGGAGCGGGCGCTGCGGAGTAGCCAGAGCAGCAGCAGTGCCTAGTAGCACTACTTGCTACTTGGGTGCTCCGTATATCTGCGCAGCCCGTTGTTCGGGTGTCCGCCCCGGATCCGGGATCCTCTCACGACTGACATCCTGCACCGCCGTCTCTCCATCTTCGACAGAAGGTTCGTAACGAGCTCCAGAGAAGTCAAACTCTCCCCCCTCCCCCCCATCTCCCTCTCCGCATCCCCGAGCCCAACTGTCTGCTCTCACATACAAGTACTTGTACGTCTTTTCCCCACGACGGACCGAAAAGCTTTTCCCCAGGCTGTCAAAACTCACGCCGCCCTCATGCTTCCCAATGCAGAGAATGCAGCTCTTAGCGAGTGCATGTCTGCAATGCCTGCGCGCCCAAGATGGAGCTGTTTCGGGCTCAATTGGCCCTGGGTGCTTTGTAAACCATCACCGCTTTAGGCGCCTGGACGGCCTAGAGTGCATGTGTGCTGTCTGGTGCTCGATGCCATCCAATCGTAGGCGCCTCTCCGTGTATGCAGGAGTCGCCAATTGGTAGTCTGATAACCGAGTCAGGCAGCGACCATGTACCGTTTCTGCGCCGAGAGGCATTTTGCAAACCTCCGTCAGGTCCCAAAGCGAGAGAGAGCCCATGATGGCAAATGCCAGTACGTAAGGCCATCGAGCAACAACTGAATGGCGTGCATCTATCGCCAGCTCGAGCCCCTCTCCAATCTAGCCGCCGTGCCTTGGCCTTCCTTGCATGTCCATGCCCATGTATAGCACAGGATGTAGAGCACCAAGTACCCGTCCAGATGCTCCATATCGACAGTCCAATCTCCAGCCATGGCACAAAAGGCGTCGAATTGTGCGTGCGGGCCACACGGCGGCGGTGCTTCCAAGGCACGAAGTCGTCCGGCGTCAGCCACAGCGTGTCTTTGTCAGCGCGCCAAGAGATAAGGATGGGTCTTGCACGGGCCAATATTAAGCTTCCAGTCCCGCCGAGTGGGCCAAGGGCAAGCCACACGCACGGGTCATTGATAGGACCAGGGGTGGCTTGCTCCTCCTTTGTGCCCCCAGCGCTAAGCAACGCCAAAAACGATACTATCGCAACGACAAGAAACTTTCTTCATCCTTGCTATCTTATATCATCTCCATTTCCACGCGCTCCCGTCCCGCGCCCTCGCTGCCCCGTTTTGAACAGCTGCGAAACCGCTCGCACGTCTACAAGTCGTTACCAGCTCGGCTACAAGCGCTACAGGGGTTGCATTGGGCTATTTGTCTCGCGAGGCAGAGAGAGCCGCTGGCCGGAAGTGCTTGGCATGCATGCCATTTGCGGGCTCATCCGATGAATAGTGATTCGAGGACATCCGACCTGCTGAAGAATCTGCAGGAATGCGGGCTTGAGCTGTCTGCTTGCCTACCCAGCGCATCATCTGGCATATCGAATTACATGTAGGCCATGATTTTGTACATGATGCTAGCGGAGTGGCATAAACGTCGTCTCGATGCCGCCTGACTCCGCTGTCTGAAAGAAACCGCGCATTCTTGTACATGCAGACAGGAAGGGTGTTTGAGCCTGACGAGAGATGACCAGCATACTGTACAAGTAGGTATGTAAGGCAAGCAATGCCATGTACACACCTGACACCGCAAACCCGTGCTTACTTACTTGGCTTGATGCCGTACACACATAGGTATCCATGCCCACATACCACGGTACATACATGTGGGTGCTGATGGTGTCGAGATAGATTACCTGTACGGGAGCTTGGACTAGCCGGTCTGATGGTCTTGGTCTTAGCGGCTCAGAGCACATAGTGTGTGCTCAGGCTTGCCGCCTCTCGAGATCGAGGAGATGAGGATTCGCTTGTAGACGCCAAGGGGCCTTGCATGCACGCACTAGGACGTCCACTAGATGGAACTCGTATCTCTACCGCGTCTCAGCACCTGCACGGCGTTCCAAGCGCAAGGATGAGATGGCAAAATCCCCAACAAGCACCAAATCCTCCCTTCTCGTTCGTCGGCCATCGGTGTCCTAACGCACCACTATCACGGCATAGCGTTGCAGCGCCGGTGCAGCTCCCGCTCGCCAACGAGTCAAGTCTAACAATGGTTCCATTCTGAAAAGCATAGCTCAGATCACTGGCCACTGCATGTCATCCCATCGCACCACGGCGCCAACTGCTGCCAGTACAGATCCGTACCCCAAAACGACGCAAGCTTCGCTCCAATAACGAATACTACCTACTGCTTTACAGCATGTACTACGACGAGGTACATACCTACATACTTGTGCGACTGATACGTGCTACTAGTCCTGCGCCTTGCAGCCGCAGCTCCACCGGCCAACAGTAAGCGAGGAAAATTTAGAACAGGCCCACTTGTATGCGCATGGGAGGCGGAGAGCACGACTGTCTCTGCTCTGTCTCTGGCTTCTGATACATTGAAACAATGCCCGTATCTCCCTAACATAGGCAATGGCACCTCCACCAAGAGAAGGTTCACATGGTAAGCAAGCAGGGCACAAGTTTGGTATGCAGATGCCTGCTGTTGTTATAATAAGTAATAAGCACAAGGAAGAGGAAGACTGTTGTCGTGATAGCACCTGAGTCACGGCAAGCAGGAGCAGAAGGGTCATACACCCAAGGCTCTGAGCAAACTTTTTCTCGTGGTTTTCCTTTCCCCTTGGAATCCATCCCGGCATACCAACCGTCTATTTCTAGATCGTCTCGAGGGAATTCTCAGCGCGCCGCCGGATAGAATGGGCTACCGAGCCGGTGGCAAAGCTCCGCGGCGACGCCATCATCGGCCTTCTGCTTAGCGCTTGCTGCACCGCAAACCTTGCAGCCACATCCCTTCAACACACCAAGCACTGGCCATCAGAGAGACGGGTTACTCACCGACCAAGCCGCAAAGAGGATAAAGGAAAAAAAAATCCCCTCCTGGATGATAAGCGTAAGAAAGCTTACTTACTCCCTATAGAGGCTCAGGGTGTGTCCACGCACGCCACCTGAAACCAGGATCCAAAAGCTGATTCTTTCCGTAATTTCCTTCTTTGCGATGCCTCATGTCACATTGCACCCTGGCAGTAGCATCGGCGTCTAATGTCGCTGCAGAGCCAATCTTGAAAATTGCTGCAGCTTGGATCGCAATTTCATCGACTCGAGAAAAGAAAAGGCCCCAGTAACGTCTCAACAGATGGCCGGGGGGGCGCTGGCTTAGCGAGTTTCACTGCCATCGTTCGATCGAAATCTTGCCCCTTGTGAGGCTGCCATCCACGCTAAGCAGGGGTAAGCTTCCAGAGATGGAATACTAATGCGCAGCCAGCTTCGGCGGACGAGCCCCAAAAAGGAGAGCCTGGCTGGGCTGAAGACGTTGAAGAGAAAAGAATAGGAACGAGCATGCCAAGGAAGTTGAAATTTTGTTTTCGCCTTTTCCAAGTGACTCATGCAAATTGGCATCTGCGAGAGCCGGTTGCTACATCTCAACCATGCTCTGCTAAAATGAATCACTTATTCACCCATCTCCGCGCGGCAAATCCACTTCCGATAACAACAGCGCCGCCGCCCAAAATCTCCGACACACGGAAGCCTTATCTACCACCCAAGGTCCGGTTGTCGCTCTCAATAATGTATGCAGTATGCTGAGACATTGGTCTTTTACGAAGTGGCAGTGTCGGGAAGGGGTCTTTTGTGATGAGTGCCCAAAGATGAATTTCTCTCGCGTCCAGAAACCCATCGGCTAGGAGCAGATGCTGAAGACATCCGACAAACGCCCAGCTCCAGGCCGTGGACATGCAAGTCGGAGCGATCCGTACCCACAAACTCCCGTGTCCGGCAGCCCCACCTCACGATGTTTTATGCCGTTGCGGGTTTGGAGTAGCACGAGTCGTACAAGTACAGTACATGTTGGACGGGGCTCCTGTATGGAGCACGAAAGGGTGATATCTCATATAATTCATCTCAGCACTGCATGCGAGCACTTGAACGTACGCGCGCATCTTGACCCCTACACCAGATAAGAGCGAACGCCCTTTACAAGCACATCTCCGGAAGAGCGTGCTTTGGCGAGGGTTTGGGTCTACGCAGGGATCCGACCTTGGGCGGCAATCCGCTCTGCCATGCCATGCCATGCCATGCCATGTCATGTAGCACGTATGGCGAGCATCAGCAGAACATCAGTATGCATGCAACTGTAGTCACGGAAAATATTCATCATCCAAAAGCACGTCTTTCGGGCAGATACTACTCGCATTCTGCCATCAGACTGCGGGGATGGAGGCCAGCTGACTTCAAGAAGCAGCAATGGCCAGCAAAGCGGGAAAGTCATGCTCTGCAGGCCGGTGATGTATTGCATAGCACGCAAAATGCACATTAATAAACGAAACCCACCTTCCCGGTACACTCACTCTTATTCTCTCTGCAGGCAGCAGTAGTTTGCAGGAGCAGGACGTTCCTTCGCCGCCTTTGGCTTCTTCTTTCACTTCCTTGCTTTCTGATAGATATGCATCCACTGGACCCTGTGGCAAAAAAATGAAGAAGAAGGGAACAAAAGCCTTTCCGGCACGACGGCTTTGGTCCCTTTGCGCATTACATCGATCTTCTAGACTATTCGCCGTTGCCGCGTAACGCAAATCGGTGAGAGGAAGGATGGTAGCAGTGAGCCCTTTGTAGTGTGGCATTCATCTTCTAGGTTCTACAAGCCGCAGGTTCCAAGGCAACGATGCAGGAAGCTAGTAGTATTAGCAGCAGCAGTAGCAGTATTACCACATCCACAACGAGTAAGTAGTAGCTATTACTAGTATCAGGACTAGTAGAGTGGGTGTGAAAGGCTGAGAGGAGCAAACCCACTTCTCTTCGCCTTCATGCCGTGTCGAAGGGGCTATATGGCCTGGTTTCTTGTGGGTACGTTGCCATCCAGAGGATCTCCCCAATCAAATTAAGTGCCAGCCATCCAACAGTTCCTAGCCAACGATTGGTAAGATGCTGTGATAGTTTCCCCCCTTCTGTTCGTTGCACCCCCTCTGAGGATGTCCCCAGCCAGCGCTACTGCCTGGACTGGGACCCGGATGGCCAAAGAGAATGAGAGAAAGGAAGAGGAGAAGATATAGAGGTCTTCTCCGTGGAGATGGTTTGCTCCTCGTTTAGGGCTTGGTCCACTGGTTCAGCAAAGGTCCAAAGAAAAATAGTGAGAACCAACGCGAGCCATTGCGGGAGCTGGGCTGCCGATTGATCAGGCATTCAGGTGCAGTCAGCTTCCATCTTGCTATGCTCGCCGAATGCGGACCGTCTATCACGCTGGCCCCCCGACAATTGATATCTACCAAGTCGGCAATATCAGCCCAGATGGTCTCGTGGTTCGACAAGCTGCAACCCTTCAAGCCACCTGCAGCCGCCGGGTGGCTTGTCGTGCATTTCATATCCCCCCCCGGTACCTTATACTTGGCTCGTACACATGGCGTTGAACTACTCCAAGGATAGGCCATTGGCGCCAGGGGTCGAGCTTCCCACCACCCTCTCCATGGGGATGCGTTTCTTGTCTAGTCTTGGTCGCCCTGCATCTCTGCTCCGCAAATGTGGCGCCAGGAAGAACTCGTTTACTGCAAATTGCCCAACCTCCAGGCAGGACGACTGATAACATGGTTATCACATGCCAGGCAAATCCGTCTCATCCGTGTATGGTGCTGGTGCTATCAGTTTATTAAGCCTCCATCAGAATTTACCTTTTATTAACGTGCATATCACAAAGGGCGGGGTAAAAAGATGGTGGCATCTCTCTTCCACTCTTAGCCATTGACACTGGCAGCCCGAGCTGTCCCCCGGGAAGTTTAATGTTATGCCGGCGGCGCAACTGACATGGCACTTGATCATTTGAGTCTGCATCGCCGCGGGTTCATGCCAAGCTGGGAAGCGCACAGGCGCTACGAGCAACACCAGCTAAGGCATGTCGAGACGCAACCACGTCTGAGCAACCGTTCCGGGCTAACGTTGGACGGAGCAATTTAACGGCACACGCACAATCTGCGGACGAGCCCCCATCGGTCTGGTCTGTCTGCACGGACGGCCCACCGAGATTGAGCCCCCAGCAAGCAGCAGCTCGCCGGCCACGAACTCATCTCAAGTCAGAGGACTCTGTGCTGCATCGCAGCGTTTCAAAGTTGCGTGCTCTGCAGCGGACAGGGGTCAGAGGCGGGGCTGCCTCTGCCTTGGCCACGGCCGATGACGACATGCTGATGTGTGTTACGGACGATTCGCGTGCTCATTCTGCCTCGTGGTCGAGCTCCGGAGATGAGCTGGAAAAGATGTTGGGCCTCAAGCTTTTGTAGATGTACGGGAGAGTGCCTGAGCAGCTGGGCATTTATCTTGGGCTCGCCACCGGTACGGGGGGACGACTAGATCGGGGGGATCAGCCAACTCAAAGTCTAGAAGGTCTGATCGACGGGAGGCCGAGCAGCAGCTTACAAGGCCAATGCCACCTTTCGGGCGCCGAGTCTAGACTGATAGGCGGCGCGCAGCGAGCATCAGGGGCTCATTGGCATTCCAATGCGGCGCGGCGCAAATCTAGGGGACAATCCGTGAAGCAATCCGTCGAGAATGCGATGGCAAATACTACGAGCTGGCAAAGGGTCTGCGCCAAATCCTGTTATCAAAGTCGGGGTCTGCCCACCATCCCGTGCCGCGAAGGGCCATGATGCGCGCCACATTCTTTGGCTTGTCCGCCGCCGCATCGAATTTAGATTGCCATCCGTACCATATACCGTACTTGAGCAAGAAAACTCGACGCAGAAAGAAGGCAAAGGGCAAAGAAAAAAGCACAACCCTATGAGCCACATCGAGTTCCGCCGCAGCCGACAGCTGTTACTCATGCATTGTGACATCGTTTGCCTCCTCTCCACAAGCCTGAGTACGAAGCGAAGTAGTAGTAATAGTAATAGCAGCAGGAGGAATTTTTTTTTTTTTTTTTTTTTTTTTTTACCTTTTTCCTTCCTCTTCTTTGTGCTTCTCCGCCAGTTGACCTCATTTTTTCCAGCATATAATCTTAAAGATCCGTTTGAAATTGCGTTGGGGCTTGGGTATACGAAACACGGATCCTTTTTCGCCCCTCTAGATCGTGATGAGGTGCATGCCAAATCCAGCCCTGATCATGGATCACTATGAGGATCGAGAAATACGTACCCTGTCACGACAGTGGATTCGCGACGATCACAGAGTTATTTTCTCTCTGAGTGGCTCTTGGGTGCCAAAAATTCGACTAATACATACTACAAGGATACCATATCTCCAGGACTTCTCAATGGCACTGGCCAAATACGGTAACTAGCTCTCCAACACTGCTCCGCCTTGCCGTGATGATTTTTTGATTTTTTTTGGAGTGCGTATGCAGCCCGACCTGAGCTCTCGGTCTCTGCTGGGACTGTTCTCTCAAGCTCCTCTTACACCCCCCCGTTTGAGTTTTCTCCTCACCCCGGCTGTCACACCGACTTCCATTGGCGCCGTCTGTCGGCTGGGGGCTGATGAAATCCCAGCGCATGCTAACTACTGCTGCCGCTGCTGCTGCTGCTGCTGCTGCTGCTCGTATGGAGGCTACGAATTAGGCAGTGCTACTAATACCTATTACTGATTGTACTTGTACATGCTTCTCCGGGATAACGGCGAGGTCGAGGGAGAAGATGGAGCTAACGCCAGCTGTAAGCTTCATCCGTGCCATGTCATGCTCAATTGCACCCCCTCAATTGCTTCGCTTCGCTGTACATACAACTAGCAGCAGCAGCAGCAAAATTATATTACAACCCTAGCATGTAATCAGCTCCAAGCTCGAGGCCCTTTCCCCGCAGTCCAAAGTTCAGGTCTAGTAAAATTGGAGGCCGAAGCCATTGACCATCGTCTGCAGCTTGCTAGGGACGAAGGGGCTGCAGCGAGAGCTGCAATGCGCGCTCCAGATTCACTGGCGAACAACGCCACACCGATACGGACGGTTGCACGAATACAACGGTAACTACGCCGGATCTGGCTGCTTAACGAAACTGAAGCACATACGAAGCGCCTACCGTACATGGTAGCGCTTCGTAGTTGGTATTATTAGACCTTCTCCCAATGGGTTACTGAACTAATTCCACGGATGTTAACAAACAGAGTATGTGTGCTCCAATGCAATGGTAATGTACACGCACTCAGCCCCACTCGCTGCCGGTGACGGCTGAATGATCATTTTTTATTAATTGATGCAATATCAACACAAACGGGCGTCTGGGACATGGGGGATGCTTGACCTCTGCGCAAAGGGACATACTACAAGTATGTAGAAGAAAAAGCAAGAGGGTGGGCCAAAGATGGCCAGCATTTCGTCGGGCAGCGCTTTGAACAATGCTACTTACTATGTACTCCGTATTAGCTGCAATGAATGGGGATTTCGGGCTTCGCTTTTTTCTTTTTCTTGCTCATTTCCCTCTCCTGTTTTGTTTTCTTACCAGCCGTTCTTTTTCAACGGGGTCAGGCTTACGGAGCTCTTTTTTGGAGCAAGGGGCTCCTCTTCTGCTGACGATAACTTTCTCATGACAGATGCAAGACGTCATGACCCTAGCTGAGTGCGGCAGGTCGTGATAAGGCCCTGGGAATCGGTCGAGCGCAGTTTAATATGAACTTATGAGCAGCAACGCACAAGGGAGGCATTAGACGATGGGAAAGTTTGATATTAGAAGGTGTATCCACGGAGTACTCCGTATTGAGAGTTTTTACCTGTTGCGACTGGGGGAGGGGGCAACAGACCCGGAAGCTTAGACGGATTACATGGAAAGACAAACTGCGCTAAATCGTATTCAAAAGCAGATCGGTGAGCTCTTCCAGCCATAGGCCAACAGACAAAGTCCCAAGTCCATTCTTGTAGTCCTTGACCGCTAGTCCCAGACGCACACACACACGTCCTTACCCTGTAGTGGCTTGCATTTGAGTAATATCACCATGTTTTTTTTTGGCTAAAAGACGGTTCTACCAATCGATGGTGCTTGGCTTCGTAAGCTAGCGTTCCGCGTATACGCAATGTTGCCCTCCCAAATTACAGTGCTACTAGGAGTATATTGCTGCCGCTGCTGGGAGAAGGCATTTGTAGCAGTACTTGTACTAAATTGTGCCAGGATTATACTCTCTCCTTGCATTCCCAAGTGCTTGGATGATGCTCCTTCTTTGGCACCCATGATGCATATACATGAATCTGGGGTGCGGCACTGGCGGCGTTTACGAGCTGCGGGAAGGATACGCGTGACGTTGGAGGTGCGTCTGGCTGAAAGCCATTGAGACGTGTTAGTTCGTTCTGGACAGGCTCGCGTGTCTGGGGTATGCCATGTATGTATGATGTTGAGCTAGGTAGTAGCAGTATATCACACATCAGCTGGCCTAGCTATGCGAGATAAGCACATAGCTGGCAGAGGGAGAGTGACGGCTGAAAGGCCCGTTCCCGTCCAACTGCCATCCCCAGGATTTCCCTCACCGACATGACAGCGGTTGAAAGTCAAAGGGAGAGAGCTGCAGAGAGGCTTATCCCGCTAGTCAATGTAGATGCAATGCAATGTATGCAAGTATAAGTCAGCTGCGTCGAGTGACAAGTCTCGTCTTTGTGAGGTATAGCTCCGTAAAACGTGGAAGAATATGGGGAAACTGGATCTTCCTGGTTTGTGGCGGTCGTAGCGAGGATTCCGTCACGAGATAGGAGAGACGCATAGGCAGGGATACTGAAAACTTTACTTCAATCATGCTCTCTCGCCTTTTGACTTTTTGACAGAGTTCTCCATGGACTTTGAATCCCTTTTTTGTTCTCACTTTCTCGAATTCGATGCAAAATTTGAGTTGGAAGCGTGACTGTTGCGGTGGATGATAAAGTTGGAGCGTGCATATCAAAAACGTAATAAATCAGAACTCACATTGTCTGTTTTTTCTTCGTATCTGGAATCGTGACCTTGAATCTATACCGCTGCATTGACAGATCTATGACGTTTGTATAGAATATCCACCGCTATGCATGCGAGGGTATGTAGAGTATATCTAGATAGGCAGGGAGGCATATCTTTGTCGCGTGGCACATATGAAAACTTTGTTTACCTCCCTTTTCTGCGTGGGGGCCATGTCTGACTTTTGAGTCGAGGAAGCGAATTGACGGTGAACCATCTCACTGCTTTTGCTTCTCCCTGCAGTGAGCACAATGACCAGTTTCATGAGTCTGGTTTGTAGTTAACGCGCTGCTTAGTTTGTGAAGGAAAAGGGATACCGGTCTTTACCTTGTGCTCGGTCTTCGCAAGTGTTGCTCCTTTCGTGACATCCTCGATAATAACGACATATGACATGAATTCGAGTCCCTTCAAGATAACTGACCATGTGTCGTTGAGTCAATCTTGGCGGCACAAAAGAGCAAACGACGACAAGTCGAGTTTTCAAAACTCATGATTTATTCAGACAACTATGTAAATTTTGTTTCCCGCCATCATCATTCATCTGAAAACACCCGCCCCCGAACGCCACTCCTTGGGTATCCAAAATCCATTTTTTGTCCTTATCGAGAAGTATATATATTTAAAAATTAAAAGGGTCAAAACTCGCTTAATCTTCATGCACAGGGGGGCCGGCATAGTTCTTGTGGCCCCAGGCCCAGTACCAAATGCCGGAGATGGCCGTCGCGGCAATGAACACAACGGGAGCATAGTTGACCGTCTCGGCGGTGACGGGGATGACAGTCGGCATGCAAAACAGCGGCATAGCAAGCAAAGACCAGGCTGTGAAACGTAATCAAGTTAGTCATTTAGAGTAGCAACCATGGAATGAACAAAGAATAATGCTTACCAACTGTGACAACATTGCAGAAAGTACCAAGATGGCCGAGATAGAACTTGCCCTTGCGAATTTGCTTTCTTCCGCTAAACAGACTGATGGCGACGGGAGTTCCATATGCGGCGGTCAGGCAAATGACACCAACACCAGAGAAGGCGTTGAAGGCGGCGGAAGAACCGAAGTAGATGACTCCGAGGATGATTTGTACGACCATACTGAGCATCATGGCGTTGAAAGGTACATCCAGAGTCTTGTTGACCTTGACCCACCACTTAGAGCCAGGGATGGCACCATCACGAGCAAAAGCCCAAGTGCAACGAGACGCAGCAGTGGTGCAGCCAATGCCGCACATGACGGCGAGGACCATAATCGGAATAAGGAGGCCAATGGCACCACCAGAAGAGCCGACGGCGGACTTGATGATGGGAGGCACAGGCTGAGCGGAAACCAGTTCAGCGAGCGCTTGCAGGTCGTCAATGACGAAGACGAGCGGGACGAGGAAAAGAAGACCAGCAATAGTGTTGATGACGATGGTGGCAACCATGGCCTTGGGGACCTGAGTGGCAGGGTCCTTGACTTCTTCGCACATACTAGCATCGGCTTGTTAGTATAATTGACGAGAAAAGAGGCAATATCAAGGCAAAAGGCAAATCACTTACGAAATAATCATTCCTGTTGAAGAGGTGGCATAGGCAGCATGGAGCAGACCGACACAGAAAGACCAGCCACTAGGCCAGCCAGAGAAAGATTCGAAGTGACCAAACACCCATTTGGCGTCATTTCGGCCCTCCTTGGCAAGCACCAGAATGGTGACCATGAGGGCAATGACACCGGCGAATGTCCAGAAAACAGCGGCAGTCTACCAGTAGAGTTAACTCTCCGTCATCTTCAAAAAATTATATATATATATAAAAAAAAGGGGGTGGATGAAGGGCAGAAAAATATCACCAGCTTTTGGGCCAACTTTAAAAGGAAAATACAAGGGGGGTAAAAAAGAAGAAGAAAGTCGTGAGAGACTTACATCTAGCCAAGGGAGCCACTTGTTGCCAAACGCAGACACGGCATTGCAGAACAACGTCAGGGCCAAGAAGATGAGGAAGACCTGCCATGTTTCACCTGCGAAGATACCGACACCAGGCTCCTTCTCGAACACATTGATACAAGAAACGAAGAACAAGGTGCTGCCAAAGTTGACGGCTAGGGTGATTGTAATATTGCCGACGACGAAGAGCCAACCGGTGATCCAACTTGCAATGCGCCTCCATTTAGGAGAAGCCAGCATAAACGCTTGATAGTAGACACCTGGAGAAAGCGACAAAGGTTAGCACTGTGTTTATTAGATCTTGCGGTTGTGGAAGAGCTCGCGACGAATGGAATGCGCAAGACGTTCCGCAAGATTCGAAAACAAAAAAGGGCGACTGGAATTGGCGAGATATACCTCCGGCAGTAGGATAAACGCTCGTGATTTCACCCAGCGAGGCAGCGACGCAGATGATGATGAGAGAGACCAGGACCCATCCCCAGATAATATCGACAGGGCCACCTCCCAGCAGAGGGTAGTATAACGTCGTGGCTAAACCGTACGGGATCGAGGCGAGGACGAAGGACATGAAGGCGACTTGGGCCGTCGATCGATTGCGCGACAGTTCGGGCGTATAGCCGAGGGTCTCAAGGAGGTGGTCGGCGGAGTCTTCGACGCTCGACAGCTGGTTGCTCTCCAGCTGCTTGGAGTCCACCATGGGCGGGCTTGCGCCCAGCTTGGACGAGGAGGACATGATGGGCGAGGACAAGACCGTCTGCGAAGGACGGAGGGTATCACGACAGCACGAAGAGTTGCGAAAAAGGACGTCGCTAAAGGCACAAGGCGAGAAAGGAAGATTCAAGAGTTTTAAAAAAGAAAAGCAAAAGAAGTGGGTAAGTAAAAGAGGAGGAGCAGCAAAGAGAGGCACGTGTGGTCTAGACTTCGCGACAGGCTGCGAGATCCAACAGTCGATTGTGTTGAGAGGCTGGTGGCGCCGAGCTCATGCAGGTAAGCAGGGTTCAAGGCAACCGGGATGCTGTGATAAACGAGCTGAAGTCCATATGCGACTAGGCCGCATGCGATGTCTGTCGCGTGCTTCGGGGGTCTCGAAGCCTTGTCTAGCGAGAGATGAAGTCGACGGGGACTTTGAAGAAAAAGGAACGGAAAAGAAACTACTACTAGGTATGTTATAGTGTTTCTTTTTTTTTTTTGTGGGGGAAGCAGAGAGTGTCTCTGGTTCCAAAAAGGGTTGAGAGTTGGAAAGTAGAAAAAAAAAAAAAAAGATTAAATACAAGTTTAAGTAGGACGAGAGAAGAGAGACAGAAAAAAACCTCCGAGTCGAGGAAATCACAAAGTACCAAAGGCGCATTGTCTCTCTCTCCTCTTTTTTCCCTCTCTGCTCTCTTATTTGGCACCGGCGGGGCGGCACCAGCCAGTTTCAGCAACAGGAACTTGGCGTTGATCGACGCTCCGAGAAGTTCGCGCTAAAGAAGGAGAAAACAAGCCGTGTCCGAATCAAAAAGCTTCTACAGTAACTACTACTAGATATAAGACCTGAACGAACAGGAGAGTCATTCATCAGGCTAAAGCCTTGTCCCCCAGACCTGGAGCTGATGGGCTTGGGCCCCTCTGCTGGTATAGTACAAATCTACCAGTAGGACATTTCGACTGCTTGACACGCGCGAGGTTTTCCCCCTCTAGAGATCCATGGCGGCGTGGGCGCTAGCTCGAGTTTTTCCATCATTATCATCATGGCATTATGGGTTTTTTGGTATGATACGGTACCACAACTGGGGCAGTTCCCCAGGCTAGCGAAGCAGCCAGGCTCGGGGCTAGACTGGGTTGGACAAGGGGGAGGCGATAAAACCTAGCCCTGGGATGGCTTTTCATGGCTCTGAGTGGCTGTCGGCGGTTCTTTTTGTGGTCCCAGGTGGCTTCGTTAGTGACATTGGAAGAATGTCCGACCTTGGCAAACTACGTCAGAACTTTGGGGCGTAAGAGGCGGTCTTGGCCGACGAAAGCCTCTCCAGGATGGTGGTGTGAATGGGCCGTTTCTATTTGTTTTAGTTTTTCTAGAAGGACTTTAAACTCAGGGTGCTGCGTAAGACGTGTGTAATGTGTGGTTTACTGCAACCTTGATCTTTACTTAGAATACTTACGGGTTGACAGCGGGTTATTTTTTGTGGGTTGCAGATTCAGCGTAGATTTGCGAGAGGTTGCTTGCGAAAGTCTCTCTCGTATTAGTACAGCATGTAGGTATTTGTTGATGCTTGAAGCCCACCGCGTTGGTGAGGCATGCTAATAACACAGACAAGGTATGTGCCTGCAAAAGGACTGATTACCCCTAGGATTTGTACCAGCCACGAGGTACAGTACATTGCATGTACATGAATACGAGTCAAAAACAATAACGCAGAGACAAAAAAAAAACCCCCAAAAGAGTCAGTAATCAAATGGCCATGAAAGAAGGACCCGCAAGCACATGCAAATTCGCCAGACACATCCAAGTCGCCGCTAAGCCCCAAAAAACCGTCTCTCGGTGGGCTGTTGAGGAAAGATTGCACGAGGGCCTCCCCACGCACTAGGCCCAAAGCGCGTGGGCTGCCCGTGGAATTCAACAAAGCTGATCCCTGGAGGAACGAGCTGATGGAGTCTAGACGATGCTATGAGGCACCATTTGTATGTGTGTACATTGGAACCCGTTATCTGCCAATGAATTGCGGACACGGCCAGCTAATACGTTCAACTAATGGTATCTACAGCTGTGTCTCTGTGCTTCAAGTTGTCACAAGTACACCAGGAGAAGACGAGTGCTTTCAGCAGTGTTCTGGGTGTTATTACCTAGTGTCTACCTATGCGAACGAAGTAGTAGCAGTTTTTAGTTTACATGAAAACGATACTACTACCTACCTCAGTAGGTACCTAGGCAGTATTGGCAGCTGCTATTGCGTGTATGATAGAGTATATGTCTGTCTGTCCCTCTGTCTGTCCCTCTGTCTGTTCATCCTCTTATCCTCGTCTACAGGTGCACACCGCATCGCTATTAGTTTTTCTCCCATCCTGGCCCAGCCTAGCCTCATGGTCTCATCCCATCCTTGCATCCAGCCTTTCATTGTCCGTGGCAAGCCGCGATCCACACGCGGTCTGGACGTCTCGCGATAATCTCGGCCCATCTGTCCTCTTCAAAACACTGATGCCGATTTGCTCGCTTGTCTGTCTGCAATGCTCTCTCTTTTTAACAGCACATCATGCTGCTCGCCTGATCCCTTGCCCCAGTCTTTGATTTTCGTTTTCCATATTTGCACGTGATCGTTCCATCACTACATATCATCGTCGTCAATCATCGTCGGTGTCATCATGCAAATCCGCTAAGTACAAGTCGCGTATGTATATATAGTCTATATCAATATCCAGCTTTTTTGAGCTCCCCCCCTTCCTCCATGTTCATCTGTCCATCTATCCGTCTATCCGTCTATCCATCCATCCATCTGTCCATTCTCCCTTCTCTCCTTCGCCGCCGCCTCCCCCCTCTCTACCTCGTCCTTAAATTAGGTTCCTCTTCACAGCCATACACCAATCACCGAATTAACCTCGTCCACCATTGTAATCCGCACCTCCAGACTTTCTCAATTGCTTCACAATGTCGTCCTCCTTGAGCTCCGACGGCTCTTCCGCCGTAACGGCCAGGTGGTGGTGCGCCAGCACCTTCTTGACCTCGCTGCTCTCGACGCTGACTCGCGCTTTTCGCATCACCTTGGTGTTCTTGCCGATCCAAATGACCAGCACAAACTTGACTCGTGTGCTCTCCTTGTCGTTGGCATATTCGATTCGTACGTAGCCGTACTGCACCTGTCCGTCATCCAGCGATGCCACAAGCTCGCTCAGGCCGCCGGTTCCAGTCTGGGTCAGCGCCAGCTTGTTGCCCACGGCTCCCGCATAGGAGAGCAGCATCCAATTGGTCTCCAGCTTGTCGTTGCGCACATCGTCGTACGCAGCCACGATATCGGGGGCATCGAGTCCAGACATGATTTCGCTCTCTTTTTTGGGGCGTTGTAGGTGTTGTAGGTGTTGTTATATAGAGTCTTGCTTCGTAGAGCGTCTTGGTGGCGGGCCGCCAATCGGGAGTGCAAGATCGGGTTCGGAGGTTCGGTCGGCACGTGCGGGATCTGCCAGAGACGGCGAGTTAGCATCGATCTGAGACGTGCAATTCTGTGTCTTGCCGCTCTCCCTGCTTAATGTTTCTCGTACCTTGCAGACTCGACGGGCGTATATCCAAGGGTTAGGAGAGCAAAGGGCGGGCGGGGAAGAAATCCGGACTATGTACGAATCGCCAGCCGCCAGAGCCTCCACCGACAGCCCCTTTCGCCAGCTAATCGATTAATTAGTCCCTGGACGCATTACGCGCCGCCAGCCGCCTACCCTGGACTTTTTTGTGGTGAAAGGGAGAATGGAAAAGCAGAAGAGCATACATATAGATTTGAGGTATTGACCAACAAGTGCAGATCCAGGTTGCTATGATTCTTGGGGTAAATAATGTCACCATTTTTTCTTACTCTTGAAAACCGCAATAATTGAGCGTTGACGACATCTCCAGTTCCATTATAGCAACCCTCCAAAGTAACTGGTGCCATCTACATACTTTTGCTGAGAGATCTGCTTTGCGATCGCTGTTCCTTGCATAGCGTCCTATAGAGAGGTTCAGAAGTACTAAAGTGGCATTGAAGAGTAGGTCTAGATGCTGCATAGATGCTATACAGCGCTATCTTGCACATACATATATGCCAACTAGTATCTACTATTATTGTACTCTATCACTGTACAATCGAGCATATACCTTTCTATCAAACGCCAATGTCCGATCCAATCGTCAAGTTGCCATATCCTGTTTTCTACAAATCGGCTGCAATGCCTGAAAAATCATTACCACTTCCCATTTCGCCCCAGCACATCATTACAGCTCGTCCACTTCTGCCTTCACCATATCCCAGCATTTCCGCATCCCCGTTCCCATCGACTCAAAAGCATCAAGGTCGACGACCCATTGCTTGGGCCGTTCCTCGTCATCCTCTTTTACCATGGCAACTTCGCCTACAGTAAAAAGATGGACGTGCATTGTCAGCTTGATGTGCGTAAACTGCCAATCTATGCTGCCCAATTCGCCCTTGTATGACATCTTTGGCGGTTTACCAGCTTTAATGCCATGTAATAGTTTTGACGCGTATTCGAGAGATAGCTGCTCTCGCTTCTTTTTATCCGTCTTTGCTGGGGCCTCGAGTAGTTTGCTGGGGAATTCCCATAGCCCAGCCAATAGGCCTTTTAGTGGTCGCCGCTGGATAAGATACTGGCCGTCACCGCGGCGGATGGCACAGACAAGCGTTTCTTCCATGCGGGCAGCCTTTTTGACGGCCTTGACAGGAAACCTGCGGGCGTATTTCGTGATTGCTTCCATGGTCTCTTTGGCAGGGGTTGGAACCGTTGTTGACGGAGAAAGAGAAGGGGATGATGAGCTACTGATGGTTTTCTTCGTGAATGCGAAAGCTGTTAACGTGGCCTGCCTGTTTTGCTTCGCATCGGGTTTCTTGGCCTTGCCACGCTTCTTGTCCTGTGCCGAGTCGTCATCGCTGTCTTTGACGCCACCCTCAAACGGTTCACACAAAGTGCAGGCATCTTCGATATCTGGTATCCCGGGAGAAGTTTCCTTCGACTTCTTGGCCTGAAGTTCGCCTTCTTTGTAAACACGGCAAGTGGATGTAATGGGACACTGAGAGCAGTTCGGATTGGGCGTGCAGACCGTGCTGCCCAGCTCCATAAGCGCTTGGCCCCATTGCCCTGGCCTGTCGTTGGGCTCAGAGTTTATAGAACCATCGTCGCCGTCCAGCTCTGATGTGGCCTTGACCAGAGCATCTGCTGCAGCCCAAATGGTATCTATGACAGCCTTGTCCGTTTTCACGTTCCCATGTATGCCCAATTGCCGGCTCAGCACCCTGAAAACGTTGCCATCAACCATAGCGCTCGGGTTGCCAAAGACAATGCATGAGATCGCGCCTGCGGTATACGCCCCAACTCCCGGCATCTTCGCTTCGAGCTCCTTTGCGGATGATGGTAAAAGACCTTTCATGTCTGGGTCGCCAACTGCAAGCTTTGCTGCTTCATGGATTCTCGTCGCTCGGCTGTAATATCCTAGCCCACTCCACATAGCAAGCACATCTTCAGATTTGGCCGCCGCGAGGTCGTGTATCGTTGGCCATTTGGCCATCCAGCGAGTCCAGTAGTCGATGACGGTGGCCACGCGAGTCTGCTGAAGCATGATTTCGCTGATCCACACTTCGTAGGCTCGTTTCTCGAGCGTCGTTCGAAGCTCTACGGGGTCCGATATCGTTTTCGGATTGACCCACGCTTTTCTCCATGGCATAGATCGTGATTCGCTGACAGATTGAAACCACGAAAGCAAGGCTTTACGACCCTGGGATCCGACATCTTTATCTAAGAGCAGGGGCCTGTGGTATATGATCGAGTGCTGGCGAGAAGGCGGCAAACATGGTTCTCTTGACGTTTCTGTGGAATCTTGGGCAAAAAGTATTTTACGCAAAGTCTCGTCCAATTTAACTGAACGTGAAGCAGAAGCCGTCTTTCGCCTCTTAGTGCTGCTCTCTGGAGGGCTGAGCTCAGCTTCAATCTCAAAGTCAGAATCGCCACTTAGCGACGCGGCATCTTGAAGCTTTTTTGCTCTCGAGTTTCCCCTGTTGGACAAGTTTATTTTGCTCTTTGAAGCTGCTCTAGCTGGTGGCCTTTGACGCTTTGCTGCAGGCATGGCTCAACCCAGATAGCTGCTACTAACGGATGCTCTGTAATGGGTTGATGTAAGTCCGGTTGAAGTACATGCAAGCTTTGGTCGCCTCTTTGCTGGGATGAAGCGCGTCTGGCACATGCGATCGCGACGCGCACGGACCACTTCAATTACTGCAGTCGAAAGAACACTTAACAGCGTGCGTGTTGGATATACATACGTGTATTTTCACATCTCTCATCCATTGGGAGCTCCATTGATGCTTCTCTATAATGAATTCTTTTCAATGATAGATTCTCGAAAGAGCCATATTTTAAGAAATTCCTAAATGTAGGGTGCAGAGCCAACACCATAGGTGGACTTCTCCTGAAGTGCTCACACATACTACGAATTATTTTGCCAAAATATGCAGATAGGTAGAGTTTAGTCACTTTCTAAGACATTTAATACAATGTAAAAGCTATGTACAGGCGTGATATTATCCATCCGTGGCATTGTACATCTCAACTTCTCAGAGTCCGAGCATCGTGGCCGCAATAGACACTGCTGCCGGTACGGCCTGCACATACAGGATTCTCTTGCTGGCCGTCGCCGCGCCATACACGCCGGCAACGCCTACACATCCCAAAAAGAACAGTCTGATTTGCTCTCCAAAAGTTTCCACCGGGTGTACAAGCCCCCAGAACAGCCCTGCGGCAAGAAAGCCGTTGTAGAGGCCTTGGTTGGCCGCCAGCACTTTGGTCTTTGTGGCGAAATCGGGGGCTAGCTTGAAGGCTTTGTGGCCGCGGGGGGTGTCCCACAGGAACATCTCCAGGGCGAGGATGTAGACGTGGATGGCGCCTACGGCGCCGGTGGCTAGTTTAGAGAAGAGAGCCATTGTCCTTTTTCTTCGTTCTTGTCGTATTTGATTCCCGAGTTTCTATGTTCTTGAAGCGAACTCCGCAGACGGGCTCAAAGCAACGGTGCTGGTCCCCCAATTATCGGTTGGCCGAGAAGACTTCAGCCGAGAGAAAGTGGCTTTCGGGGAACCTGGTCTCACAGGCGATTGGCTACTTTAGCCCGTGGCGTCGTACTTTGGATTAGCTGCGGAACGAATACTGGCAAACTTGGCTTGAGAGAGCGGAATCAAGATTTGGTAAACATTGGTAACGAAATCTTTTAATTGTGATGTACCACAGAGGCTCTTTAATATGCAATGGTAGTAAAGCCCTTTTCACGTAAAAAACTAGCTGCGTTGACTGCGCCTATCGGACTGAGCGATGGCTTACTACAAACGGACGTCCCTGTAACCCTCCAGACGCCAATACGGTGGGTCTGGCCTCACTCTTGGCGTCGGATTGGCTAGTTATTTATGTATGTACCGTAGCAATCTTGTAAAAAGACACGCTGTTGTCTGTAGGTGCCAGCAATGAAGCCTTTGTGCCGAGGCATGTCTCCGTAAGAGCAACTTACACTCGCAAAGATATATCCTCTTGATTACAACGTTATTGACTGAGCTAGCATTTGTACATTATTACTTCTCTATTTCCTATTGCCCTTATCCTACTCTTTGCTCACGAAGGATTACTATTAATTGCGATTACTCGTATTTTATACACTGTGCCGTCTCTACGTCGCCTTGGTAAACAAAACGAAGAGATTGCATGACACCGGCTTTGGAATTATTCCACTGATAGCACCTATGCGTTATAAATACTCTATGCTTCAGACATAGCGTTCAGTCAATTGCGGATAGCTCAATTGGATAGCAATTATTTAGTAAGAGGTATCTTCAGATCATAAAGGATTTGGCGGCCCTGACGATAGATCAATGCTGGCGGCGGAATCAAGAGCCCCAGATATCGCATCCTGTACAGGTACTTCGCAGGCTTTTAGATTCGAACTCTAGGCATAGTCTTGGTTTAGGACCATACTCTCGAATGCTTTCAAGATATCCGACTGGCAAGTCGGTGTGCTACTCGAAGCAGTAGACATCAGAGTGGTTTGATCGTTCAGAATCGGCCCTTGACTTGATGGAATATGTTGAGCTGAGGCTTCATCGCACTTTACTCAAAAATGTTCACCGCTTTCCCCTTTGGAGCCTGTTTGTAGACGTTCATCTCATCAGAGGCTGGTAGTAAACGGTAAGAGAAGTGCTATCATTTCAACCGAGCGTGAATGAAAATCGGCGCTGGAGAAGTTGCTATATGTCGAAACGGCTGGAAAGATTGCCGAACTTGCGTGGCCGGTATGCGTTAAATCAACATATTCCCACTTTACCCCCTCGTAATTCCAGCTGAATGAAGTTCACGTTGCAGCAAGGAGCTATCCGATGCCAGTTTTGGGAGAGTCATCCGTACATCCGACCAGAATAGACACTTCCATCTCCCATCAGGCGCCACGATGGCATGTCAAGTCGCTTTGTTATCTAACGGCGGTCACTTGATTACAAGCCGTTGTTGGGGGTCCAGGCCACAAATATTGTCTTATACACGCCTTGTTGCTATGCTTTCTCGTAGTGAACCGAAGCTTTCAATAGCGTGTTTTTTAGGCTCTCGAGAGAGAAACAAGAGAGAGAATAGATGGAGAAATAAAGTTAAGCCGATGTTTCTCTTGTGTCCGTCGACTTGCTGAAGAGTCACCTTTCCATTCTATTATTAGGAGCTTGTCTCGTCGAAAGATGCGACCCATCCTGTGGGGGACTGGCCAACCCCAAGGTATGACCAAGCTGAGATCATGCGGGGAGGCAACTTCGTACAGAGACTCGAGATAGTAGGCGCATTAATATCACAAAGAGGAGACGAATTTTTGTAAAGGGCGCGACGGCAGTATACAACTAGGTACTGTGCTTGATAACATAACCATATGGAGCTTGAAGGTAACGTCCGAGGCACCTAGGTCCATCTCCATTGAGATGCATATCTTTCCCCAATATAGCTTCTAGTTTGACAGCTCTACGGAGTACGGATAAAGATGCCGGATCTCGCCCTGTTGGCCCGAGGAGGGCCCCCTCCCATCCTCGAAGCTCTAAGAGGAGGCTGCGTACCGGCATCCGTGGGGGTCGAGCTCAAAGCCAAGGCGTGCCGTGATGGAACGTTTTGATCTGGGCCCTTTGGTCATCGCCGACGATTAATACACGGAAAATGCAGTGCCAAGAGACACCTCGCAACGTTGGGGTGGTGCATGGGGGGTCTGGTTGGTGGGGTTTTATCAACATCGCTGGCCTAGGAGAAGAAATGGACGCAGGCTGATAGCCTGGTAAAGAGCATCCGGCTTTGTTTGGAGCTGGTTGCCTTACTGTACTTGATATCTCGAAAAGTTACAAAGCCATGCTTGCAGATAACAAATGATGGGCGCGTGAGCAATGCGGGCCAGGGATTAGTGAGTAACCGGATAAAGGTCAGGACTCCAGAATGAGGATGCCGGAGCAACTTGAAGACGGCTAGCCAATAGCAGTGCATGAATCGAACAAGAATGTCCATATCCATGTCCCTGTTTATGCAGTGAGCCGCACCTCGTTGCTCGCTCGTCCTTGCTGCTGCATTGCTACTACGGAATGATAGAAGTATACGAGCACGGAGGGAGAGACTGCGTGTACGTACTGATTATGAGTGTACCTAAGCCCTGAACTATGATGTGGCAGCCACTTGTGCAAGCCCTTCCATTAATAGATAGTGCTATAAGCAGATATTTGAGGCACAGGTTTACTGCTATTTCTTCGTACGGCGCACTTGCAATTAGACTTGGTGTATTACCAACGTTGTGGGGGTCAATAGGGCCAAGAAGCCAGCCTCAGCACCAACATAGACAAGGTCCAAACATGCACATGTACCTCTTCTTGACGGCTGCCGGTGCCTGAGATGATCGTGGCTGAGTGAGCACATCTCAGCTCGCTTTCGCCTTGATGATCAAACGACATTTGAGCCTCATCTCACCGATGATGCGATCTGTTCATGCACTCGTCTGTCTCATTGCCACTTGTTGAAGTCGCCCCCGCATGGCGGATGAAGTCTCGTCTCGTGAATAGCCGGCAAAGTCTCACCGTCGCGACGCAAGCCCACCAGCGGGCTGCTCATCTGCGACAACTAACCAGAAATGGTGCTTTGCACGCACGTATCGACAGCAGGTTTTACCCCATCACTCCGCGAATCCAGAGTCTTGCCGCCGCTAGCCTTAGGCCCAGCTCAATGGTTCGAGTGCTTATTGCTCCCTGGCGTTCGGTGGGGGAACGAAGGATGGGGGAGAACTGCGGAGACTGAGAGGTGTGGCGCTCTGGTCTCGTCTTTCGAGGGCTGGGACTTTGCGCGCAGGGAGATAGGCCGTTGCTGCGCTTTTGAGCCAAAGTGGATGATGGATTGCAACCTCCATCTTGCTTCGTTGCATACCCCTGGTCAGAACTCGGCTTGCCTCGTGGCTCGTCGTGGAGCATGGGGAAGTCATAGTTGCAGTCCGGTCTGCTGCCCTTCACTTGACTGCGCGAAACCATAAAGTGATCTTGACCCGCTGCCAATCTTGCGTACCTCCTTTGCATTCATCAGCCTGGTCACTCTCCCTGTTCCTTACCGACCTCTGTGCTCTTCTGTCGAATCGAGTACCTAGTAACGCCATCTCTGTACCAATTCTGCAACGGATACTATCTACAAGGGCCGAGGAGCGACAGCGCGATTACAGCAATGACGGAGAAGGACGAGTCACGACCTGAGCCGGTCGTCGACCATGGCTCGCTTAACGGCGATGCCTTTGATAAATCTGCCCTTGGAAATGTTACCGAAGTCCAGGGCAATACGCATTTCCATGAGACAGTCACTGCGGCGCCGCTGGATCCATGGTCAAAGACGAGCATTCAGCTGTATTTGATCCTCATGGTGGCAGCATTTAACGCGACGGCATCTGGTTTCGACTCTGTACGTAAAATCCATCCCCGTGACCGTGATAATACATCCGGGAGGTGAGGTATGACGGCTAACAATGCTTCACACATAGGCCATCTTTGGCTCTATCAATGCTATGACACAGTATCAGAACTACTTCCACCACACAGAGCTTGGTTCATCCACCGGCATGTAAGTTGCTCCCTTCCTCAAAAAGGCCACTCTAATGGCATACCCTGGCTCACATGTGTTCTCTTCTTTGGTAGCATCTTTATGATTTACACTATCGGTAACATGATCGGCTCTCTCTTCACTGGCCCTATTTGCGACCACTTCGGACGTCGTGCTGGTATGATGACTGGTGCTGTCTTCATCATGGTCGGTGCCATCGTACAAACCGCTTCTAAGACGGACGCCTACCTTTTGGGAGGTCGTTTTGTCCTTGGATTCGGTGTCTCTATTGGAACCTCGTCTGCTCCCACTTATGCCCTCGAGTTGGCTCCTCCTCAGTGGCGAGCCCGTGTCGTTGGCTACTACAATACCTGTACGTGGGCCTTTCTTTCTTTCTTGCCTAATGCGGGCAACCAAACTTGTTCTAGTAAAACGGTTGGAAATTTTGAAAATCGCTGACATAGGAGTGATTCTTAACAGTCTTCTACACTGGTTCCATTCTCGCTACCGGAGTTACATATGCCTCTGCCAAGAATAACAGCACCCTCGCCTTCCGCCTTCCCATGGCCCTCCAAATCATCCCCCCTTTCGTCATCTTCATCGGCTCAATCTTTATCCCCGAATCCCCTCGATGGCTCACTATGTGGGGTAAGAAAGAAAAAGCTGCTGAAATTCTGGCCAAGTATCACGGCGGTGGCGATACTAACCACCCGATGGTCCGACTTGAGTTGCAGGAATTTGAGGCCTCAATTGAACTACAAAAGTCTTCTAATGTGTGGAACTACTGGGCTCTAATCAAAGACCACAACTCTCGTTGGCGATTCACCATGATGGCCTTCATGTCCTTCTTCGCTCAGCTTTCAGGAAACTCGGTTTTGACGTACTATCTTCCTTCCATGTATAAGCTTCTGGGTATCATTTCTGTTGATCGCAGACTGCTGCTTACTTTTGCCAACTCCATCGTCTCTGCCACTGGTGCCGTTGCTGGCTCTGCTACCAATGATAAGATTGGTCGCCGTACCAAGCTCTGGGTCGGCAGTCTTGTCCTTGCTGGGCTATTCGCCGCAGTCACTGGATTCTCTAGCAAATTCGAGCATGGCTCTGCGGGTGTCAGCAAGGCTTATTCGAATGCTGGTGTTGCTATGGTAAGTGATGACTCTTCTGAATACGACATGCACAAAATCGAAGCGCTATGGCGGTAGATGCTAACGAGATCTGCTTCCGTAGATTTTCCTTTTCGGTTGCGCCTATTCATTTGTTTATACTCCTCTAACCGCTACGTATTGTGCGGAAGTTCTGGCCACCCCTACTCGTGCCAAGGGTATGGGAGTTGTAAGTTGAACCATCTTACACTATCTTGTTATAATCTGAGTAATGCCTTCTACCGAGGATTTAAGAATGCTGACTTTGAGTGCTTCTCATAGCATGTAATTTTCTCAAACTCCGCAAATCTTTACAACACCTATGTTACTGCTATCGCTCTCGATTCTATTGACTGGCGTTACTATCTCATCTTTGTTGGCCTCAATCTCGTTTATGCCTTCTGCTGGTTCTTCTTTGGCGTTGAAACTCGTGGCCGTACTTTGGAAGAGCTGGATGAAGTCTTCAACGCTAAGTGGCCGCCACGCGCTGCTTTGAAGAAGCAGGTCATGGTCAGGCAGCAGGACGGCCACCTCGCAGGCCTCCATGACGATGAGCTTGTTCGAGAAGTTTGAGTGGATACTGTCAAAGATGGTGGTGTTTGGGCACTGTTATATTAGGGTGCGAAAATGGTTTTTATATGCTGGCTAGTCGAAGCGAGCAGGGAATATGTTTATTCTTACGATATTAATATACGAGTAATGATATGCAGAACATTTAGCTGCTACAGCCAATCATAATAATGATGTTCATTCTGTCTGGAGCGTGAAAATGCGGTTTGAGCTACCTACTAGGAATACACCATGAACCGTGTATAATTGCGTTTATCATTGGTTCATCTCATCTTGTAAAATGCTGTACATATTTCCATGGCCTGAGAGATAGCCCGCCAACCCACTGTCGTGCTCATCACTCCCTTGCACCTTGTCTAGAGTAATCATATTTTCGATTGCCCACGCCACCCTCTCTGCCGCAATTTTTGCCCCTCCAATGTTTGGTGCCGCAGGACCAAGTTGAAGAGCCCCCAGTCTTCCAGCTAGAAAGAGGGGTACTCCGTCTTTCCACATGAGATCCTCGTTAATGCATGGGAACCCGCCATGGCCGTGGATAGGATACTTTTGCAGCATAGTTTGGAGATACGGTAAGCAGGTAAAGTCCGTCTGGATACCAGTAGCGAAATATATGTAATCGAATAAGGGCAGCCCTGCGATGGGAGGCTCTGTCTTGATACTCCAGAATTGAGAGCCATCCACTTCTTTCATCTCCGCATCTACAAGCGTCGTATGAGTATGAAGCTCGAGATTGCCAGATGCGATGCATTTTTTCACTTTCTTGTAGAAAAGAGGCGTAAGACTGCCACCGCCGCGTGCCTCCTTGATGATTTCAAGGCGCTCAAGATCCGTGTCAGCGGACCAGAACCGCGCATGCTCGGCGTTTTTGTATTTGCCCATCCATGAGAGGTCGACGTCAAAATGCTTGACGCGCAGAGGACCACGCATAAGGTGCCATATTTTGGTTACTCCTTTTCGGAGAGCAAGTACCGCGAGCTGCGCAGAAGTAAGGCCGCCACCAACAATGAGAATGTTAGTAGATCTACCTGCGTCGATGCGTGACTGAACAAGCGGATCCGGAAATTCTTTGATAAGCATACTGTGGCATGCCTGAGGAAGCCCACTGCTGGGTGAGGGAGAAGCCGAAGGGAGGAATGGAATCTTTGGAGGATTGGCCGGCCCGACTGCGAGGACAACCGTTTTCGCATAATATTGACGAACTGCATCCGTAGTGATGGTGAAGAGCTTTACACCATCTGCCGAAAGACCTTTTACCTCGCCAAAGTCAATATCTTTCAGGGTCTCCTTGCGAATGAGCTTCTCTCCAAGATTATATCGGTCGGCCACTTGCTGGCAGTGATCGCGAAAGAGTGACTGTGATGGCGTATAATAGTCGTTTCGCTCTCTAAGGTTAATATCGATTCTCGCTTCCTGCCTATGAATTCTTTCGTCAGACTCTTGTATATGAAGAATGGCCAACCAAAGTCCACATACTTTCCGCCGCATGCTCGGTTTTTGGCTTTCTTTTTGCTCGCGTGCTTGCTGACCTCTTTTCCTACGCAATTACGGATCTCAACAAGCTCATCCTCGCGTTGATGAGCATACGCATGAGCTAGAAGAGCATCGCGATCGAGGGGATCTACATGCCAAAGCATTGGGCTGCGTAGATGCGAAATGTCATATGCTTTGAAGAGACGATTCCAACGGCCGAGCCACTTGTTGTCCGTGGCGTCCAATACGAGCATCTTGTATTCAGGCCGGCAAGTTGTGGAGCGACGGGCTTGAGACACCTTACCGCTTCTTACATGTTTGAGGGTAATGTGATTGCCATATTTCCCGATCCAATGGTAACGGCGATGTTCTTCGTCTGTGAAAAGAGCGGCTGGGGTATGCTCGCGGAGTCGTGAAGCCGTAGAAAGGCCACAAGGACCAGCGCCGACGATAATGACATCGTACACTTCCTCTTCTTTTTCCATCATACTCATTGGTCTGACCTTGGTGTTATGTTGCTATATAGGGCATACAATAGTTGTCATATAATGAGGGAAACAGTTGGAGACTGCTGAAGTTAAGAATGGATGCTGTACCGTTACAAGAAAGAAACTAGAATCTGTTTGTCTATTGTGTCCGCATTCTACGTCCTCTGGAAATACAGCTGAGGACCTTGATGGTGAGCATGCCATATCTTTATTATCTGCGATTTAAATCACGTTTACACAATCCAGTAACTATTTCCAAATGTGGCACTGTCAAGCTGTGTTGGCGAACCTTGATGGCCTGGCGGAGCAAGACATCAAGGTTGTTTATCACCGCATATGGAGGCTGGTCGAAATTTCAGTCACTAATAAAGATCAAGTTCATAGAGTTCAATACGATTGTCATTTCTTTGATGTGTTATCTATCGATTTATCCTTATTAGCAATTCAATAAGACCGAGAGTTGCCCTAGTTTTGTACTAAGCTGTTGTGATGTTCCACACGCAGCGTGTAGTCACACTCTAGTTACCTACTAAATTGATTCAATTTATGTACAAATACAGTTATTCTCATCATTAATAGCTAGCACTTGACTTCCTTTGTTTAACTCTTTTTCTTTGCTTCTTTTGCTTCGTTTTTCCGTCTTCTGTCATATGATCTAAACGTTAAAGCCAAAGCGCTCCATTTTAACGACTCCATTATCTTTGACGCTATTCCCCACATAAACCGCGAAAATTTCACGTTCGCCTTTCGTAACCAATATCTATCAAGGTTATGCTCCTGAGACCCCATCAAGCGGATTCAAAGCAATTTGGCGCAGTGGAAGCGCGCCGGGCTCATAACCCGGAGGTCGCACGATCGAAACGTGCAATTGCTATTCCTCTTGATTTTTTTGCTCCTTTTATCATATCTTCAAATATTTGGATAATAACCATGCTTAGAGCATACAAACACCCAACTTCTTCCTTCCTTTTTTTCTCCCCATATCGTTGACTCATACATCCTCGCAAAGCGGCTATTTTAAATTTGTGTGGAATTTTCAATGGGATTTACCGCCATTTTTTCCATGTGGAGGAGCAATAGAAACCCGTTGCTACACATATCATTCCCAAGAAACAGCATAAGTGCAGCCACTCTTGATTCGTGCTGAAGTGGAAAATACTTCCACAGGCAGGGCCAAAGAAAAGGCCCAAAGCCCACGCTGTGCTTAGGCCGCTTAGCATCATCCCTGGAGTTAGCATTCTCAACTTCCAGCTTATTTCTACGCCACTGGACCGGATACGTGCCCTCAGGACCTCAGCTCTCTGTGCGGCAGCTGAGATGGCCGTGGTTTGCGTCGTTGTGCCGAGGGAGATACAGAGACCAACAAGCCCTATGTTTAAGACAAAGAGAGTCTGAGTTGTTGGATCATCGCCTGTAAGGCAACCTAGTGTGACCATGAAGATACCACACGCAAGCGATGCCAGAGAGCTAAACCATCGCGGACCGTTCAAAGTTGTATATTTGCCGACCAATGGACCGCCTACCATGGGGAAAAGGAGAGCAAACATGACGCCCCCGCCAGCAGATGAAGTCCAGCCAAAATGGCGAAGGACGTATATCGGAATTGTCTGTAGAGACGTGTTAATATAATATTGGGTGAGGAAATTTGATAGTAGACTCACGGCTTCCAATGCTGATCGAACGATACACGCAACAGCTGCTCCAATGACACTAGAGAGCCAATTCCATCCTAGACTGCACAACTCAGACACAGCATCATATCCATCTTCACAGTCGCCAGTCTTATAAAATGCCGTGCGGTTATCTTCCTCGCCGCACTCTACATCCGTTGGTAAAGTGCGGCTTATTGTCCCATGAGATACCGCGGCCGAAGCTTCTAGCAGAGATTCTGTTTCAGAAACGCCTTTCACAGCATCCACTGGGGTGCGCTGCTGAGTCGTCAAATCTTTCTCCTTGACTAATAATCGGAGCACAATGTCGGCTGCAATCACTACCTCTACTACGCCGAAGACAGCCCAGTGTCCTAGCTTTTCGTATAGATAGCCTCCCAGTAGAGGTCCGATCAGCTCCCCGATCGTAGCACCCAAAGTTGTGTAACCCATGCACACTCCCAGATTAGCCTCGCCTACTTGTGATACTAGAAAAGCAATACCAGACACCCATACAAGAGCTTCTGAGGCTCCTTGCAAAGCACGGGCGAAAATGATGAGGTATGGATCTGTGGCAAGGAAGAATAGAAGTGTAGCAATAAGCATGACACCAATGCCAGCGAGAAAGGGGCGACTTTTTGAGACGCTTCCGTCGGCGATATACCCAGCAATCCCTAACAAAGTACAGATTAGCGTCTTGAGAGGTTGCGTCTTGACGAGATATTGGCCAACTCACAGTTCGTAATAAGTAATGCCATCCCGAAGGACTCAAGGGAGAGCGCAGCCCAATTGTCAACTTGGATTGATTGTCACGTCAGCCAACTGAGAATTCACTGCTAGGTTTGGGGTGTGGATTATATCAACCTTCTTCTGGCCGAGTTTTCAGTCGTCCTGTGAAGAGCTCAGGTAAGAAGGGTATAACTAAATCATATACCAATCCGTCCTATGATTTGGTTACCACCCCGATTGTTCTTTGAACTCGAAACCGACTCATCTTTACTGTAAATACTGCAAACGCGACCGCAAATGTCACTAAGCCTTCTGAAGAGCACCATGGCGACGTCGCTGCTTCCGATTGACGACCCATCACATGCAAGTACTTGAATAGGGATTGGAGTTGTGAAAGGAACAGACAATTAGGACTTCACAGCAGCGTAGGCTGATGAGAGGATCACTTTCATAGGTTGCGAAGGGGGATTGCTATATTAATAACAAAGATCTAGGCCACGAAAATAAGAGGCAGGATCAAGGGCAATGGAAGGTTGGGTGGGCGATATAGTCGATTTTGGAAGGGAGGCCGCCCCGGATACAAGATGCCGAACAGGTAGTTATCCACATATCGGCGGGCCAAGTTTGTCTTAAGAGAATAAATGATCCATTGCAGGTACGACAGGACGACAGGGGCTCTTTGTTAACATCAATGTATGGCGTCGTATTCCGAGGTCTTTGGAGAGCTAGAGAGAGAATAGGCCAGGAGACGAGGTGGCAGGATGCCCAGGAAGCTAACGAGATAGATGGCTCACCATCCTCTGCATGTATGTCTCACAATAATAAAATGAGCAAACATGATAAGCGCGATAAAGACCCGCCTCTTTGCATTGCTCCGCTGCAGGGAGAGAACGGGCTGTGTGGCATCTCTTCGCCTCATTCTTCGTACTACACATCAAATTAGCACAGGTAACAATCGCCGGCGAGAAGGTAACCAGCTGCAAGCCCTGCGGAGTTTTGAGCATGAATAAGTGGGAGCTGATGGACGAAAACCCTGGATGAAAATCCGATTCTGTGGCACCGACTGCGGAAGCAGGCATTACACTGCTCATTAATCTCCACCACTAAATCGATGAATGCGAGATGTTTGTAGTTAAACGCCGGAGCTTATATAGAACAGGAAGATGCACGCGCAAGCTGCAGCACATCATGGATCCCCGCGGCTGATGGCGAGCTAGCTTTGCTCCGCAGGTGCAGTCTAGACAAAGAGAGCCGCCCACCCGCAAGCGAGACTGTTGCGCTTTTGAGTTGGTGATACAAGCTGCCCTGCAGAGTGGACATAGTTGGCGTTTTCATCTTGAAGCTGAATGGGGGTACCACAACGCTTCAATATTAATTGGGGTGTCCATAGATTTGAGTTGCATTGTGAGATCCTCTTAGCCTTTCCCTTCTCAGAGGGTCGCACAATGGACTTAGCAGCTCCCTGTCGCTGTTGAGAAGCAATAGTGCAGCAGCATACATACATATTCTCAGTGGCGTACCCTTCTGTTGGATTAGCCTGGTTGTTCTTTATATAACACAACACGACAATCCCCGCTATCAGCTATTGAGATCCCCTGGTTATCAATATTCCCTATGCCTGCTCCGTATATATGAGGATTCAAGAATTATCCACCTGCAAGATGCGATTATTTTGCCCTAAAATGTACATGAGGCGGCGTGGCGAGTAATGGGCTACATCCCAAGCGTTCCCATGCGCCCACAACCCCGCGTTGGATTCAATCATTTTGATGGAGCTGGTTGTTCTATGTGACCCAAGAGGAGCATTAACCATTAGCTACTAGCTGCTGTACATGGCCATGGGGGCAAAATTCCCTCAATCGCGGGAGGAGAACAAAGACTATTACTATTACGACTAGGTACGGGAGTAGTCATATAGGCTGATGAGGGGATCGGAAGGCCCGCGAATGACCTGCTCGGAATGCTTCACGTTACAACGTAGAGGGCCAATGACTGGATTAAGTAACAAGGCTGGAACTTTTATTTTTAGCATTTGCACGCAATGATGGGGAAAATAAGTATTAATGCACGTATTTATGTATAAGCATATAGGGGGCGTTCGTATATGCGCTGGCGGTTGATGCTCCATGGCGAACGCTTTGACATGGCATATTGAGCGCAGAGAGCCTTGAGCCGATGTTGTCGCATGGCCCGCGATTCATAATCACCACAGCTTTTCGAAGATGGTTGAAGATTCTTTTTCTTTTGTTTCTATTTTCTTTTTCACAGTACGTTAAAGTTGTCTAATACATTTCTGCTACATCTGCGTCTACGCTTTTTTAGAGGTACATTTGGGTCAACGTGCCACCTGTGGCTGGCTCACAGGGCATATATGTACAGCATTTGAGATTGGAGATAAATTAGCGCGCGTGAAGCGAGATCAACTTCAGTCTTCTTCTCTCCATCATTATAGCTACGAGCCCTATATGCGTCTATTATTCCTCTCAACAGTAAGTACTATTATTATAAACTGACTACCCATTTCGAAACTGCCAATGTTATCATTTTCGTCGCCTTACAACTATAACGGCTTTGCACTAGTTCTGGAAAGTGCATATTATTACAAGGAACTGTGATCTTGACTTACCCATGACCTACGGAAGGTGTAGCAATTGTAGTACATAAACTTCGATCGTAACAATTTAAATCTATAATGTTCCAGCTAGCCCGTGTGATCCTTGAAAGAGACGACACAAAGTCTAAAATGGATACTCAATAGAGCGCTTCTTTATAGAGAACATCGCCTTCCCTTACTTTATAGGAAATAAGTATGATGAGTATAGAATTGGTGGCTTGCCGAACAGCACACCATGGCATGTGGGGCCTGGAGAGCGAATAAATATCACGATGATAAATAAATGATATAGAGTTTAGTTGTATTATTATGCTCTTCTACCCTCGTAACAGAAGCAGAGATGCAAACCTATAAGTACATAGGCTAATAGTGAAAACAGGAGGAAATGCACCCTAGAGAGCGTAGGACTTTGGTCGGAATCTCACGTTCGGACTGGATGAGCACAGAATGCCGCCTTCGCCCTCCACGGGGATATATATTGATACGGAAGCGTAAATATTCCGTAGCCAGCGAAGGTCTTCAGTGGCTGTTGTCTAGCAGATGTCTGATATCTCATCCACTATTTGGCAGTGACCACGTATTTAAGAGCAATGGGCTCTAAATTGAAAGCACATAGTCAGTTGACCTGTCGGATATACTAATAGAAAGCTTAGCCTAGTGCTTAATCGCAACAAAGTATGGCTATTGGCGACCTACTCGGCGTTTATTTTGCTCTTTGCTTATAACCCACTGAAATTAAATTTTTACGCTTATCGCTAAATAGGAAGCTTAAACCTCCATTAAAAAATGACGGCCAAGTTATTCGCGCTTTTGATGCCTCTTTCCGGCCGCACCGCCACCATGGACAAGACAACGCCTTGCCGTTCTAGTGACTTGACCCGCTCCAGAACTATCCAATATGAGGGGTAGGGAGCCCTTGGTGAGAGTTTGGCCCCATTTGGGATGCAGAAGGCCTCTAGAAGGAGCTCTTGGCGCAGTGTTAGGATGACCTATTTCAGGCAGGTCGGTGGGCATAAATGGGACATTTGTGAACTTGTCGTCTCGGCATATGCTCTTCAACAGGTAGAAACTAGCTAATTCAGTCCCTTACGTTGGAGGATAGTATTGGCATTACAAATTGTATGGAAATGGAATTGTGTATAAAGGAAGCCATCGCTCGCTCTTGTAATTGAGATGGAATCGTCTATCCATAGCACGCAACTTTATAATCTAAGTGATTTTTATAAGACAGAAGCAACATCATTTCGCCATGAAGCTGACATCCGTCATTGTTAGCCTTGTGCCTGTCGCTTTGGCATTGCCAGCCTCTGATGGCACCTTAGGACGACGACAAACCAGTCTCTCGACCATCACAGATCAGCTGCTATTTAGTACAACGCTCCCTGACTTTATTACTCACCGTAATGCCAAAAACCCCCCTACACTTGACTGGTCATCTGATGGCTGCACCGACTCACCGGATAATCCGTTTGGGTTCCCCTTTGTCCCTGCTTGTAACCGACACGATTTCGGGTACCAGAATTATCGACTCCAGAATCGGTTCACGGATAGCGGTAAGCTTAAAATCGACAATAACTTCAAATCTGAGTGAGTGAAGCCAGACATCCTATGCGCCTATGGTTAGAATGGAGTTGAAGTACTGAGCGTGTGCTATTATTAGCCTCTACTACCAATGTCAATCATCGAGTGTACAGTCAGTTTGTAAAGCTCTTGCGGATGTTTATTATGCTGCAGTGAGAGCATTTGGAGGTGGCGACGCCTCGCCCGGGAAGAGAGAAGAATCACAAGAGGACCTGATTAAAGAGTATGAGGAAAAATTGGACATTTACAACCAGGCGGTCAAGGATGCTCAAGCCAAGGGGTTGCTTCCAATCTTAGACTAATGCAGTACGATATTGAAAAAAATAAAAAGAGTAAAATTATTGCGACCAATGGTATTGAATGTAATATATGTTGGACTTGGACATACAGCGCCTTTAAATGCCAACATTCGATGGTGGTATTTGATGAAGGTAGGAAGTGGAAACAATCCTAACTTCACCAAGATTGACGATGGGCAATTACTTACGCGTGTATTTTATATCATTCTACGTTGATCGATAAACTTGTTAATCCTTTCACAGAAATGATTTCGCGGCCAAGAAGTGAAACCTAGTCATATGTAGCGCGAAGTAAACATGAAAAGTCGCAGCATAGTCATTAAGCGATCATACTTGGGAGAAATGCAAGGCGCTCATATTAAAATGTGGGTGATCGGGCATAACTATGTATAAGACAACACATAGCTGCTATGAATGATGCCTTTTGCTTGTTTATAAATAGTATGCTATGACACTTCTTGTTTTTAAATGATAGCCTTAGTAATATATATACATTTGAATAGGTATATGGCTTGCGTCGATGTCGAAGCTGGGACCGCCAGAGTATTCATCTGCATCTATAATAATCTCATGAAAGATGCGGTAATGTATCAAGGGCTTAAGTGACAAAGAGCCTAAATAGCATCACTCAAGCAGCTCACCTTGGCTGCCCTCGGTCCCATCTCTTGGCCCTATATACATAATGTCATGAAGAATCTGTATCCATCCTTGCTCCTCTTTCCTCCACCAGTACTGCACTTTGATTAGGCGCCCCTCATTTCCCTCTTCGCCCTCTTCATCCCACAAGTCGACTCTCATGCCTACCCACCCCTCAGCTTTTGCTTTTTGCCTGATATCGTCTGCTGTTCCAAACCCAGTTGGCTTAACTTGCTCATCGGTGCCGAACTCGAATTCGTCTTCCTGTAGGGCCCGGATCGTATAATAACTCCTTTTCGACTCCTTTTCGACTGCTTTAGCAGTCGATGACGAGGTGCTAAGGCTTTTACGTGCCGACTCGTAGAGATATCGCACAATAGTCTCTCTATCTCGAGCTGCAAATGATGGCTGTGGGCGGCATATCTGGAAACAGGTAGAAGAAAAGTAGTTGCCTTTCAAGCTTATGTCGCTAGTATGACGATAGGCGGCATAAAGCTGCTTGAGATGATTGGTGGCATCTGACGAAGGGCGTTCTAGTGTCATTTTCTTTTAGAGATAGCTATTCATAGACTCCACTAAAGGATTTAGAGATGGAGGCCTTATAATTAATTTATAGGTCACGAAGCTAATCGATGCTGTGGCTGCCTAATGAACATCTTGTGAAATCGAATGGCTACATTGAGGTGACAAGCTATATGACTCATAGATACGCGACCCAAAAGGAAATGGAAACGAAAGAGAAAGAGAAAAGAGGGGTAACAAGAGAGCATTAAATGATTAGTAGCTTCAGAGATTTACCAACTCAAAAAGCGCCTATAGCGCGCTAGAGGCTTGTTATAAAAACACATTTGAGCCTAAGGATCTTTTAGTAGCCGCTGAGGATCTCATGAAGTAATACTAACCTTTAGCTTGCATAACCGAGCGAGCATTCCAATTCTACTATGTAGCAAGGTGTAAGCGCTATTGGAATTTTTACCTGGACATGATGCTAATATAAAGCGTTTCCCCTCGTCTCTGGTTGACTAAGAGACCACCGGACTTACCGCCCGCAGTTATTATAGGCCTGGGGAAGATGGCTTGGTAATGAATTGGTAGGATAAAAACCAGAATACTGTCATACATGTATTGTTAGGGAGAATATTGACGGCTTATACATCTCGGCTTAGTACTGGGACTCGATGTTATCAGATCTTCCGCAAATACCATACTGCGGAATATTTCCGAGGACGTCAACTGGCACATATTGTGGGCCGCGCTTCTGGATTGGATTGCAGATCTCCGAGAGCCCCCATATAAACGGGTGTCATGGCTGGTTTAGTCCGACTATATATAGACACTGTAGGTTCGCCATTCGCCATATGTATGGTCTCAATGAGAGAACGGAACCCTAAAGGCCTACGAATCCAGTCTGCTATATCAGGACAGTTATAAGAACCTCCACATAAAATTCCGCCCTGGCCTTATCTTCCAGACATGTCCGCTCCAGCCCCAAATCCTGTTGTGGCGCCTGACCATGTCCTTGCGCTACTCAATCGTCTACATCAAGAGTCACTTACACAAGAAGCCGCCCTTCCATCGACTTATTTGGGATCTAATGACTTTGATGACCTGATGCGAGACAAATTCATTGCCTTGGATCAAGATAAATGTCAGTTTGTCTACCAACTTGCGAGAGCCACCGGCGCTCGTAATATTGTCGAGATTGGCACCAGCTTCGGGGTCTCTACTATCTACCTCGCCTTAGCAGTGGGGAGTAATCTCGAGCATCTAGGTGGTGAAGGTAAGGTTATTGCCACGGAAAAGGAGCATACGAAGGCTGAGAGGGCTCGCCAATACTGGCAAGAAGCTGGAAACGATCTTGTGGCGCGCCATATCGACTTGAGAGAAGGGGATCTCCTTGAAACATTGACAAATAATATCCCGCAGATTGATCTCGTTCTCCTTGATAGTAAGTTAGCACTTGTGAATACTATAAGTTTACATAACTAAACTCATTTAGTCTGGGCTCCTGTTGCCCTTCCTGCATTGAAGCTACTGGAGCCAAACTTACGGTCTGGAGGTGTTGTTATTATTGACAACTCGATTGGCTCTGTCGCCAGATATAAAGAATTATTGGATCATTTGAGGTCTCCGGAACAACGCTACACGAATCTGACACTTCCTTATTCTAAAGGCTTAGAAATGTCCGTTAAACTGTGATGGGGGCTCGAATATCAAAGAGCGCTAGTTTGATGTAGCTAAGCTATTTTCATACGAAACATTTCACTCAAAGAGCTTCCACCCGTTCTTTTTCTAATGAAAAGGCACGTTCAAATTTAGTATTTTCCACCCAGCTCATTAACTTCAATATCGCCTAGGGTCGTTAAAGCAAATTCTTGACTCATTTGCATAAGATCTGCTAGGCATTCAGGTGACTGGCACCACCATGGGAGCGTAGGCTCAGTATTGTCGTCTTCCCCCCCGGCTCCAATCGGCCTTGCGTTCTAAGGTTGTTCGCGCATAATAGCAAGGGCGTTGCCGTTTTAGAGATTGGGGTATGCGTAAAACTTTCACCTGCTGTGAGGGCTGCTACGTGCTGCTGGCTCGATCCTGAAGCTAACCCATGTCCAATCTTGAACAATGTTAGCCACTGATTATTGTCTGCAGGAGTCTGATTCAATGGGTCATCATCCCCGAAGAGAATAAGCCGCGCCTGGCGACGAAGGATATCGCAATTGATGGTAGCGCCGCTTGCTCGTGAGGCAGCCATAAAGTCACCAATGTGGGCTGTAAGTAGCTCAAACACGTTTGGAGGGTTCTGAGCGCCTGGACATGTGAGAATCTTCTTCATGACGCCCTTTGAGGCGCTAAAAGGCTCTAGATCCAAAGACTCAACGCCAATAAGATAGTCGGTATTGCGCTTTGGACAAGCACCGCAATGGAAGGCTCAAAGCCTCGATCCCCTTTCCAGTCTTTCATAGATTTTCCTCTGCTAAAGTGGTCGGCTAGATGATCATTGCAGTCCGTCCAAAGAGAAAAATTCTCTCCGCAAAAACCGCAGCGTGATTCCACTTTAGAAATTTTCGAACTCCAAGCATTCATAGATAGTATCATTTTATCGACGCCGTGCGCAAGACGCAAGCGTTGATGCAAATGGTCTTTTCTGTGGAAAACTCTTAATAAGGTAGGTTTCGCTATACAGTCAGATATACGATGAGATTGAAGGTGTTCGTCGGACGGGTCGCGTTCATCACGGAGAGAGCATTTTGGCGAGGGGTCTCCAAAACCCCATCTTTTCGGTCCGGTGGGAAGGCATGTCCATTGTTCAAGAGCTAAATGGAGCGCCCCCTTGTGCCTCGTTCAGTCATATCTTGTTTTGAAGGTATCTGTACAGGAAGTACATTGACAAATGCGGGAGCTTTTATCCTCGGCTGCCCTGTTGCCCACGTTATGCCGCGATCCTGAGCCTTCAGTTTTAGATTGTTGATGATCTGCAATATTGGGGCTCTCAGAGCAGGAAGAACAGCAGCTTGAGGGCCATGAAGCAATAGAATTTCGCGAATTATCGGTGCTAGTTTGAAAATTTGCAGATATGTCGCTTTGAGAACGCGATTTGGTCAAGGCGCCTCCATACACTGCCGAAGGAAGAGCATCTAGCGTAGCAGACTGTTCTGCTCTTGGCAACGAAAGGCTTAAGTGACTTTCATGGCTGCCTTGTTTTTCGTATGACCGTCCTTCACTTCTCCTCCTTGCATTCACAAACCATTGTGATACTTGGCGAACGCTTAGTCCAGATTTACGACTAAGCTCTTGCTTTTCCTTAGCGCTCGGATACGGCTAGGCAGAGTTGAAACTATACCACTGCTTCAGCACGTGCGTGGAGTTTCACGGATGTCTTTTTGTTGGCTTTGCCAGATTTTCCCATAGCTCATTCTGTGATCTATCCATAGCGGATATGTTATATTGCGTAATTGTCGCTAGTATCAATCTTGTTCCAGATCTTTAGTTAAAGTACGTAGGACATCTCTGGAAGTGGGGGAAATACTCCCTAACTTGGGTTCTTGATGAGACAAGCGCCTTTTGAAGAGTACGAGGGAAGAAATGAGGTAGGCGCTAATGCTCAGCTAACACGAATGAATGTGAGTGCATAAAAGAGCCATTTATATGAATATAGACCAACAAACTCCGAATATTCCAACTCTGATAACGTTAACGTCACACGATAATAACCTAATTAGGGATCTGCTTTCAGGGGTTTTCGATTTTGAAGTACAGTTAGTAACAATTGACAAAGAAAGGAACGGAGTTAATCGATTGCTTATTTACTCATCATAACAGCTTTCTCCCAATCTCGTTTCCCTGTCCATTGCGGAGAGAGTATGGAGTTGGCTCACCGCAATTCGCCGTTTTATTAACAAAAGAATCGTAGTGCTTATATCCAGGGTTGCAAAAAATTACGAATAATACTACTAGTCACGAATGGGGTTACGAAAAGTTAGCAATATTACTCCTAGCAGTTACCATTACTACTAACTACTCTAATAGCTATATCGTTTTTAGTAGCCCCGCTACGAAATGTCAAAAAGTTGGTTCTTAATACAAAATACGAAGTGCGAGAGTACTAAATGTTATTTTCACCAACCCTGCCAGTGATATCTATTTAGTAGGCCTTGGATATCTAATCAACAAACCAAATCTGTTCGCTCGATGTTTCTTGCATGGTGATTGTGTGAGAAAAGATTTTGGGAATAAATGCCCACATGTATTCCTCCATACCAGCGCCAATGGTATTTTTGATGATCTGAACCAGCTCTGGGCTGGAATTCAATGCTTCCGCTACCACTTCTCTCATCTTAGCTTTGATATTGCTCATGCAGCTCTTCCATTCTTCGCTATCACGATCTTTGATCGCCGATAGTTGGTATGTCTCCTGATATGCTGCTATGGTAGAAGCTAAATCCCTAAAGACCGTCATCATTCGTACTTCTTCATTGCTGAGAATAGACATGATCACTGTCCTTGTTCTATGGACTCTTAAGCCAGCGTTGAGCTCTCTTGAAGTGATTGAGTTGTGTTCGAAGTCTTCGGGAATTTTTTCTACAAGCGCCATACACGCTACTATCATATCGTTAGCTCTTGATTTTTCATCGTAGATTAAAACACATTTTCCAGAGTCTATTTCTCTACAGAGAGGGTCGTTTTGTTCTCTGTCAAACGCTGTCTTCTCATCATTTGTCCAAGATGAGAGTTTTTTGCTGCGATACCAATCAAGTATTCGGTACCACTTCCCGCTTTCCTCTTGACGAATGATGATTTGATCTTCTGAAGCATTGATTGCTCCAGGCCATGGATGTAATGACAGGCTAGCTGCTAGTGGAAGAGGAATAAGACGGCATCCTGGGAAGGTGACTTTCAAGCCTAGAGGTGTCGGAATGCCTTGGACGTTGGGGGCACTAACAAGACGTAGCATGCGCTCGTCAAACCCCATAGTTGGATCTTTGACAGACGATCCCAGTAGACTACGAGGAGCCCATCGCCATCCAGGTGTGCTTAGCACTTCATCCGCATAAAATATGAGTCGTGGTGGAAGACCGCTATGCAATTTGTTCAGGAGTTCCCAAGTGCGAATCATTCGACTTTCGGTATCGGAAGTAGAAGCAATGTATTTCGTATCAAGGGACATCAGAGTAGAGATACAGAGTGGTTCATCAGATGCGACTGATACTGTTCGGAACTGCAATGCTCGCTGAAGGGTGAGGAGTTGCGGTGTAGTCGGCTCCAGTCCTCCATATTGAAGACCAAAGCCTTGAAGTTCATTATACTGGCGCAGAAGACTATCAGATGGAGTCTCTCAGATGGTGTAAAAGCAATACTAAGATACTTACTGCATGTATTACATCCTGCCATATTCGCATGTATCGCGGATCGTCATTGCCAGCGTCAAAGAGGCTAACAAGCAAATCAAAGCCTCTAACTGCATTATTCTCCAATTGTACGAATAGACTCCTTGTGAGTGCGCCCTCTAATCAAGCAGCTTGGAATCAGCAAAAGCAGTACCAAAGCCCTTGAAGATTTATACCACATACCTTGAAGGGTCCATAACCGTCTCATCCAAGGGGACGCACCATATATCCGCAATAATAACTCAGCAGGATGTGTGTCTTGAGAATTTAATCCAGTCAAAGTAGCATCCAGCACAAGGACATGGGCCGCATTTCTATACACACCAGCGATCCTTTCAAGTGCGATTAATTTACTTTCAAGCTCAATAGGACAACAGAAAGTGTCAATCCAGATTCGGTATTGAATCCTATGTTCTGTTTGTTCCGCGTCTACTTGGCCTTGCAGAGATGCTATTAATTGAGCCACCCGCTTTACTTGGCACCTTGGGAGAGAATTTGCCCTTGGATTCCCTAGTCCATTGGCCCAAACCTATTATCTCTTATTAGGTCTCCATAGTCGGGCGTTTGTGAATGGTTGTGCTTACATGAGAGAGTGCGACATAGGGGACACCCGGTTCATATGGTTCAACCACTAGTTCGAAGTTGTCCGATTCATCCCCTATTTGATCAAACCGGAGGATTGGATAAGTATCAGTGCTGCGAAGAATCAGAGAGGTTACTCTCTCATCAATAGTTAGGAGAGGACAACCGCAGTCATCTGACAGGTGTGAGGGCTGATAGGTCTCAATGTCCATCTGAAAGGCTGTGCACAGATGGCGTGTACAGTTTGAATGGTCTTGGTTGGCATTTGGCCTCTGTAACTGTGAAATATGGTGCATGGTATGCAATCCTTGAAACTGAGATCGAATCTTCTCAGTCTCGCTAGGGCACCATCCCCGCTGAAGCATTTGTTTGTCTATGGTGCCCCCCAATTGCATGTAACCCTGATGCCAGCTGAACGCTAAGTTAGGCACGTCGATTTTGGTAGTTGATTGCGCTACTACGCTGGATAAGCCCGTGGAGAAATATTCTCCAAGGGCGCATATCGAGTAGCGCACGGTTTCGTCTAAATTCAAGGCAGAAGGAATCATTAAATTGGCGTAACGAAGGCAATCGCGTATGTATATGAGCCTCTCCCGCTTATCGGGCGCAAGCTTCTGTCTTTCTGCGATAACCTGGGTTGAATTCAGCACCTCTTTGGCACTGATATATCGTTTGCCATCCTCGTCGCTAAGATAGACTGTGTTTGCATATAAATTGCGAATCCCTTCAGCAGCGACGGTATTTTCAACAAGGTGAACACCAGGGCTGATCTCATTCAGGCCCAGCATTTCAGCCAGTAGGCCGAACCACAGCCAGGTCTGCAGGAACGGCTGTATCTCTTCTTTGGACGTGGGATACAGCAGTTCATGGTACGGCTCAAGAAATGCACCCGCTCCTAGAAAATGCCGGAGATGTGGAGGAACCAGACCAACCTTGCCTTTGCGAATTGGATAGGTTTTAAACGGACCTCCATCCCAAAGTTCATCACAGACATATGGCGTCTTTCGGGGAGGGGTTGCTGGGGATTTTGGCTCGCATAATAGATCCATTGATTTAGGGATGGGCGTTGTCGTGAGTGGTAGTAAGTAACAGTATGTTAGAGGAAAATATTGACGCATAGGCGAGAGTCATGACAATACTGGAGATAGGAGTTGAAGGAGACCAGGCTGGCTCTCTTGATGCAAGCTGCGACTTGCGGGGATTTTCATCCCGCCACTACTATCATCATCCGCTTAGTAAGTACGGCTTTCTTAACTGTCTGCGTTGGTGCAGTGAGACCAGAATATTCGCAGAGTATGCCATATTGGGACATTGGATGCCAACAATTGACTCAAAAACAATGTTTTCAAGATGTAAGGCCGATGGAGGTGGCTGGCTAAGCGGAAATACAGTGAAGATCTTTTGGCTCAACCCACTTTATCTTCGCCAAAGGACTTATAATAGGCACAAGGCCATTGCAAAATATCTGAGATTTTTACACTTACATGAAATCGTACATCCAATACGAATCAAAATACAGATTTCAAGAATCTATTCCATCCGAATTTTCCAACTGAGTGCTTCTTGCTCTAGCCAATATTGATGATCACAAATAGCTGCAAAGAAAATTTGCACTAATTCTACACGGCTAAGCAGCCAAGTTTAAGGGCTCATGCATGGCCAAGTTCTCAAGATGCAGTCATATTAGAAGCCTTCAAGAGCACATTTATAAATTGGACATTTTCTTTTTACCGCTTCCTGAAGCTGCTAGAAGCAAAAGCGCCCTGTTAGCTGAGTTTGGACGCTTTTTGACAGCCATAGCAGTGTGAGCATGCCGGATGCACTGTTGCTGTTATATAAGGTATCAGGTACCTACATGTAGGAATTGTAATACACTTTTTCAAAACAGCCAGCCTACGAATGTCTGATTTGAGCAGGTACTCTGCACTGGAAGGGTTACCATTATTTCGCTAAACTATATATTTTACTCCAATGTGAGCTATACCATTTTGCTATGTCGAATTAAAGAGATCTAGATTAGGCAAGATGTACCCCGCTGGCACGCTGTTGTCCTTTAATAATAGTGGTAGGTTGCAATGCATCAAAGAGCCATTTGTATAATGATTGGGATTGAGAGAATACTTGTCTTCGTACACCGGGATGTAAAGAGAAAGTATTAAATCTGGTCTTATATACATCGGAAGCTGTAAAATTGATCAGCAGTAGCTTAACTCAATTAAATCACTTACTACCGCCAGTTAAATTAACAACCTGGCAGTGTTCTTTCTTATGGCCTCCACTGACAAGAGGGCCTAGTAAATACTGATAGTCGATATTTTTCATCCCCGGCATCTCCAAACAGGGGTTGGACTAAAGCAAGCATATCATCTTCCAGCTGCTCCCGTTATATAATTCTCAATTACTAATTATTGAGGAATCACTGAATAGAGACGGGGGCAGCGTGCAATACATTCCACAGACGATAGACGTACAATATTCATATACAGGACTAATTGTAAAGTGGCCTAGCTAATAGTGATAATGAATATTGTTGCAAGCCCGGTATCTTTCAACAGGGAATGGACTGGGGCTCATTGTATTATCTTCATCTGCTCAGTCATATTGCGCAATTCTCAATTACCAATTGGATTGGAATCATTCAGCGCACATTGAGGCAGCATGTGATGTGTTGAAATATCGCCATTTTTAAGATGACAGAAGGACAACCTGCAAACTAGTATACAAGTGCAGCGGTATCGCGGCATGTTTGTGCTACACAATGACCTCTTCTACTCTTCCTTAGACTCAGACACATGTTTTCGCATGCTTTCATTTGTTGAACTGTTATTCATCTCTTTACTTGCCGAAAATACTTGGCTTCAAGGGCAAAAGTTTTCTATTTGCTTCAGCTATTCCCAAGCCCTATCACTTGCCAACTGTCGTGCTTTATCCGCCCCTAGGAGAATGGTTCCGAATACAACTGTCATCGCAGGGGTGACTGTCGTCGACACTCCTCTCGTACGAGATGCACAAAGCTTCGCTCGTGAACATATGCTCGATTCCATTTACAGTCATGTGATGCGATTATGGCTACTCTCTGCAACCATTATTAACGCAAAGGAAACTCTGCATGATACTGTTGATCTTGAAGTCCATGCAATAGCTTCACCATTTCTCCTGTCGCTAGCCCAGGTAGGCGCTTTGAGGCCGATGGCGCTTTTGCTGCCATAAAATTCGTCAAAGAACACTAGGAGGGCTAAATTACTTTACGACCACTGTTATTAGATGAAAGAAGTTGCTGCACGCCAATCAATTCTACTACACGAAGCTTAAACACATCTAAGAAATGCAGGGTCAGATTTGAATGATGAAAAGCTGAGACGTTCTATATAGAATATAAGTCAATTGAATTTTCAAATTTATCCTTTCAACCATCATACGCCACGAATTCGATCTCGATATCGGTACCCCCGGCGGGCAGTTGAGCAACGCCTACGGTCGTTCGTGTAGGACGAGGCTCAGGCATCATCTCTTCCCATACCTAACTCTACTTTGAGCAAGATATTCAAGACAAGGAAAAAGACATGGACTGATGTAGTGTGTATTTACTAACCTGGTTGACCAAAGGGAAATTCTCATCAAAATTCTTGATGAAGATAGTCGCCTTTACAACGTTTTTAAGGGTCATTTCCTCAGCTGCCAATATCTCTTCGAGGTTTCTTATGACTTGTCTTGTACGATCTTGGATCTATTGGTACATTATCAACGTCATCCCTTTGCATAAAAAGGCACCCATGAGATACGAACCGTGCCTTCGACCATGGTGCCATCTGGACGAGCACCAGGTGTTCCTTGTGTATATAAAAATGGACCCGCTCGCACTGCTTGAGAAAACTGAGCGAATACAGTCAGTCAAAAGTAACCTGATATTTGAAATATTGAGAGATCAATAAATGCTAAACATACCAATCCTGAAATTGGCGCTGCGGGCGCATTTTCTGTGACGATATGCTTCAACGGCATGATGGAATCTATCACAGGGCCTCTTTGATGGAATAATTTCCTTGCGTAGAGTTTGTTCTTTTAAAGTCTCAGAGCACTCATGATTTGCATGAGGCAATAACGATTTATGTATTTGAATGAGCATGAATGAGCTTGAATGACTGATGTAACGTCAGGCCTGTTTTTATTTAGCCGACATGAGCAAAATGACTAATCACGGAGGGCATGAGTACGATATTCAACGCAACACCAAAGCCCAAGCTGTGTATAGTAATAGTTAACTATGCATTGCATTCTATTAACTGAGACTAAACTATAACTACCTGAAAGTCCGTAGATACAGTTCTATAGCATCAAAATAAAGCTCCGCTGCAAACTATTTATCCACGGTTCAAACTTGTTGTGGTATACATGAATTCCTCTATCTTGATATAGAAAGGCTCTCAGGACAGAGCTCCTTCACATAGATAGCTTTATCAACAATACCCTTTGAGAATCTTTGACCAAACTCGGATGGATCCTATTGCTCTCACTTGGAGGGATGAAAAGTCGCTCGTAAGGTGGCGAACTCAGCGGCGACATCACAGCGCCTAAGAGCAGGGGAGAAATGAAGTATTTCTCGACTACCGGCTAAGGATATGTGAAGTTATAGCATATACAAAAGTGCCAGCAGGATATGAAGTACAGGGACAGAGACTGGATATCACGCACACGGCGATGAAGAGGCAATTGTACTCATAAGCATCGAAAATTCGGGCTTCTAGAATCCAAGTTCTGAAGTTGTGCCCCAATATCTCGGTTTACAGCCAGTTGTGTCGAAAAGCCTAGTGTCGCGGGACATCTTCGACGCTATGCTGAGCCCTGGAGATTTCATTGCTTTTCTTTCATTTAAGACAGTCAAAGATGCGTCAGAGCTTGTTAACACATATGAAGAGCGAGATGGTGCCAGAATTAGACAAGAGAGAGTTATAAGAGATTGTGGAATGCATAATAGGTATGAAGCCTTGCAATATCACCCAGAGGCCAAATGGAAGGCTGCATAGCTAATAGATGTAATATACAACGGTTATATGACTCTTTATAATATCCAAGGGCTTAGTTAAAAAAGATAACATTTGAGTACTTATTATATTGCGCAATGTAATAATTGTGTAATGTAATAATAATATATTTCAAGGTATATCTTACTATTGCAACACAGGCGGCCGAAGCGGCATATGACCCGAGCACCTGACATATTGACTGTAGATACCTAAGCTAGTTTCATGTTGGGATTATACATGCAAGGTTTGTCTTCATCGCCCCCAATATCATTTCAATGATTGGTCTGTCGAATATGGCGGATTTTCGCATGTAAAATGGTCTAGTCTTATTTACTAGTATTATTGGATCATGCCAGCTGCAGGTAGCCAGTCAGTGTGATCTTTGAGAGGCAGTGGTGTTGTCCAACGATGAATATGGCCGGTATTCTCAGTAACTCTAAGGGTGGTTCCCCACCCATCCGTCTTAACACAGGCCTTCTGGATCGCATCCCAAGCGTTTACAGCTCTTTCACGTCCAAGGTCGTGATCGCGGTGGGCCTTGCTGCGCCAACCAGCTGCAAGAACTCCACATTTACCACTTCCCAGCGAGGCATAGCCGTGGTAATCGGTGAGAACTGGTTTATCTATTTCACCCCAGATGTATCCAGTACAGCCATCAGACTTTGCAACAGCTGCAAAGAATTCAGGCGCAACTTCAGTCCACTTCTCTTCGCCAATTCCCTAGAAAAAGGTGACTGTTGTATACGGAGCATAGTAAACTTTATTGCGATCATTGGTGTTCGGATGAATAACGTAGACATTGGTATCACTCTGAATGTCTAAGAGGACTGGCGGTGTTGGTCCATTGATGAGAGCCTTGTGAACATCATGCTCTTTGCGGGTGCCATAGTCTTATTCCAGCTATTAGAAAAAAGAGCGTGATACAAATTGTAAACATCAGACATACCAATGAAGTGGATAACCTTCTCTGGGTACTTGTCACTTCTACCCCAGCAGCCGCGGGAGCAGCCAGGAATGGTAGTGGCGGCTTCATAGAAGGCCCTCTGATACTTCTTTCCATCTTCGGTAGTTTCATCTTCGATTGTGTGATTTTCAACAGTGGTGACTGCCACCTCGATAGCTGGGTAAACCATTTTGATGGGATATAAAAGCTGTATTTATATTGTATTGTATCGCTTGTTGTCTGTAGTCAATCGCCTCTTATTGCTGATGTTGACTCTTGATGCCGAATTAAAATAACTAGGCTATGATATGAGACCATAACCGCCTTTAAATACTTTTGATTGAATTACAAAAAGTCTGATATGTATTGCGTCAACGCCGAACTTGAAGAGCCATGCTCAGCTAGAACGATAATCACACCGGTAATTACTAAATTGTGGGCTCAAATATGTAAGTCATATTCCCTTGTCGGGAAATGTCTGCCGTATCTTAGAACCCTTGACGCCACTGTAAACTCAATATTATTACCGTGATTATCGGAACAACTACTTAATGAAATGGGTCTAACTGCTCTGTTGCTTTTGAACGATGCGTGCGGTAAGCTAAAGACTTCCCGCTGTATTTTCCTGATTAGTGGCCAATGTTCTAGTGCTAAGCTAGATAGATAACTAAATAAGTAAGGTAAGCTAGAATTCGCGTTGTTCCGTTCATGATTAGTGGCATGCTGTATACATATCTGTTTTGTGTATTTACAGTCAACTATGCGGCTGCTGTTTTCAAGACATTTCTCTCAATTTTCCTTCCAATATATATCATGTAATTACAGACAAGCTTGAATTTGCTTCACGCCGCTTGGTGTAGAAAACAAAATCCTGCAAATATTTCTTTATACAGCTTGGACAAACCGATGCCTACTTCGTAGTTTGTCGCATAACGACAATAAAAGACTGCCCCACACAAACACCAACGTTTAGTATTGAGTACGAAGCGCCTATGACTGATCAGAGATCTCCCGCTCTTCTGAAATAGGGCAAGCGATTAGGAATATACAATTCACCACAGCAAGCACGTGTACTGGAGAAGACGAGTGTTTCTTTGCATCTCTCTGCATTAGCTATCTTATTTCTTTTTTGCTTAGGGGTCACTCCTTGAGGCATTCCTACTCAAGTGCACATCCACAAAGGCGGTTGTAAAATTTCCCCGGTTGCTGCAGCTAGATACGCTCATGTCTATAGTGCAAACTGATAACTATCCCTGTTAGGTATATATGCATACGATGCGTGAAGCTCGATATGTCGCTATATTTAAACTGCGCACAGTACGAAAGTCTTTCCCGTTTTAACGGGGGTGAGCAGATGATCATGATATACTTTCTAACAATATTGTTTTATTAGATTCGTCTTGCTCGTCTTGGTAAATACGAAGTCTCTGAAAATACAACTTTGAACCCTATTATCTCCTACTTCACACGCTAGCCTGATGCTGAAAGAGTTTTTAGCCCTATTCTACAGTGACGAAAGATCGGGATCATGCTTCGCCTCTGACGTATTTCTCCGCATCAGAATTACCCTACCCCTCCAAAGATTCCCAGGGTCTTGGAGCTGGTGGATACGGGGCATGTCGGCTGGGACGATGTTACTACTACTAACAACAATGAAGTGCTATAAACATCACACACCAATAATTGGGGTTATATAACTCTTTGCTTGCTTTCTAAGTGCTCTATAATAATACAATTCTCAACTCTCTTCATAGTGCTCTGTGATTGAGAAACCAATGCGCGGCATCCTTCACACCGCATTCACCAAGGTATTCAACACCGGGTATCGTCTTGATAAACAAATAACCCGAACAATGTCTACCCATTATGATGCTTTAATTATTGGCTCAGGCCAAGGCGGCACTCCCTTAAGCACCACCTTCGCGCAAGCCAAATATAAAACGGCACTGATTGAAAGCTCACATGTTGGTGGATGCTGTATCAACGAAGGATGTACTCCGACCAAAACTTTGATTGCTTCTGGACGGGTCGCAAATCTTACACGTCGCGGGCCACAGTTCGGTATATATAGCAGTAACGTCTCTGGTGCTATTAATAACGAAGTCCGGGTAAATATGGAGATTGTGAGGCAACGCAAACGCGACATTGTCAACAGCTTCCGGTCTGGAAGTGAGCGTAGAGTACGCGAAGCTGGAGTGGAGTTGATCATGGGAACGGCATCCTTTAGAGACGAGCGCACGATTCAAGTGCTCTGTGCAGATGGCGCGCAGAGGGCTCTCACTGCCGATCGCATCTTCATTTGCTGTGGAGAGCGCCCAGCAATACCGACAATAGATGGATTCAATCCTGCCTCATTTCCTCCAGGTGTTATTCTTGACTCGAGTTCTGTTCAAGAACTTGGAGTGGTCCCGTCGCATCTGGTGGTTATTGGAGGAGGATATATCGGGCTCGAATTTGGCCAACTTTTCCGTCGACTAGGTGCCGCCGTTACAATTATACAGCGAGGTGCACAATTGGTTCCCCGTGAAGATTCCGAAGTGGCCGAATCCATGCTCAATATACTACAAGAAGACGGCATCCAAGTTCTCCTTCAAGCTACACCTACAGCGATTCGTGCTACTAACAATCAAGATTCGGCTGCGGCTGTCGCATTGTCAGTCGCAGTTTCAAGCCAAGATAGTCCATCTGAGCTACTCGCCTCTCATGTTCTCTTCGCTGCCGGTCGCACGCCTAACACTGAGACGTTGAATCTAGCTGCAGCAGGCATCAATACTACTGCTCGTGGTCACGTCGTTACCGATACACAGCTGCGCACTACGAACCCTCATGTATGGGCACTAGGCGACGTTAAAGGCGGGCCTGCCTTCACACACGTATCGTATGATGATTTCCGTCTGCTGCGTACTAATTTACTGGAACATGGCACACTCACCACAGTAGACCGGATTTTACCTTATGTCGTCTATACCGATCCGCAGCTTGGCCATGTTGGTTTACATGAGCATGAAGCTCGATCCAAATTTCCTGGGCGGAAGATTCAGGTCGCTAGCATGCCGATGTCTTACGTTGCCCGGGCACTGGAGACGGATGAATCTAGAGGAATGATGAAAGCCGTAGTCGATGCTGAGTCGCAGCAGATTCTTGGATTTACGTGTTTGGGGATAGAGGGAGGCGAAATAATGAGCCTGGTAGAGATGGCGATGATTGGAAAAGTTAAATGGCCAGCTCTAAGTAATGCTATATGGGCACACCCATCACTAGCGGAGAGCTTGAACAATATCTGGGGGTTTCTGAAATAGATAAATAGGTTTGCATATTCTACTCATTTTACTACACAATTTTGCTTTTATGGCAGCCTTTTTGTATCCTAATCCTGATACATCAACGGTGAAATGCGAGATTAAGGCTCAACACAGGGAAGCAAGGCTGAAATTACGTCACATTGCCCTACAACTCCCTTCGAGTCTGAGTGCCGCAGAGGCGGGTTGACGTAGGCTCGCGTTCATTATTTCCGAATCTTGCGACTCTGTAACATCGCGCGCTCGGGCGGAGATAAGGCATGATAACAACATCCGAATGACTTCAAAGCCCGGGTAGCTGGATTATAAAAAGGTCTTATGCTCCATTGTGAATTATTATATATTATATCCTTTATTAAAAATCTACCAATACATACTTCCCACTTCTGCTGAAGCAAACTACAGGGGCAGCAGTACGAGCGCCTAAGCGCACTGTTATCTAATATGGCGGACCTGGAGACAACCTCCCGCGAGACTAATGCCGCGCAATTTATCGAATATATCGCGCCTCGCCGCAACTTATATCCTTTCATTGATCCCACCAAAGCTGATTTAGCTGGGAAATCTGTTTTCATCGCCGGCGCCTCAAAGGGCATTGGAAAGGCCACTGCCATAGCCTTCGCAACTGCTGGCTGCTCTCGGATTGCAATTGCAGCGCGTTCTGGACTAGACGAAGTTACAAAGGCAATTAAGGGTGCTGCGGCTAAAGAAGGCCGACCAGAGCCTTTTGTACTAAGCTTGTCAGTGGACGTAACATCGGAAGAATCAGTGCAAGCTGCAGCTGAAACCGTCGCTGAAAAGTTTTCTGGGAGTCTCGATGTTCTAATCTGCAATGCTGGCTATTTGGAAGAGTGGTTTCCAATCGCGGAGTCACGGCCTAACGACTGGTGGAGATCATGGGAAGTTAACGTCAAGGGCACATATCTATGCCATCGGTTCTTCATCCCACTTTTGCTCAAGTCACAGACAAAGACAATAATAAATTGCAGCAGCATTGGTGGCCATAGAATCATGCAGGGTGCTTCAAGCTACCAGACCGCCAAGTTTGCGCTCGCCAGATTTACCGAATTTGCAGATATGGAGTACTACCAGCAGGGATTGATTGCTATCAACGTACACCCTGGAAGTGTTCCCACAGAATTGGCGCTTAACATGCCTGAATATATGCACAAAGCACTGATTGATCCACCAGAGCTAGCAGCTCATACGTTTGTCTGGCTAATAAAAGAGAGACGTGCGTGGCTGTCTGGTCGGTTCATCAGTGTATGCTGGGATATGGAGGAGCTCGAGAGAAAGAAAGACGAGATTCTACAGAAGAATGCACTCAAATTTCGTATAGTGCTATAACAGAGAAAACCGGTTGATGGGTTAGAAGAAGACAGATTTGGGAAAGTCATTTGGCGATAGATATACAAATATACTAAGACTTGCTCTCATCTTTGCAAACTTGACCTTGGACTCTAAATGTATCCATCTAGAGCTGGCTTCAATGGTAGTGAACTTTTATAGCTGCCAATCTCGTTTATTAGCCTCCTAGTCAAAACATCAGGAGTGGCAATTGCTTTCCCAGATGGCAGGAGCAAATTACACAGTAGTCACTGGTCTTTTTTTTTTCTCTTACAGAGTCATTGAATAGGATTGAATAGGTATTACAGGGTACTAGTAGTAGAAGTGTAAAACCATTGAATGCGTTTTATAGCAAATCTTGGCACCAACGATAATCTACCACGCTAGGGCCCGCCAGAATAAACAATTATAGCGCGCTTTTAGCGCCTAGAGATTTTAAGCGAATTATAACCTGTAAGTGGTCTACCTCTGGCGCTCAACGTCAAAAGCTCGGATGTATTCAACAGGGTTGATGTATCATTTATCCACATAATAAGGAAGGACGGATAAACAGCGTGTAGCTACGTCGAAAAGTTACCTTATTGGCAAAACTTAACATATGCTGAATTGAGAGAGAGCTACCAAAATACTACAAATCGTATTTTTTGGAGCTAATCGGTCGCTTTCTTTTCCGTTTTTTAAGCCGCAGATACTATTTCTAGCAGTAGTACATGGCCTACAGGAAAACTCCCGTCGTATAAAACGCTCAATGCCATCTATGCCAGACCCCTGGCAGCTCAGTGGATGATAAATTGCGTAAACGGAGCCAAATATCACTCAATGAGGAGAGAGCAGATTGCGTGATAATTCCAATAATTCCCATCATTTCTCTTTCCACTCAGCGCATCTTGTAGGTTTCTGTCTCTAGAGTGATAGTATTCTATTTTCTCGGTATAGTTTTCGGCCGACATCTCTCTTTACAAGATAGTATTGTGCGATGGAAGCGTATGAGTATAAGATGAGCTTCAACTGCTTGTTTGTAACCCTTCCATCGTCTCAGCCACTGCATCCAGGAAAGGAGCCATCTCATCACCTCGATGGTGACTAGAATCATGAGGCTCCTAGCAGCCCTGGCTCTTCTTGTGCCACTGGTGGCATCGCGTTCTCTAGAACCAGACTCATCAAGCCCACATACTGCTAAAGTCAGCTACGATGGATACCATCTTTACAGAATAAGAGCTGCGGACCAGAAAGAAGCTGAATTCCTCGCGAAGCGATTTGCTACGTACCATACAGAGCTTACTTCTCGTGGGTTTGAGGTCATTATTCCGCCAAATGAAGTTCGCAATTTCAACGAACTGGGTCTCAATGCTCGTCTGCTGAGCGATGATATCGGATCACAAATTCGGGATGAAAGTAAGACACCAACTTACAAGCGCGAACTACACAAAATTGGAGAGCTACCTGATTTGAGCTGGTATGATTCATTTCATGCATATGAAGATCATCTCCAGTACTGGGATGATCTAGTAGCTGCTTTTCCAAATAATTCCAAAAAGTATAATATTGGTTCTTCATATGAGAACCGTACCATATATGCTTTCCATTTCTTCGGTGATAAGGGTATAAAGGGAGATAAGCCCATCATTTTGTGGCATTCCACTGTTCATGCAAGAGAATGGATCACAACATTGGTACAGTTACCTTGCATTCTATAAAGTTATAATACCATCTAATAGGAAGCTTTTGCAGGTAATCGAATACTGGGCGTGGCAGCTCATTGACGGATACAAATCAAGGGATTCGGACATTACAAAAGTTCTCAACTACTATGACTTCTGGCTTGTTCCATTTCATAATCCAGATGGCAAGTAGAGACTTGATTCAAACGCTTCTGATAAAATGCTAATGCTAGTTCTATCTATCGCACGCAGGCTTCTATTATACTCAAACCACTGATCGAATGTGGAGGAAGAACCGCCTGCCTCGTAGCAACACAACTTGCATAGGAACAGATCTTAACCGTAATTGGAAGTTTGAGTGGGGAGGGGAGCCAGGAACGGGAGCCGCATCTACAGATCCATGTGATGATACTTTCCAGGGCCTAGGCCCAGGTGATACACCCGAGAATATCGTACTATCAGGTCTCTCGGATAAACTTGGGGCATCACGGAAAGGGATTCGCTCGTATATTGATCTTCACAGTTATGGTCAAAAGATTTTAACGCCACCAGGGTGGACATGCAATACCTCTCAGTACCCACCTACACTCCCTCGGATGATTGAGGTTGCAGAGGGTTTTGCCAACTCTGTACAAGGGTATGACAGCCGCAATGAAACTTACCAATATGGAGCGGGCTGTGATATTGAGTATTATTCGGCTGGTAATGGCCGTGACCACCACTATGGCGTTTATGGCGCAAATCACTCCTGGACTCTAGAACTAGACCCAGTGACATCTAGCCAAGGTGACTTTGTCCTGCCTCCGGAAAACATTTGGCCTGTTGTGCAGGAACAGTGGGCTGGGGTGCTTTGGCTGCTCAATGACGTTTGGCTCAATTAGTCGAAACTGGGTGGAACAGGCTACAATACGCAAGGTACATTTTCATCAATTTGACCAATTGGCCATAGTTGACAAGTTGCATCCTCGGGAAAGGGAAAAGAATCGCATTAGTAACGTCATTTTATAACCCCTTACCCTGCTGAATATCAGGGCTGAGCTATTGTATTAATGTATATTTGACTCAAATAGCAATCTTGTTGAAGTGTAAGAGTAAGAGTTTCCAGTAACTTGCAAGCAAAGTATCTTGAAACCATGTAGTATTCTTGGAATACTGTCTGTCTGCCAAATTTTCCCAAGGTCACCTGAGGTTTCCATTTAAAAATATCACTAATAGTGTATATGTTAACTGATGGCGAGTAACCCCTTCCGTAAACTTATATGTAATCTAGGAGCTCGCAAAAGGGCACATTATAGGACCGATCTTGGAATTTTCCAAAAACGGCAACAATGCCCGTCTTTAGACAAGGTTAAGACGTTTCCAGCAGCATATCGCTATCTGAATGAAATTATAACGATGTGGTTGTAAACACTTGACATTAGCCGCTTAGTTTCTTTTAATTAATAATCTTGATTAATGAACGGCCGTTTCCAATGTCTGGTATCCATTCTTACCCACAGTATAATTGCCAATCTTGGTGATTAATCGCGAAGACTACCGCAACTTATTCCCTCCATCATAGAAGACAATCACAAACCGAAAAATGTATAAAGGATATATCTGGTTGAAGCTGAAATACTTATTTGGATTCATGACTCTACAAGTTTCATTCATCCACTTTTTTGCTTCAAAACCATGGCGAGAAAATCGTAACGGTTGTTGGTGCCACCAGTGTTCAAGGCGGATCTATTATTGATGAACTCCTCAACGACGATAGATATCATATCCGTGATGTTACTAGGAGCCTCGAAAGCCGGCCTGCCAAAGCCCTTGCCACTAGAGGCGTTGAAGTTGTTCAGGCTACAACTGATGACATTTTGTCTTTGGCCGAATCATTTCAAGGACCATCTGTTGTATTTGGGGTAATGGACTTTTTCAGCCTCTTTACTACGCCATGGCGCTCTAAGAGCCATGGAAATTGAGTCTTGTCAAGCCCTCAACCTGGCAAAAGCGGCTGCTGCAACGCCAACACTTGAACACTATATTTGGTCAACCCTGCCTGATGCAAAAACACAAAGTTCAGGAAAGTTTTTGGTCCCTCATTTTGAAAGGCAAGAATATTGCCCACCGCTTCATTCTGTCGCAGCCTGAATTACTCTCTAAAACCACGTTTCTTATCCTGGGCTACTATGCAGCAAAACTTCTACTGGCAAACACATAGGCCAATTTTTATTCCAACGGCTGACAAGTATATTCAGCTGAATGGGTACCCGGCTAATACGCTCCTGCGTCCGATTGGTGATGCTAAAAAGAATATTGGAGTTTTCATAAGGGCTATCATGGAGCAGCCGCGCAAGACTTTGCCTGGAAAGTACGTACGGGCTCACACGGAAAGCATTACCAGTGGGGAAATACTACAACGGTGGGACGAAGCTCAGGGGAAAGGGGCAGAATATATTGAACTTGAGCCATCGGAGTTTAATAAAATATGGCCAGATTGGGCAGAAGAATAGGGATCATGATGCAATACTTTGGGTGGGCTAAAACGGCCAGGACGCAAAACAAAGGCCACATAACGCGAGAGGATCTGGGAATAACCTCGGGGCTTGTAGATATTAAAGAGGCATTCTCTACAATGGAGTTCTAGGTATTAAAATACATAAATGAAGAAGTATTTTGGCGGTCACAACAAGCCTAGCCGATGTTCTATTTGCTAGCCCATCTGATAGTTGCAAGCAGTCTCTTAAGATCGGTGCGGGTACGGATTACCTAATGCCCGCAATACAGCTTTCGCACTGAACCTGCGGGGTAAATCCAAACTATTGCAGCAAGCATATATCTACGGAGTACTGAGAACTGGCTCTACCAACCGTGGTATAAAGCCGCACCTCATGGAGACTTCTTCGCATCTTTAGCGGAGGGTATTATATCTAGATCTTCATTCAGCTATTGGCCAAGGCTGTAAAAATGTTGCCACCGCATTCTCTTCTCCCGTCGAGGATGCTCATAAGGTCTCTGTTGGTAGCTGGGATCACTAGCCACCCGATGCTGCTTGCTCCCGGGCTTTCCATCTTGAATTTCCTATCTCAACCACGTGGCCCTCTTTTTAACATCGAGAGAAACCCCATATTACATACTATACTGAAAAGTTTGTTGTATAACCACTTCTGTGCAGGAGAAAACGCCAGCGAAGTCAAAGCTACGATCCAAAACATAAAGAGTATGGGATTCCGCGGCGTAATCCTAACTTACGCCAAGGAAACCTCTGGAAAGACTTCTAATGAGAGGGTTTTGTCTAACGATGAGTCACAAAGTGTTGATGCTGAGATTATGGCTTGGCATCAAGGCGTACTGCAAACAGTCAAGATGATCGGCGATGGCGACTTCTTAGCATTAAAGTAAGATTTTTACCATTTATGAGTGCTGATAGCATTCTAATGCATCTGGGAGAACAGATTAACTGGAGCTGGGGAAGCAGTAACAACTGCCCTTTCATTGGCAAAGCCTCTTCCTAAACAGATGGAGAACGCTTTGCTCGATATCTGTGATGAAGCAATTAGTCGGCATGTAAATGTGTTCTTGGATGCAGAGCAACATCACGTTCAGCCAGGCATTGACAAAGTTGCTCTATATTTGATGCGCCGTTATAATCGAGGTGGCGTAGCTGTGGTGTTCAATACGTATCAGGGGTATCTAAAGTCAACTCCACGTATCATTCTTGATCATTTGCACAACGCGAGGGAAGAACAATTCGTTATCGGCATTAAATTAGTCCGCGGCGCATATATGAGCACGGAGCCTCGCCATCTCATACACGATACAAAAGAAGAGACAGATATATCTTACGACAGTATTGCTGAGGGACTTATTCAAGGTCAATATGCGAATTGGACACAAGACGAGGCTTTTAGTTCTCCGAAACTAGAGCTATTTCTTGCAACTCATAACCGCCCGAGTACTATCAAGGCACAAAAGCTACAAAACTTCCGAATGCATGCCCAGCTACCTCTTATTCGAATTCAATATGGTCAACTACTAGGAATGGCAGATGAAGTAAGCTTGACGCTTCTTCAGTTGAACAAGGAAGATACCTCAGGTAAGCCGTTCGCGGCTACAGAAGTATATAAATGTCTTACATGGGGTACACTGAACGACTGCATTTTTTACCTCTTACGACGCGCCAACGAGAACAAAGACGCTGTGACGAGAACTTTAGCGGAATACAAGGCCTTAAAACGAGAAGCACTAAGGAGAATGACGAATATTTTCTCGTCATAGCGATCGCGGGGGGTCGCTTGTGAATCTGCTTTGGATATAGCAGTTCGTGAAAATTAAACTTCTTTCTTTTAGAAAAAATAAATAGGCAATGTAGAAAACTCATGTCTTTTGATCGCCCCATATATTAAATTGAGTACCAATTCCAAATAATTGCGCAATAGCAGGCAGCTTACATCTGCTTACGCACCAAAACAAAATCCCGGAGACGTGGTTTGAATTTTTATCTGAAGTATATTTAAGCCACTTGTTTGCCTGTGCGGGGCATCCAAGCGTATTATAAAGCAGGAAATTGCATCAAGGCGCACATCAATCACGCATTAGCTGCCTATAAAGAGGACAAATCCTTCTTGTCTTTATTTTCGACTTTGCATGATATAGCATTTTTATCTTTTCTAATTGATGTATTTGAGCGGATACTCTCCACGCAGTCAATTATTCCATCGCGCAAGAAATGGCCGCAACTATCAAGCTTTATACCAATCATGGCTGCCCTTGTAAGCTGCATGCTGGAAAATATGCATGTGTGTCATTGAGCTGATAAGGAATGACAGGGGCTCACCGGGCTCATATTGCATTGAATGAGCTGAAGCTACCGTTTGAAGAAGAAATCATTGATCTTAGCGTTCCTCGTACACAAGAATACCTGGCTATTAATCCCCGCGGTCTTGTTCCCAGCCTTTCATATAACGGCCAAATTATTACGGAATCTGCGATCGTCGCCCAATTTCTAGCTGATGCTTATCCATCTCATTTAACCCCCACCGGTGGCACGCCAGAAGCAGCTCTTGCTCGTACTAGAATTAATTTCTTTGTCGATACATATTTTACCAAGGCAAATTCTCAATACCAAAAAGCCATCTTTGCCAAAACAAACGAGGAGGCTGAAGAGGCGGCTCAGGAGTTCGTAAAGCAACTTGAGAAAGAGGTTGAACCCCTACTGAGCGACGCGGCACCGTATTTTGGAGGCAGTAAGGCATTGACACTGGCCGAAGTATGTTGCATGAAGATGGAAGATGTGGCCATACTAACTTTGAATAGGTCCTTACCGGCTCATTCATTCTTAGACTATTGGCTCTTCCGAAGAATGGGGTTGGACCGGAGAGCTTGATCAAAGACTTACCTACTAAGACTCCCAATTTCTATAAGTGGGCCAACGCCGTGATTGAGCACCCTAGCGTGAACAGCATCTGGGATGAGGAAAAAGTGGTGTCCAAGACCAAGCTCATACTTGCGAAACGGAAGGCTTAAGAGTTACCATCGCGAGATGCAATCTCTCGTTATTAGTGAGATAATAAAGTTACAACATTAAATATGCTAAATAAGAGCATTGATATACGAGAGCTTTAAGAAAAATTGCAAAGATCAGCGTAAATGTCACAGTAAGACATGCGCCTGTCCAAGGGGCGGCATTTGTATTTCTATAATCTGGGACACTATCCAAACCCTAGAAACAGCCAATTGAAACAGGCAAATGACTTCACCAATGCTGGTTTTATACTGTATGGATGGGCCGGAGAAGGGGGTGTTAGCCCTAGCTACTGGTACACCCAGCATTGCTCACCAGCAATACCTATAGGTTCATTGCTAAACCCTTCCTTTCATCCAATAACTCTATTCATAACCTTTATAGACTATAATAGCTTCCAAATGGTTTTCATGTTATTATAACAGATATGAATAGCGTAACATAATGTATTTTTAGCATCTGTATACCTGCAGGACAATCTTGTATAGAAGAGAAAGAAAGAAAAAAAGAGAAAAAAAAAAAAGGTGTAAAGGATATAAAAATCTGCCCGTATACCTCAAATTTCAGTTCTTTTCCAGGTAGACATTGTTACAAATACCCCCAAATACATCCAAAGCATGATATAGGTATTCTTGCACATTGTTGATCCTGGCGGCCAAGTCTTGGCCTAAAGGAAGCGCCCTTTCTGCTTCGTGACCTTTACCAACGCCTTCTCCTACGACAACATCATAGACAGCTTTCATAGCTTTATCTTTATCTCCATTAGGCGTAAAATTTCCAGTAGACATCATATCCATTATCTTTTCCGACAATGATCCTTTATAGTCCTCCGGCGGTGGGTTTTTACCCAGTACCGTGGCATTACCCATACCCGTATTGAAGGTCCCAAGAAGCACGGTTAACACTCGAACATTGAATGCCTCAACTTCTTTTGCAAGTGCTTTTGACATACCTATATGGTTATTAGCACATTAATATTTAATTCTTAGCTCAGAAGAAAATAACTTTGCATACAGTCTAATGCGCCTTTGCCGGCCGCATAAGCACCCATTGACGGATTTGACTCTAGAGCTGCGCCGCTGCTCATGTTGACGATAATACCAAACCGCCGCTGGCGCATATGCCTAACCGCAGTTCGAATGAGACGGCTTGGACCGAAATATAGTGTTTCCATCAACGCACGAACTTCACTGTCCGTGAAGCATTCCACAGGATTGTACATACAATATCCAGCGTTGTTGACGAGAACATCCACGAGCTGTCCCTGCCGTTCAAGCTCTTCTATTGCCTTATCGCAGTCGGAATCGTTAACATCCAGTTGGATCCATTTACCGCCATTATTTTCTATTTCAGAAACAAGATTAGGTGTGCTGGAAGGATCGCGAGAAGAAGCAATTAAGTTGTGCCCGTTTGCCCGAACAACGCGAGCTAATGATAGCCCAAAGCCAGACGAACATCCAGTGATCAACCATGTCAATGGTCTCTTGGGAGTAGAATATATAGTCGACATGTTTATATGATACAATAGGCTGTGTAAAAGTATTTGCTGTTGTGAATGTAGGTGTGAATAAAGGTGTAAAAAGACCGCCGCTCCATGGCAAATCTAGATGCTTTATATACTTATCTCCCGAGTGCACATTCATCCTGTGGGCAGCCTTTTTTTTTATTTGTCAGTATTCATTAATATAGTTAAATCCGTTTATCTTCGGATTTAAATGTCTTAATCCCATACAATTAAGTTGGTATTCACGGCATTGAATATTCTACCGTCAAGAAACCGGTCCTGAGTCTTCACGGCCGTGTGGCATCCAAGTATTTGGCACGGATTTCCTTATCTGGCAATCTTTCCGGAGCATTCCCCGCCACAGCCCACTTATATTAATGCATATGTACTAGACTATGTAGTGCCGTGCACGCACACAAAGCTCCGGCGTCGGAATAGCTGCAATGTGAGCAGGTAGCTACGGCCTTTGAAACGGTCTAGAACTCCAACTAAAAGAGTTTTCAATAAATGCTAAAGAGCATACTCTATATACAATTCGCATTTTGAGTAGATAAACTATAGTTAGAGATACTAAAGAAGAATAGACGACATATTATAGGCGAGCAGCAATTACTGCTTCGACATCAGCATTTGCACTCCTACCTAGACAGGTTGGTAATTTCTCGAGTCTCCTTTCATTCCTCCTTCTTTTGTTATAGATATCTCAAATTCATTTATCCGAGCGGACATTAAGCCCTTACGTGTGGTGTGATTACCAGCTACTTGCACAATGTTCAAATTCTCAAGTGTAGAGTCAGGCACAATTCCAATAACTTTCTTTTATATAAATGTACCTGTAACGGAAAAGCTATTTACAAATCTCAAGTATTTACACACATATGAGATAAATAAGATACCAAGAAACAAATAACTATGTACGTCAACTGTATCGAACAGACAACAAAGAAAAAAGAAAGAAAAAGTTTCTTAGTTCTGAACGATGCCGCAGCTACCAGGGTTGTTATCGCAGTTGCATTGAGATGGTGCATTGACCCAGCCGGTTAGTCGGTTTGCAATATCACTAGCATAGCAGTGAGTAGCAATTCCGTTTTGAAGCTGGCCGGTGCTTGAAATAGAGCCCGAGTTGTAGATACGAGCAGCTCGGTAAAAAGCCGAAACATCATTACGGCCAGATTCATTGATGCAGTTGGCAAGGCCATCGCCACTATTGGTACCAGCAGTACCCTCGCTGATCATCTGGTAAATAGTTGATGAGGGGCAAGGGTTCGGGACGTTGCCATTCTCATTGCAAGTGGCCGCACCATTGTGATCTTGCATAAGGCCAGGGTTTCGAACTCCAAAGTTGGAGGTGTTGACACGGACGCAGCCGTGAGACTCCTGCATAATAACAGCCAATATAAGTCGATGGTCGACACCAGTAGCAGCAGCAGCCATCTGAATGCCATCCCAGATAGCGCCCTAAAAATAGTCAGTCAGAATTTACTTGTCGCTATGGTTAAATGAGACTGCAGTCAACGCACCACTTCAGGACCGCTGTCGTTGGCCTGAGGAGTTGGCAAGTTGCCGCAGGCGGCAAACATCTGATTCTTGTAGTTGTTAAACATATTCTCGAAGGAAACCCACTGGCTCTGAGCAGGCCAACCGGCGCCAGTGCTTCCATCGCCCCAGTACATGGTATAGCGATCGACGCCGTTACCAACGCCATCTTGAATGTTAGAGTTATCGAATCGGGCAACACCATTAGTAACTCTCTCCCCTGTGGTTCGCGCCTTAATTTTGTCGCCATTGGCAGCGGGCGCATCAGCAGTCTTCGAAGCCGGAACTTTGCTAGACTTTGAAGGCATGTAGTTACCGCCGTTGGGTTTCTTAGGGGAGAAATCAACAGTGTCAGGTACAGAGGCGGTAGGACCATCAGCAACAGATGGTGGATAGGGTACGGCCATAGCCGCACCAAACAACAGAGACGCAACAACAATCTAAACATGTTATTAGCTTAGTTGAACGTGCAGCAGAGTGACTACAAAGTACAGACCTTCTTGACCATCTTGAACGATTTTAAGGTCCGTGGGGAGATATATCAGTTGATAGATACTGTTGAATGTTTGGTGAACGATGATGTTCTCCTTATGAGTAATGAGGATTGGGACAAGAATCGAGACATCTGCTCTTTATATTCTCAAGACGATGCCGCTTATGAGCTTCAAAATGCGTAATTCGTGACCTCTATTCTAACTTCCTCTTCGAGCAAAACTCGACTCAAAATTCTTATTACATTCATGTAGGGCTTACCTTATTTTACATTTGTCGATAATTGTAAGTTCTTAATCTAGTTAGATTTTTCTGAGCGGGCTGCCATATCATCAAGCTTCCAATCTAGGCAATTGTGCAGGGCCCATTTCTTTAGCTTGTTAAAACCTTAAGATGGTCTCGAAGCTACTGCCGTTTAAGACGCGTTTGAGTATTAACCTATATTAGGCGCCCGAGAATTCTAAGCTATAACAAACAACGCAAGAGAGGCAACTCTCTCTCATTTTGAGCTAGACGAAAATGTTCCAAAATGCCACGCTACGCTCCGGCAATACTACAGTTTAGTAATATATCAAAGTGCTCATATCAAACACAACATTTGATCTCGATATCAATCTTCATACTATGGAACTACACTACAGCGTTCAACTTATACAGTACAGGATGACTTTTTTTTTTTTTTTTTTTTTTTTTTNTTTTTTTTTTTTTTTTTTTTTTTTTTTGACTTTTGTTGGAGCACATTGGATATAGGGACCATGCAAGTCAATGTAGCCTGTAAATCTTATATGCGGAGGTAAAGTCACCTGGGGCTCAGATCGTTCGGCTAAAGCCGGATTTGCGAGTGGTATACTACAAAAAAGGTTAAAGTGATTAATTAATCCATGCAACTACCAAGACTCTATACTACCTTGCCAAACATATTTTGAGAGTAGACGGTCGAACAGCTGCTCCGAACCGCCCCAATTGGTGGAGTATATAGTGAAATTAGGCATATAAATAGGCTCTGGAAGCCAGGGGCATGTAGTCTTAGGTCAGCCTCGGCATGTTCTACGGCCAAATCCCGCTTACCGCTGTATGGAGGTAGCCCTAATTGGCAGGTATTGGCATCTCAACAACTTTGGCTTTGAGAGAATTGTGCAGAATTGTAGTGTGCCGCGGAAAAAATAGTCAACAAAACACAATTTATGATTGCACTGTCTGTATGAGTAAGGCTTGGCGGTATTAGGTATTAGGGCCAAGCTGCTAGTAGAGATGCCATAATGAAGGTCCGGCGTTGTTATTGCTCGGTGCATGGAAGTCGGACACTTGCGGATTACTGAGCATAGGTGCTATAACCAAGCACGAGGTTGTGAATTCACTTATATCTTATTGCCTGTCAGAACCACTTCTAGAATCCTATTTTATTGTGTATTAAACAGCATATCAAATTCAAATTCCGAGATTGTTTAGGCTCCCAAATGTCAAAATTCAAGGTTAATGGATATCGATGCAATAACAGCCGAAAATACTGATCTCGGATGTACCAGCTTCTGCATCTGGGATACATTGCAGCCGAGCCACATAACTGGGCCCCTGTAGTTCATGCGCAACTTTGACTAGCTAAGCGCATGCATGCAAGTGTATGTGGATTCTAGGGGACAGCACGAGACATCGCTGCCTGCGCCTTCAGAGATCTCTGCTCCTCCCCGGTGGAGGCATTGGGGTACCTGTAGAAAATATTATCTGTCAAAATATCCACGTAGTTTCGGCCAACTTTTTCTTTTATCATCCTTGCCACGAGCATAGAAAAGGCAGGAGCTCGTCCTCCGCCCGCACCGCTGCACTGTTGGTATAACTGGCGCGCCCGAGACAAGGCAAATCGGGTCGGCCCAAAGACACGCCCAGGACGCCGCATGTTTATTGCTATTTTTATAGCAGCATTAAACCCCGTTAGATGCACTTGAACTTGCTCTTGTTACATACCTGTAGTATGATTATATGTCTTGGCTGCATTAAACCGTTGTTTTTTTTTTAACTAAAATATTGGGAAATAAGCATATATTACTCGCTTATCAAGGAAAATTACACTGTCCGTTTAAGGCCTGGGAGCTAGTCCATGAACTGTTGCAAGGCTCACTACTCCAACGTTACATACAATACTCCGTATTATAATCCGTTAATCGTATTGCCACCACCAAAAAGCCTCTTCTGGGTGCCTATTCCTGTAGTATGAGCAAATTAGCGCAGCAGAGGCCAACTAAAGGAGTACTTCTACCGCATCGTTTTCTTCTCTAGGAAATTAACAGGAACTACATTCAGGTAGTCCAACAAATCTGAAGGGCTACTTCTTACCCTATTAGGCAGCCGGGGACTCGAGGGCGCGCGCGCCGTAATACTTCGCAGACCGCGTTGCTTAGGGTCGACATAGAAATTCGTAATAGCAGAGCGAGAAACGGAAACTCGCTACGGAATGCCACGTATTCTAATAACTTAATTGGCCCAAACACTCACAATAAGTTCTTAGCTTCTCCGTAAATGCACCAGTAATAACAACACGCATCTTCTGTTCCTAAGTCTGGCCTTCAGCCTAAGGTTCTGGTATGTGGGTTGCTGTGTAAAATATAATCATGTCTGGTTGTCAAATCGAAACCATATTTGAGTAATATTAAGAGTCGTTTTAAGCTGGGACATTCTTTTTTTATTGATAGTTCAAATGTTGCACAATTGTGCAAGAAATCACTAAGCACATCAAACTTGCGTTATCACCCAAACAGCAGCATGCAATGTAAGATATAGAAGCCATCGACTAAATCCACAACTAACGATTTTCCTTCTGAAACATGACATCTCTTTGAGGTCTCAATTCTTCTACTTATAACTGTCTTATTTGAACTGGGTTTACTATTAATTGGACATGTCATCCAAGCACTCTGCTGTTACGACTGATGGATCATATTATATAGATGCAAAACGAAGAGTTTAATCCTGCAGGCCTTTTCCTTCAACTTTACTTTTATGTATAGATGTTAATAGGAATCCATAAGCGGCATGCACCATACGTTTTCCAGCCTCATCACCGTATTAGATCAATTCCAATGTGTCTCTATCACAGACCGACAACGCCGTATAGATCGGAAAGCCCGCTTTAAGAATAAAACATAGTATCATATACGTACATCAATCAATTGCCAAGCAGCAAGAATTTATGCTTGTAATATTCACGTCAGGCTCCGCTCTCAGACATGGCAATGTCATTGCGGATGACACCCTTCAAATCCAATTTTACCTAGCATCGATACCCATTACGAAGACGCATAGCAGCAAGCTTACTCTTCGTGCACTGCGCAATGTCTTACTATCGTGTGATTATTCTGAATACGAATAATTGTATTTCCAGTAAGTGCTACTGGCCGTCGTTGCGGGCAATGTGCTGACTGCATGAAATGAGTTAGACCCGATTGGAATTGCCATTCAATGCTGTTTACAGCCATGTCACTAAGACTTATACTTAGGCACCTTTCTCTTTTCATGACATGTATGTATAAAGCTCTTTCTCTTCTCGCTTTATAATACACTTTTTATTAAGAGTGAGGGATATCGCCTGTGATTGAATAAATTATATAAAGAAAAATAAAATAAAACAAAATAAAATAAAAAAAATAAAAAAAATAAAAAAAATAAAAAAAATAAAAAAAATAAAAAAAATAAAAAAAATAAAAAAATTAAAAAAAATAAAAATTAGACACAAGGTACCACTACCCTATAGGATTGGAATTGGGAATTGTTTATCGCTCTACTTATCGTATATATGTATTAATAGAGTGGAAAGGCACTATTGAACAGGGAAATGATGACCTAATCTGACAAAGTGAATCTTGGAGGTTTTACATGCAAGTATTTCTGCGATCTAGCTAGTTCACTATAGAGCAGGAACTTTTAATATACTTTCTTTAGACGCAGTATCTCTCTCAGCGTTCGCAGTCTGGATTATATTTAGGTTAGGTAATTTACCGAATTGAGGATGGGGAGACTCACCAATTGGATTCCGAAGTGCTACTGCGCAGGTTAAGGTATCTACCAGAGCGCCGAGAAAACCATTTAAACCAAGCTTGTCATTTCCTCCTTTCAGATCAACCATGCTTTTAGCAGCATCCATGTGCTGCTTTGACGTATTTCTATCCCCAATATTGATCTGCAGGAATTTCTTTTCAGTATTTATGCAATGGCATAAGCAGACATGTGCTTACCTCATCTGCAGCGAGCAAAGAAGCCTGGGCGATGGCTGAGTCACTCACCTGGCGATTCTGCGATGCAAGTAGTTCACTCATAGACCGTAAGCAAGCTAACTTATAGTAAGTAGCTAACTCTACATAATATTTGTTTTGCTCTTGCTTAAAAAGGCTACGGCAAGAAGAGAGCAAGATTGCGCTTAGCAATCCAGAGTTTGATAGCGCGAGAGGAATCAGTTCCGTGAGCATGAAGCGTTTCCATACATCAGAATTTGTGTATTTTCTGCAATGCCGCTTGCCAAAGGGAATAACAAAGGTTACATCTAAAATCGTGTCATTGAAATGATCAGCGATAGAAGCCCGTGCTTATTGATTGCATTACTGAGGAGGTTTGGAATAGTGATTAGGTACTTACAGTGGTGTAAAAGAAATTGCTCTGTGCGGTTGAACTCAAGGCCATGAACAGAGTATACATTCTTATGGAATGAAGAAATCGTTGACGTTTCCAAAAAAAGAGGCTGAGATGCGCGAGGAGGGTATAGAATTATTTCACGACCACCTTCATTCGCATGGCTGGAACTTGAGGCTTCCGCAGAGCCTGTACGGCCAGCGCTTACCGCTGAGTCTGAGGCGGATGCATGTGGTACTTGATTGCCCCCTTCATGTTTATCCTTCTGCTGTTGGTACTTGTTCATTCTATGCCTACGTACTCTTGCATGGCCGTGACGCGCAGCATGTGATTTTGCAGCTCTGTGAGACGATATTGCACTGTCTTTAGTTGGATCTGTGAGATAGACGAAATGTATGTTTTGCTTCTGTTGCGGCGAGCTCATGGTAATCGCTTATTGAACATAATACTAATATTTAAATGCAGCTCAACAAGTCATTTGGAATCATATGCAGATTGTTCACGAGAGTCCACTATAAGGGAGCTTTTGAGCTGATTTTAGGGTGCAATTTGGATGATAAATCCAAAATCGCTTTTCGGGAGACTACTTGAAAAGCACTAATTTTAAAATTTGCGCTATACTATAACTAGAATGCCAAGCCATGCAGTTTCCTAAAGCAGCACGGGCATTTGAAATTGCCGAGTTTTTTACGGCAGTTCTGCCAGCTTGGTAGGTTCTTCCTCACGTAATTGAGCGTTGCGAGGAATTGAGCTGTGAATGACGGATGTCGCGACCAGCCATTTCGCCTCTAAAAGTGATATGGAATTTCTTCTTCTCCCACTTCCTTATACAAAGCGCTGATAGCTTTGACAATGTCTTCTGGAAGAGGTCCTTGCTCGATGACATCGAGATTGGAGTTGAGTTGATCCACCGTAGACGAGCCAATGATAATCGCATCATCGTACTCGGTGTCAAGTACGCTATGATATGCAGTCCACCTTAACGCCGCAGCGTGGCCGCTAATTCCATGCTTAGCAGCCACTGCCAGTGCGTTTTCGGTTGCTGCTTCAATCGCAGGCTTCAAATACAGCGCTGAGTAGATTGCACCAAGAAAAGTCTATCTCTGTTAGATTAGACGCAGTCTAGACGTCTGATATGCAGAATACGAGAGAATGAAACTCACTGATTTATCAAAACGGCCACCAGATATAGCATTTTTATGATTTCCGGCGAAGAAACCTCCTCCTGCGGGGCTATTGTCGAATATCAAGCTATATTAGCTACTTACTCTCTCCAATATGATCTCAGTGAGCGCCAATAGGAAACAATTACATACCTCCATGCGTAGAAGGAAATGTTGTGCCTGCGTAAGAGAGGAAATAATTCTTTTTCTCCTCCTCGGACAACTGGATTGTATTGCCCTTCGTAAACACTAGGCTTTACGAACGATCGACGCTCACAAATTTCAAGAACCTGTTTAACTTCATCTGCAGTAAAATTAGACAGTCCAAATTTCTTAAATTTACCCACTTTATATGCCGCGTCAATAGCTTCGCATGTTTCTTCAAAAGGAGTGGCTCGGTCAGGTTGATGCAGATACAGAATATTGATTTGAGCGATTTGCAAGGCCTCAAGAGATATCTCAATCTCTTGGGCAATCTTTTCCCTTTTGTGGCTTCCGGGCTCTCTCGAGAGCACTTTGGTATCAATAATGAAATTTTCACCAGCTCCTACAGCGCCTAGTCGGGGTTCAGATGTGCCTGGTGCGCCGGTCGAGTATACGCGGGCAGTATCAATTTGCCGGTAGCCACGGTTGTAGAAGGCATTGAGATATGCATTAACTTCGTCAGGTGTATCATAACGGACTGTTTTGTCGACTTTTCTATCACCAAGCTGTAAATACGTTAGCAAAAATATCATTAGTATATGTATGACTAAGATAATGTACATTGCCAGCTCCAAGAATGACATTAAGACGGGATTGAGCTGTCATATTGAATGAGTGTATCGAAAGCACGTTAGGGTTTTAATGATTACGCAGCAGTGTTGACGGTAGATTCGACTGTAGCATCGCAACTTGACCTCAACAGCAGTGGACAGACTGTAATATATGTACAATGACGAAGCCTGTATTCACTATAGCATAGCTTTATTAGAAATCTCGTCCAATTGCTTCGGCAGCGATGTCTGTGAGTGTTCATTTACTGCATTCCATGGCCTGAAACTGCAAGTGGAGTTTCCAGTATTATGAGGAATGGCAATGTGAATGATAAGGAGCCGTCTTTGATCTTCTATTCCTAAAGTAGAAACTGCAAGGGTTTGATATCGGCAACTAATTATCGTTGTAGGAGACGAAATATAATCTTTTATTCTAAGCGCGAGAAAATTCGAGCCGACTAAGCTCTCATGGTACACAAATTAAGAACAAAGTGAGGAATCATTAGAAGATCACCATTTTTAAGCATTCTAGAATTGGCAGTTGCCTAAATTGCTAGTATGCATGAACATTATAATAAGTATACTTATGCTGGTGCTAAATTAACGAAATCGGAAGCTAGAAAAAAACAAGCCAAAAAAATGGAGCAGTATCTAAAAGTATTAGGGTATTTTACTTGACACACACGCGCGCGTGGGGAAAGAGAAAGAGAGGGAAAGAGAGTGAAATTGTACCGTTGTACATCTAAATACAAGACCTAGGTTCCCTCTCATATTGTGCAAACATATATCCTGCATAATGTTCATGATTGAAGCTCTTTCATAGCTCGAAAGCTTCTAGGTTTACATCATGATAACCTACTTCCTTTACATTAAGATCTTGATTGGTTTTATTTCTCGATATTTTATTTTCCTCAATCCATCAAAGTTGCATTTGTCGTTGAAGTAGTAGTGGTCGAGTGTCATTTCATAAATGTAAAACTTTCGCGCTCACAAAAATGTAGGGCTCTGACAATACAAAGCTAGATGTGATGTCGTAGGGGATATGCTATTCTTTGGGCGGCCTACATTCAAATGTAGAACTTTTAACACTCTCCAACTTATTCTTTCCTGAATGTAGTTGGCTTCAATGTAACATGTAACGCCCTCTTTTTTCTTACTATTTAGTCTTCTACTACCGAGGTTGCAGGTCGCCCACATATTTCGAGTCCGGAGATTAGTGTGGCTTTACCGACGGATATGTGAGCACCCGTACATTACCGTATATTAACCCATAGCTAGTATTAATATTTTAACTGTTCCATAGTAAATTTACGGGCACCTCTGTTTAATTATTCCAATAAGTTGAGCATGGCTACTCAGCAACGATGGCTCACTGCGCCCCCGTCGACACATACTGTTCGTGTTCGGCTTATAAAAGATGTCGGAATAATGAGCCTACCTTCAGCTCTTTTGCTAGATCCAGTAGCTGAGGGGCATGAAATTCTCAATGGAGCAGATACAGCATATTTGATTGAAAACGAAAACCTTGGAAAGAAAGCTGTCTTTGATTTGGGCGTTCGGAAAGACTGGTGGAATCTACCGCCCAAAGTTCGAGACCCACTTGCCTTCTGTGTTGGAATCAACGTTGAAAAGGACGTTCCGGAAGTCTTACAAGAGAGAGATATATCATTGGATACTATCAATGATGTCATCTGGAGTCATTCCCACTTGGATCACCGAGGGGATGTATAGCTCTTCCCGCCAAACACTACATTGAATTATGGGAAAGAGATGGCGGTTATGAAACCCGAAATCACAGGAACGGAAGAGGCGGTTTTTCTTTCGTCAGACTTCGCTGGACGTCATAATAATGAGATTGACTTCAGCAAATCCACGTCCAAGATTGGTGGATTTAACGCCCTTGGCTTTTATGACGATGAATCTTTCTATCTTCTAGACACTCCTGGTCACGACCTGGGCCATTTAAGCGCTCTGGCTAGGGCTACAAGCTCAAAAGCTGGACATGGAAAGGATACGTTTATTCTCCTTGTTGGGGATGCTTGTCATTTTGCGGTGTCTTGAGACCAAACGTTTCGCACCCATTTCCGCATCCTTATCTTCCAAGGTCTACGATTGGGGTTTCGGAAATCGAAAATTCGGAGTCGCTGCTAAGACGCCATCCAAGATGTCAGCAGTCGCCACTATCTGCAGCTGGATCGGTCAAAGAAGCTCGCGTAAACCCATGGTACGACGTCGCCACTGGGCAGCTATCCACGTTTTTAGATCCGATAGTTGGTCAAAGAACTGCGAATACGGTGAAAGAGGCTTTTGATGAAGCCGAAAATGTCTTTGTTGCGGTGTGCCATGATCTGAGTCTATTGGCTGAGGAGAACGGAAAACCAGTACTGCCAACACTCAACATGCTCCCCAAGAAGACATGAATACCTGGTATGAGAATGGTTGGAAGAATAAGCTGTACTGGAAGTGGGTTAGTCAAATAGGCAAAAAGGATAAAAATGGAAGCGTCCAAATGCAGGAGCCAGTGATTACTGGATTCTGGGTGGATGGGGAGAAATTCGAGAAAGCGAAGGACGTTTTCAATAGAGTACTAAAAGAGTAGGGCATGTAAAGCTATATAGCTAAATTTTATAGTATATTAAAATGTATCATGATTTGGAATATAGTTTCCTTCTTCACTGATCATCCTAACTTTTTTTGTCTCTTTAAATTTCACACAGTAAGATTTATGTGGCGATTCAATCCATCATGGAATGCTAAAAGCCGTCACTGTATTTCCCATTACCTGTCTGGGGCACTAAGCAACCTTTTACAAACGCTTCAAAGTAATGTACGAAATAATCAACTGAATCCGAACCATTCCATAACTATATTTATTAAAGCGTTAAGAAACCATTGCTTGTGGATACTCTCTCCGCCTTCTCAAGTTCCCAACTATTACAAAGCTGTCACTCTCGCTATTATCACTAATTATTCTTAATATCCGAAGTATCTAGCATAATGGTCATGTCATTGTTTGCTATCTTCATCACTCTAAAGCAACGAAACAGGATTTACTTTGTCCTATCATCTTACCCATTCCCCTTCAACATCTTACTGACCACCGCGTACACGGCTACTTAAGCTCAATATTAGCGACTCGTGCGGCTCTAAGCACCGTCTGCGGCATTAAACATGCAGTAGTCGATGTTTTTGTTATTGTTTGTTCCACCGTTATTGAGAGCGTAAGTGGGAAAGTTGTATTGTGTCCCGCTGGCACCCAAAACAGCAAAGCTGAGGATGAATACCATTACTTGTGTACCGCCATCCAGGGCGGCAGAGATTAGGTAGTTGTATTTAATGAAAAGTCCAGGGTGAAAGCGCCGGAGGTAAAATTGGGCAAATATTCCAAGGCCGAAAAACATGAGGAGTGATGAGTTGACGCCGACGCAAAGCACACCACTATACCAAATGATGATCGATGTGTTCACATCGCGGAAAAACTCGCGCTTAGTTAGTTTCCAAGCCAACCAAAACGGAATGGGTGCTGCGAATCCGAGCAAATACGACAATGTGACCCATTGGTATTGGCTACCAACCGAGAACATATTCTTAGCTAGTGACCAAGCTACCGCCAGCGTGTTATACGACTGCACATTTTGACCGGACCAGATATTGGTGCCATCTATAGACAGCAAAGTGCTTGTCTGGTTGTCCACAATACTGACCATCATCACGTAGTCCATGATGGCTCCGATAATTGTGCCCAGCATTTGGGCTGTAAAGGTCGCTTTGGGCGGTAAATGCGCCAACTGAGCCAATTTTAGATCGCGCAGCAGCCACTGACCTTGTTGGATGCCGTTGAATCCAAATACAGTGAAGTACATGTTGGCCAAGGGCTTTCCAGGCAATAGATAGCCGCTCAACATTTGAATGACAGGCTGTTGGTTGAACTGGAATCCAGTGAGGCCCATCTGCGCTCCAAAGAAGAGGATAAAAAGTGCGGCAAATATATTCGATACAATAAAAGCCCACCAAGGCAGTGTTGACTTGATCGAATAAAGGGTTATGATGCCGATGACAAATGATAGTACAAGAACGAGCCCATACCACCAATTCGGCACCTCGGCATACCCGTTTTGCATCATCAGCTTGTAGTGTGGATCCACTTCATCGTTGGCAATGGCCTGCTGCCGCCGATTTTGTTCGTATTCACTGCTCTGCTTCCGCCAGAACATATAAGTTGAAGCGTTTGTGAGTTTTCGCAAATTAGACGGGCGCAAAAAAGCCCACCCCTCCTTGATGTCGCCATAATTCCAGAGTAGCATATGAACAATGGCAGCAGTAATGCCAAGATTTGTTGTGATTAGATAAACCACATATGATCCAGATAGAAAGGGGAATCCTTGATCGGCAACGAGCGTGCTATTAATTGTGTTGTCATGGTTGAGAACAACCGTGAGGTTGTACTCGACAAAGTTAGTGGAATTAGACGACCCGTCGTATAGTAGCTGCGACAAGAATGGGAAATCCATAGATCGCCACACGTTGCCGTAGTAAACTCCCATGAATAGGACAATACATATCAAATATCCTGTCAAGCTGTTGACCAGCGTATAGAGCGGATACCAAAGAGGCGAGTTTAGTCCGGCAATGTAATTCCAATCAAAGCAAAGTCCAAGAAAACCGAGGCCTTCGTTGTTCTGCGCTCCTCCAAATAGATTGGTATACACCAGGCTGTCCTGCCGAGCCAAGCAAGGAATCGAAATGCCTTGAAAGATTGGTGCGATCCACAATGGGATGATCTCCCAAAAAAATGCACCGCTAAAGAATATACTGAAATATTTGAGCCGTTTTTTGGTCTCAGCTTTGTCGCGGTGTAACGTCTCTAATAGTGTATTGACGGGAATATTGATTGGCCATAACATCTTAGCTGGCTGCACCAGGACGGTACGAAGCAGACCTGCGATGCCATACGCCAGGAACTGTGAAGCAATAACGAGAAAGATGGCAGCACCTTGGTTCGGGTTTGACCCATAATAGAGTCGCTGAGCGGCAAGGATCTGCGTTGCTACTGCAGATGTTGAGCCAGCAGAGCCCATAATCACCATGAACGCGTGCTCTTTGGAATTGAAATCGCCCGGATTGAGAAAGCGACATAGTCGTGCTATGATGCCATCACCACTCGGGCGTGGGATGAAATGAAATGGTAAAGCCAAAATGTATGCAATCACTGTAAGGAATACAACTGACACGTAGATGACCTGGGGCTTGAAATAGAAGATCTCCTGTAGCACTGACGCGAAAATGCACAAAATGAGGCCTGGAAGCAGTATCAAATCTTGTTAGTGAAAATATGAGAAATAGCAAACTATCCAAACTTACCAATTGTCAGTGCGCGAAATGTCCACGGAGAGTCATCTGGATTGTCGTCCACATGAAGAACGTGCGTAATTAGATCTTTTGCGTTATCTATTACCGTAACCTCACCAAATCGGTTTTCCTTCCTGACATCGTAGCTGTCGTCATTCTCATCCTCGGCAAAGCTGATGGCTCTCTCAACCTCTGCATCCATTCCAAGCTTCTTTTCGCTACTTTCAGCGTTGGACGCTGGATTTTCTGGAGTGATCTCATGATGCTTTTCTCTCCCCCCTACCTCTTTACCATCCACTGCCACGTGAGCATTGATAGCGTCTTGCTGATCAGCCATAATGTCGATGGTTTGCTCCTCGCCAGCCTCTCATAAAGAGGAGAGAACTGATCCATGTTACTTTTTTCGACAACATCAGAACTATATATTGGCAACATATTCACAGTACTAATCGTATAGATCGTAGCTGCATGTCGTATATAATAGTAGGATGGTGGGGTAGCAAAAGTTCCAACTAGCTTATCACTCCCCGCGCCGCCTTTGGCGTAGAATCATTTCCTGAAAGGGGAGGAGCGGCTATGGTTTATTGCAGGCGAATTGCTAGAGGAACTTTCTAATCCTTCCCGGCAACAAAACTCCGGTCGCCCATCGTTCATTCGCTCTTTTTCGCTAAACTAGACGTTGATCCATGCATTCGTCCTTACCTAGCCCGAAAAGAATGGTCATTTGTGGCACTGCCGCTTGGTCGGCAGCCGATTAGCCGAGATGCAGTACGTGTTACCAAGAAGTCAATTCATAATCATTCCTTTTAATTGAATTCTTAGTGAAGCTGTGATAAAAGAAAAGAAAAGAAGAAGCGCACATCAATTCGAGACGGCTATATGGCTGTTAAAAATACAGATAAGAGACACGAAAAACCCAACAGCAACTCGCATTCATAAGTCTTGAATATTGAACTTCACTCTTTCCATGGAATGATGTGTTGCGTTTAAAGAACACTTGTTCTCTTCCAGCAACTTATTGAGATGCTCTTAATACTTATACCCGGCCCTCGTTAATTCAGCGGTCGCCAACGCGACTTAATGACCTTTGAGAATAACAAGAGACAATATAAACATGGAAATAAAGGTATTCAGTCGCCTTCTTATGGATCCAGGGGTAATAGAGCGCAATCAGGATAATAATTGGCTATATTGACGCTTTTGACAGGCCAGATAAATTAATTCTCCTGCCGAATGTTAGTTGATGCAAAATTTAAGCTAGCATCGCCAAGCATTATATCGCCAAGCATTACATCGCCAAGCATTACGCTAGCTAGTGCGGCTGCTACATAGCTGTAGAGACCCAAAAAATTTGGGCTTGTTTTTCTAAAAAAAAAATATATACCTGCGGTATATCATGCGATCTAACCAATTTAACAAAGGCTACAAGAATATGACTTTGTTATAATGCCAGCTAATTTTCAATAAATCCCCTAGGTTCTTTCCAATTAATAATATAGGCAAATAATTAATTTTCTTTTACACATCGTAGGTATACTGGCAATGTAATGCTGAGGAGCAGCCATTAAAGTTTCGCCGGATTTTAGTTATTCCGGCATCTGCCAGCCTGACTTTTATGATTCCGTAAAAATTCTCTCGGGCAGTCAAGAGGAACAGGCTCACCTAGTAGTTATTCCAGGCATCATATACCATATTGTACATATATACAGCCATAACGATGACACAATCCAAGTCTGCAAAGCGCAAGCGTAATGCACAGGGAGGAACTCCCCAAAAACACGCTAAAGTCACAAAGACAGCTTTGGCCGTCACCACAATCCCCGCTGACGAACCATTCGAGATTAAGCGTTTACAGTCGGTCATCTCAGATGAAGAGCTCGAAGTGACGATTGATACTCTTACTACGCTAGCGCAATACCCAAGCTTAACAAAGTCCAAACTTTGCAGAAACCTTCGAACAGCCGTGTATGATTTTCGACAGTCATGCACTACAGGTGTCAATGCTACCAGTATGTCAAGCTACCAATGTCTAATATGGTGGTGCAACTAAAAATTTCTTAGCGGAGGCTGCAAATCTCACGGCAAGAGTGTCTGCTGCACTCGCTGATGAGAAGTACCTCGAGGCGAAAATTTTACTCGCGGAGATGCGTCTCAGAGGCGAGGAACCGAAGCTAGGTGCACTCTGCCGCTGGGTGCGAGATCTTGACGTTGTAACGCAACCTAGGCAAACAAATGCCAATGACCCTGAACGCTCTGCAAAGGATGATGAGCTTCTTAGCGTACTAGATGCCGTATTACGTGTTAGCTGCCCAGTGGATGGCAACTCGGGGCCGGGGAAGCTTTTACCTGGATTGTCTCCTCGAATCGCTTTTCAAGCAACATGGGATCTACGATCATCTACTACACCATATCAAATCTATGACTCCGTTCTAGATAAATCAATATTTGCATCAGCACCCGGCACGGCGGCTTCTTCTCTACGTATCATTGAAACAACTCCTGGCCACCTCCGCAATCCTCCCAACTATCACCCAGCTATCCTCTACACATCTCAGCCTGATACCGTACTGCTATCATCAGAATGCCCTCAGATTAAACTCCACAAACATCCAAACGTGGCCAATCTCAGTCTTGCGACAAACGTTCTTTCACCTTCTGAATGCAAGGCTATTATTGCTATTGGAGAAACCGTTGGTTTTCTTCCTGACACTCCTGTGCGCGAAGGTGGTGACACAAGTGTTTTGGCGCACAATTTTTACTGGATCGTCGATACCTCATTCCATGATAGGCTTTGGGCGCGTATTTCGCCTTTTGTGCCGGCATCGATCAATGGTCGCTTAGCTCGTGGCATTAATCGACGTTTCCGTGTGTACCGATACGTTCCTGGTGCAGAATATCGGTGCCATATCGATGGAGCATGGCCGCCGTCCGGTATTCGTCCAGACGATACATATGTATACGACGACTCTCCCGCAGGAAAGAAGCAAAGCTCCTTATTTACCTTTTTATTATACCTCAACGACGAATTTGAAGGAGGACAAACCACGTTTTTTGTCCCAGCTCCATCCGAAGGAAGACTCAATGCCTATCGAGTGCGTCCAGTCATAGGCGGTGTAGCAATATTTCCACATGGAGAAACGAACGGCGCCCTACTGCATGAAGGCTCAAGCGTCACAAAGGGTGCTAAGTATATTATTCGAACGGACGTGGAGTATGATATCGATCCTTCCCAGGGGAACTAAGAAAATGTAACATGTCTCCAGATTAATAAGTCCATATATAATGTATCCAAAATTATTTGGTTAGGCTACCACCTGTGGCAGCTAATTGGCGCGCAATATTTATCCCCCAAGCTGTTTATAATTACGATTTGCTATTCTTTCACCATCAAGTTGGTAATAACTAGAGATAGTAGTGGATTTAGGGAAGCCGGCAAATCATCTTCTACATAAAATTTGTATTCCTCTCAAAATTCACCATGATTCAAGACATGAGAAGGCATAGTAAGATGTTATATACAATGTATTTTAAAAGCTATATACGTGTAGAGTCATTTACAGTGTCATCTTAGACTACCAGCTATGCCAGTGTTGTCTAGCAATGTCCATAGACATGAGTGACCAAAATATATATACGTGCAGAAAGAACTATATATAAAGCTCCCGCGAATTCATCAAGCCATTTAAGGGCTGCATTTGCCGCTGTTGCAAACGAGCGAGTCAGAGCAGTCGTCATCTGAGGAGCAGCTTGCGCCCTGGCAGTGGCCTTCCCAGCTGCAAGTTGCTGGTGGAGTAGAGCCGCTGCTACCTGAGTCAGCGCTGCATACGCCGCTGTTGCAAACGAGCGAGTCAGAGCAGTCGTTGTCTGAGGAGCAGCTCGCGCCCTGGCAGTGGCCTGCCCAAGTGCAGGTTGAACCACCACCGTTTCCAGGGTTGCCGCCGCCGCTGACGGGGCCCTCTGGCTGGCCTGGGGCGTTGGTATCGAAGTTGTAAAGAGTCGTATCCAAGACTTGCCAGCTGATATCGATGTGTCCGTTGTTGCATGCATTTGAGTTCAATGCGCTGAGAGCAGAGAAACTGAAATCCAGTCCAGGAGCTCCGTTCGGGTTCCATGGACCAGTAGACGATCCAGTACCGCATCGCTCACAGCCATCACCAATAAAGAATGGAGTGCTTGACGGTTGTCCATTAACGCTGACAACAACCTGTCTACCACAGTACTGGGCCAGGTTACTGGCAATCAAACTGTGGTTCATAGCAACAAGATTGTTGCTGTTAATTTGGTTCAAGTTCAGGGCGATAAACTGGCTGCATTCGACATTGCCCGTGTTTGCGACCGAGAGATCCTGGCCGCAGGATTGAGGGTGTTGAATATCGTAGTAGTATGTTCCATATCCACTTCCGCTGTAGATGACAGACTGAGAGAGAGCCAATTTGGCAAAAAAGCCGAGAGACGCAGTAATTTGACCCTTCATTTTGAATGAGACGGACGATTGAATATAAAAAAACCGTGAATAGAGACTTGTTCAAAGCTGGCTTGTTTCCTTGGGACAATTGTCGCTGAATACCGACCCAATTACACCGGAAACACTGAGCTACTTATATTTCCTAGTTTGCAATGATATTTTCATTATATAAAGAACAGCCCTTATACGAATAAACGGCCCGAAAGACCGTACGAGTATTATTTGCATGTTCATGGAGGATCAAATAGTTTGAAAATATTAATTGGATATAAGCTTATAGACACGACTGTCCTGCCCTTCTTGGTAAATCCCAGCTGAGAATGAAAGCATTATAGCGCTAAATTAACATGGATGCCGACATATGTAAGCAAAAAGGTAATTATAAAAAATTGGCCTTCCTTTTTAGAGAGAGCACGTTCCTCTCTTTGGGCAGAAATAACATAATTGTCTTTGGTGGATAAGCTTCCCCCTAGCTACGGAGAAATTAGACTCCACAGAAAGAGCAGCGGAAGATGTCGGGCACTCGGTATATATTTACGACGAGCCGTTCTTCTATTTTCAGATTGGTTCATTATCAAGCATTGCTATGAAACTATAAATATGGTAAACCTTGTTGTTCCTTAAGCTCCCATCAACCCCGTGTATTCCAATTGCTGTATTCTGAAAGTCCCAGAGACATGCGCAAGAGCAGTACTTGAATGATTATGCACGACACTGACAGCACAAACAGTGGCTAAGGCTGAAACGCGCTTACACAACAGACTCGGTGAAGCTAATCAGCCAATACGAGTGCTTGCACCTACAGGTACCTACCTAACTAGGAAGCACTAGTTACCGCTGAGTCAATTTCAGAGACTGCGGTAGAAACCAACGACCGCTCCAGAACAGCGTTGTCGGTGCTCCCGACAGCACTTGCGCATTTAGGATAAACGCCGTTGGCCCTGAGTCGTGTTCTTTGTATCTAAAAAACTCAGGTACAAATGTAATTAGGGTGTTGACTTTTCGTGAGCTACTTTATTATTTTTTCCCTGGTGTATAGTGAAGATTAAAAGTTGGTATTTTTTATCGTCTAAAAACATATCATGCTGTCTTTGCAAACCAGCAGAAATATTACTTGAGTTGCTGTTTATCATCGACTTCCTACTCCTAAGAGCAGAGCAGGAGACCGTCTGGCAAGTAGAAATTTTTCATGTTTCATACTAGAGGTAAATTGTATGGCTGCTTAAAGATTAATTATTCCTGTCAAGTGTACTGTTTGCATACCTGGAATATACTTAGTAATCAATTCATACTCTTCCATTCTCTGAACCAGCATTTAAAAGTGGTACCCCTACACTAGTCAGCTGTTGCCTTGTTTGTATTACCGATCGCATCTATTGTGTATCCATCTTACCTGGTTGGTATTCGAAAATTTGTGTACTTGCGCAATTATATACATCACACATACTTTTGAATCAAATGCAGCTCATGGATGTTATATTCATGTTTACCGTATATATCTCTGTATCTATATACTGCACTGAATTGATACCAGCATGTTGCACATGAAATTTAATTTTTAATTGAACAGCAACTGTACATGATTTTGGATACTTTTCATAGGGTAGTGTTATGGTGATATCTTAACTTGTAGCTGAAAATTCATCTCACTACCCTTCTTGATTACTAAACAAAAAATCAAGGCAGGGAGGAATAAAAATCGTAATGGCATGGGTTTCGCCAGACATGCCAAGTAATATTAACATAAAGCATTCATCTAATATCCAACTCATGAGATTACTTACATTCCATATATTTACCCAGTGCATTTCTTCTTCCTACCAAGTATAACAATACTGGAATTAAACCGTCGCCAAGGCATTTCCTTATTGGAGGAGAATATGTGTCGCGTAGGCTCTAGTGCTTACCAACGTAAGTTAAACTTGAGAATAGAGCGGCTCCCGCAGACGATATGAAGTCCATTCCTGCCCTCCACGAAATGTCTTTTTGTGATGCTGTTTTAGTAATGTACTGTCATAACTTTTTTCCTCGAATCAGCGGAGCCTTCCTTTTCTCGTATACCTTCCACAACCAATATTTACGCAAGGATAGCGTGATTGCAGCATTTCCAAATTAACCTAGAGAAACAGCCTTCCTATTTAAGCTTACTTTAGTGTGTGTGACAGAGCTACAAGGGGTCACCTACAACAAGTCTTGCTGCTTGTGACGCTATTCGGCATTTTATCAATAACTCCTAACCTTGCCTACTCGTATTTATTCATTAATTTTCGTGCTATATAATATGGGGCTACTTTCCTGAGCAACAGTCGATCGCAGTCTGCATTGTCTATTAACCATACACTGTTTGAAGCTTCATCGGGAATACAAACACCATGCGCTCTTCAATTCTCTTTGCTGCCACGGCTGGTACCGGCTCTTTAGCCTACACAATTCCTGCCAACCTTCAAGCAATCTATAATGCTCATAAGGTTAGCTGTTTGTCTCAATTTCAACACCTGAGCATGACTGATACCAAATCTACCCCAATAGGCAGGAACTTGCGCCACTCCGCTCTCGGGAACCTCTTCTTCGGGCGCTGTATTCTGTGGAGATATCCCAAATGCTATATTCTTGAAGGGAAGCAATGGAAACTATGACAATATGGATGTCGACTGCGATGGCTCCGATGATAAGGCTGGCGACTGCTCAAATGACCCTACTGGATATGGCGAGACGGCGTTCAAAGACACTGTCCAGTCCTATGGCATTTCAGATTTGAATGCCAATATTCATCCATATGTCGTTTTCAACGAGCCACCATTTTTCAACCCCGAGCAGTATGGCATGAAGCCGTTGAGTGTAATGGCTGTTGTTTGCAACAATCAAGTGGTGAGTTACGCCTTTGGTTTTTTTCTGGAGCGCGTGTTTCGATAGTACCTATTCAAGTCAGTGTGCGCTTACTACTTTTATCCCCTCCCCCCTCTTTAGTGGTATGGTATCTGGGGCGATACCAACACAGAGCCGACAACAGGCGAAGCAGCTATTTCACTTGCACAGCTGTGCTTCCCTAACGAGGGTCTGAATGGCGACTTTGGACACGGCACTAAGGATGTACTGTACATTGGGTTCGTTGGCGATGAAGCCGTGCCAGGCAAGAACGGCGCCAACTGGAAAGCAACCAATGTCTCAGCCTTTGAATCCAGTATCAAAGCATTGGGTGATTCGCTGGTTCAGAGTCTTGGGACCTCAAGCGGCGGTGGCTCTGGTGGCGGCTCTGGCGGCGGCTCTGGCACCTGCTCCTGGGAGGGCCACTGCATCGGCGCCTCCTGCGGATCCGATGATGACTGTTCGGACGACTTTGTTTGCTCCAATGGCAAGTGCGCATCAAACAGTGGGAGCGGAAGCGGAGGTGGCACTGCCCCCCCTCCAACCTGCTCCTGGGAGGGTCACTGCATCGGCGCTTCTTGTGGATCTGACGATGACTGCTCGGATGACTATGTTTGCAGCAACGGCAAGTGTGCGGCGTAGGTAGGAGTTGGACGTGGCCCCGTCTATTTGTTTCGTAGTAGTCGAGGGTAGTACATGAAGCTCAATTTACATATAATACCAAGTAAAGAGCCTCTACTCATCAGAATGCACCTCGTACGCGAAATCATGAATCCATAGGCGGGAATATATGTATAAATATGCATATTTGATGTCAACTGTTTTGTGGAAATATCATGGAATGGATTGATCCATGCTGGCTCCCTTGGCGGGTCAGTCGTCTGCAGTGCCGGCCTACGAAGATGCGAGCACCTCATGGTGCACCAGGATTTGGCGCCAGTGGCGTAGAAAGGGGAGAAGGAATGGCGAGGCAACAGTCTTTCTGCTGAGACCTCTCTTCGGCGTCGGCGATTGGACGTCAGCTCGCAATAGGAACGCCGGTGCATCTTGGATGGCATATATGTAGATGCATGTCCAGGTACCTAATCGTAACAGCAGCATCAGCAGTACTACTTGTACATTGCTTCAGTGGGGCAAAGACTTTCTCAGGCGATCCTTCAGCCGGGTTCTTTAGCCTGGTGCCACTGATGGCCCGAGCACTTAGACACATATATTGGCAGCCGTGTGCACATATATATATGTGCTGCGTAAAAGTTTCCCACGGCAATGCAGACGTTCAAGAAATCATTTCATCTTGTGGTGGCCACGTTCTCATAGCCCAATTAGGCGCGGATTCTATCATTTAGCGGCCATTTTCTTGCCTCACCATAGTTAACCTCGCAATATTTCTCCGAACACACCCATCCGCCAAGGATACATATCGTCGTAGCAACCACGCCATGGCCTCCATTGTCTTCTACGATATCGCTCACAAGCCCCCCGTATCGGAGTCGTGCTGTTCTCCAAACCCATGGAAGACCCGATTAGCGCTCAATTTCAAGGGCGTCCAGTACTCAACATCGTGGGTGGGTATGCCTGACATCTCCAAAGTGCGTCAGGGCCTTGGTCAACCCGCCTCTCGCAAGTTTGCCAACGGTTCCGACTTCTATACTCTTCCCGTAATTCAAGATACTGCGACGAATGTCACAGTCGGTGACTCATTTGATATCGCCGTCTATCTGCAGCGCACATATCCTGACTCGGGCGGCGGCGACTTATTTCCTGCCCAGACTCTTGATTACACCTTTGTGTCGAGTTACGAAATCCCCATACCACTGTCGAAGCGCGATGACGGAGGTTTTCCTGAGTATGCCCGATTCAATACGAACATTGACGCGGCATTCAGCGCCCACGTCCAGCTAATGGTCGAAGGTATACCGCTTGATCCGGCTACAATTGACCAAACCAAGGCCGAATTCGTCCGTCGTGCCGGCGTCAGCAGTTGGGATGACTTTATTTTGACTAGAGAGGCGCGTGAGAAGCTCATGGAATCATTTCAGAGTACGCTGGGCGATCTGGCCAAACTGTTCCTCCAAAATAGCGACGGCCCTTTTCTACTAGGGCAAAAGGCCAGTTACGCAGACTTTATCGTCGGCGCCTGGCTGCGGATGGCTCAGGTGACTTTGCCCAAGCAAGAGTGGGAAGAGGTGCGGTGTTGGCATGGTAGTGTATTTGGGCAGCTACACGATGCTCTTGACGTATACGCCGGGATAAAATAAAGTGCTGTGGCTCGCAACTCAGCGCGGAGCTGTGTAAGCGAGGCTTTAGGTTGGGTGGAAGTTGGGATGCAAAGATTATCTACAAGTCTAGATGAAGAGAAGGCTTAGTGATTCACAGTCATTATAACTGATAAATAAAATACGCGAATTGAAACGAGTGATTGCTGGATTTGTAGCGGAGAAGTCCCGTCGGTCTACCTTCAGAAGGGCGATGGATAAGCAGCATCATATGAGCAGAAATAATTATGGGTAGACGACCTCGAGAGACAACAAAGATCTATTGGAACATTTATTACGCACACACGATATGGCCATGATGGAAGTTCTTGCTCCGATGGTTTAACGCGTGTCTAGGTTTTAGTTCCCCAATAGCTGTCAAAACATGATGATTAATGCTTTCTCCACTGATCAATCAATTAACAATTTAGACTGATATTATAATTTGAAATTTTTTCGATTAGTTGAATGTTTGATCAAGTATTGTCAGAACTACGCACTTGGTGTATTTCAGCGACTTTCACCATGCCCTACGACCCTTCTACTTTTTGTGTTCTATTTAGATTCTCAAACTATATAACTCGTACGAGGGTGGGCATCTGTTTTTTTTATTAAAAAAAAAAAAGTGTAGAATAAGCCAGTAGTATCTCACTTTGAAATCCCAAAATCGTAGGTAGGCTGCGCTAATCGGCAGATCAACCACGATACTAGGGCTCTCTGCATACGACAATAGCTTGACCAACCTTTTATACATTATGCCATATTAGGAACCTTGGGTCGGAATATTTTTGAGAATTATACGATCAGATCTACATACAATAGTACGTAGGTATTAAAAGATTCTATGCTAAAACTGTCTGTCGCAAAAAATACTGCGCATGGCTTTGCTCCTCTCGCTCGTGAAAGTCACAGTTCATTTCTGTTGCATACATCATTCTCCTCACGTCATCCATTTTTAAACAGCCGCAACTTGCATTTATATATAAGGTGTATATATATATATTGCCACAAAAACATTAACTGGGAGTCAATTTATGGTAAAAGGGCCTAGAAGACACGTTGAGTACATCTAGCCACTGCCCTTTGCATCGATGCACATGGGGGAGAGCAATCGCAAACAGTCTTGCACGCGAGTATTGCATGGGCAGCGTGCAAGAAAGGAGCATTGTACGCTAGAAGTTATCAAAACTATTTCAACCAAGGCTTGAACTTTACGGTATGAAGGTAGGCTAGCGGAATACAAATATATTATTTATATTTATCATTTACATTATCCAGTAGGTATATACTCAGATTGATATATATGCACATAGCTATTAGAATGCTAACAGTTCGTCCCCGTGTTTACTCAACTAAGGCACTGGGAGTAATAGTCATTTTGCTTTTTGCAGGTGGCCGGGGGTTGACAAGCTGTAGGGCCTGTCCATCCAATGCCTCCACACTGGCCATAGAGCGATTGTGTCCCACTCCCGGATGGCGCTGTCGATGTTGTTGTTGATGATGGCCGAGTTGAGCTGCTGCCAGGCGGCGGAGCCGAGCCAGAGTCGCCTAGGCCGACAGGTGTGGGATCCGTCTCTTGCATCCCGACGCAGAGGCAAGTTTCCCAGTCAGAGGTGGCCTGGCCTGGGCAAGCGACTGGCTCGAAGTCAACAACCACATTATCGCCAAAAATTTCATTCTGTGCCATAATGTCGAAATGGTAGCTATAGCCGTATTGGTTGGTGCCTCCGACTGTTGGGCACCATTGCGCGTTTCCATTGTTGGGACACAGGTTTGTAACCATTACAATGATGCTCTGGCCCGCAACGCCACCCGTACCGCAGGAGGAGCAAGGCGCCTCTCCTGTTGAGGTCAAGTTATAGCATTTACCGCAGCCCGCGCCACACCACGAAGCACCAGCCGTGTCGTAGAGAGCCTGGGAGCCGGCAGCTGTGTAGACTCCGCTGCTAATGCCAAGCTACCGACAGAGCGCAAATTAGAAACACAATGGCAGGATTGTTGGCCTAGATAGGGCGATATCTCACCTGCCAGGGAAAATTGGCGCCATTAGCAGCGCCGCAGCCGCATGCACCCTCCTGCCCGTCAAAATAGCGCTAGACTCCCAGTTAGTTGTTGTTAGAGGTGACACATATAAAAGTGTACTTGCGGTGGTGGTAGCTTTATATGCGGTGGCAGAGCTCGCGATAATGGAGCTGACAAACAGAGAGGCCTTCATATTCAATACCTGAAACTAAACGTCAATACAGAGGCAGAATGCATTAATAGAGCGTATGGTCTTGCAACATTTGAAACAGGCAACATTAACAAAAGGCCGCTCAACAGTTTATATAGACCGATGGAGGGGCTATGTACACCACCCCTTTTCTAATTTCCCGAGTGTGCTGGCTCCGAGCGGTAATTTATATATAGCATAATATTCCGGCTGCAATATACTCAAAACTACTTGCATCCTTTATATTCATATATAATTGAAAATGGTAATAATCTCTAACACTTTCTTGTTCCACATAAACGTAGGTTTTGTGAGCTGCTAGAATAAATGGAACTACCAACCTTCGCTATATACATAGAGTAACTACTAGGGATAACGTACTGTAATGTTATAATTGCGCTTATCAAAAGTGGTAATATTATCTACTGGAGATATTAGCGGTGTAAGGGTATTTCACCGCTAGTCTCTGAATCATAAGTTATATTGGCCCATTCTCATCTAATGCAGAAATGGATTTACGGAGTATTGAAGTATGATGTAGGTATTAAAGCGTATCCATTTGACCATGGAGTGAGCAGCTTCTTCTCATTATCTTAAATTTAAATGAAAACAAAAAGGAAAATTTAAAATACCTATATAAGGTATACATCGTATGTTACTTCTCCGCAATATTTATTCAGTTATAACCCATTTTGCTTAGGGTCTCTATGTAAATACATCTTAGCCTGTAATCCTTAGGCTGTATAGCGGTAGCCTGTATTGTGCCAGCCTGTACGGTGATTTGTCGCGGCTGTATACCCTCAGGCTATATGAGCCCCGGCTATATATTTTGACGATTTCAAGTCCTAAGCGGCTTTGCCAAGTGATACACTTCATATGTCATAATCCATTTGTCTTATTGTGCATAGGCCTATAGTCTTATATTGGAGCTTAGAGACGCATTATCTGGTTTGTAGATCCAGTCGTCAGATGCCGAAATATCGTAATGGAACACCAAGCAAATTCTTGGACTATTAATGACACGCTTGAGAATCTGCATCCTCACATGTAATCTATGGAACTATACTCTATACCTCAATCATTGATGACACTCCCAGAAACTAAAAAGTACTACCCACTACGAATTTGAAAGTGATCTTATATATTAGATCCTCAATATCGATGTACAAACTCCGTCAAGAAACTCTCTAAGCTGTTTCAAGTCATAAGAATCCGACCCAGAAATTTCGAGATACCAGTGATATCTTGTAGGCTTGACAATGATAAATATATCATTGGTTTGCACCAGGCCAGGCTTGGCAACGATATTGAGCTGCGGTCCGTGACCAGAGAAAAGAGCAGGGCTTTCATCGATATTCTGAAACTGAACAATGCAGTTGTACCGCCGTAAGCTTGGAGGCCAATCTGTGCAGTTCTGTAGAAGATTTTTACACCCTGCAGCTTCATATGCAGCACTACTGTGGCGTTGGCTCTGAATCCGGCTGATGATATCTTTCAGCAATGTCTCTTGCTGGATCTTTGCCCTAATGGGAACTATGTTCAAGCATGGCCCCATAACATCTTTTAGCTTTGCGCTGAGAGATGAGCGACCTGAAACAATAAGCCCAAATATCAGATCCGTTGAGTGTGTAAATTTAGCTAGCGCATGAGCACATGCAGCGATGAATACCGTGGCGGAAGTCGTACGATCAATTCTCCTTGGTGCTGGGATAGTCCTGCTCAGCCGCAGCACCTTTCCCGTGGAGTGTTCTAAATTACGGGGCGTGGGCATTTGCAATGGCTGTGATTTTTCCAGAAAGCTTCTCCAAAATGGGAAAGACTTCTCTTCCAAGTGCTGGATATGCCTGATATATCGCGAAAATTGTGGAACTGACGGCGGCAGTTGATGAGACAAGAGAGCTGAAAGGGTGGCTAGCAGTGGACCAAGACTTAGTCCATCGTATTGTGCGTGGGCTATTCTTATTGTCAGTCGTACGGGTCCTTTAGCTGATCTCTGAACATGAAACATAGTGAAAGGTCTTCCGAGCTGTAATGGCTGCGCGAGTATCCTTGAATGAAGCTGTGAAGATTCAAGGTCTCCCTCTATTGGATGGATACAAACAGGAACTTCTATCGCATCCGAAATAACGTGGAAGAAAGCGCCCTCGTGCCGGATAAAAATGGCGCGGAGAATATCGAACTTGTCCCACAGTATTGAACACGCTGTGACTAGCTCGACATCCGTCATATCGCTGGGGAAATCAAAATACATCGCTGCACAGCTCAGAGGATTTTTTCGCATTGCCATCTCAATAAAGTCGGCTTGAATAGTAGTGACGGGATATACATCAGTAAACGACATAATATCAGGGTCTAAAAGTTTCGGAACAGTTTCTAGTACGGCACTGATAGAAAGTGGGCTGCCGTCGCCAAGAAGAGAAAACGGCAATGAGGCGGTATCATCAGCAACACTTTGATCATCCTCTTCATCCGAACTTTCTAAACGGATAAGCTCAGAGAGGCTTGATGACGTCAAGATGTCTGCAATTGTAAGCGACAGACCCTGTTCTCGCGCTGCGACCACCAGTCTCATTGCCTGGATAGAATCGCCGCCGACTGTATAAAAGTTGTCATCGAGGTATATTTCGGAGGCATCAATATCTAGAATTGATGCCCATAGATTTTGCATTTGCTTTTCTGCGGCTGTGGTAGGCAAGCGCTGCTGTTGGCTCCTCTTCGGGTCAAGTGCTGCCAGCTCTTCCGTTGTGAGAGCGCCGCCGATTGTTTTGAGCGCCTTGCGATCTATTTTCCCTGTTGCTGTTGTGGGGATTACAGCAATAGGTATAAAGACCGAAGGGATCATATATGACGGAACCAGTTTAGCCAACCTCTGCCTTGTTTTGCCTGCTATATCGGCAGCTCGTGCTTGCGGTTGATCGATATCCGGGATGCTGATAAATATCGCTAATATAGCGCTGCCTTTACGTGGATTTATTATCTCAGCGACAACTCTCACGTCTTGATCTTTAGGAAGCAGTTGTTGGACGTGATACTCAACCTCACCAAGTTCCAGTCGCTGGCCATGAATTTTTGCTTGTGAGTCCTTACGACCAACAAAAGTTAGAGTACCATCTGGCTGATAGCGTACTATATCTCCTGTCTTGTAAAGACGCCCCCTTCTACCAGATATTCCCAATTCTGGTAGCCCTTTGAGTAACCAAGGTGGATCATGAATAAACGCAGCCGAAGTGCGTTCCTCATCATTGAGGTATCCTTGACCAACCAACGGACCCTCCAACCATAACTCTCCTTCGACTCCAAGAGGAACAAGGTAGTTGCCGTTGCTGGGATCGACTACCCAAGTGTTTTGCCCGATGCCTTTTCCAATTGAAACGGCGGAGCCTGGAACAACCAGATCGACAACGGCTGCTGTCGCACAAATAGAACACTCTGAGGGTCCATATGCATTCAATAGTTTGGGTATTCCCTCAAAGCGGCTGATATCGGCTGGGGACATTGCTTCACCAGCTAATAGCAAAACCTCTAGTCCTGAAATCGCTGTTGGGTCTATAGTGCGAGCAACGGAAGGCGTCAATGAAACGTGTGAAATTTCATATCGACGGAAACAGCCTATTAAATCGTTTCGCATTTCTGCTTGAGAGCCTACACAAAGACAGCCTCCATTGCAAAGAGCGAACAGTATGCAAGACCATGACATGTCGAACGAATAAGACGCAAAATCCAGTACCCGGCTCGTCGGGCTAAATCCTAGGCGATCAGTCTGATGCCGTATTGCACTAGCGAAATTTTGGTGCGACACTGTAGCTCCCTTGGGTGTCCCGGTACTGCCAGAGGTAAATACAACATAGAGTAGATCTGTTGGTTTTGCTTTCGCTGCTGCCTGCGGCAGTTGAATATCATTTGTGAAAATGTCGTTACTAAGGATGTCATCAAAGTATCTTGTGACATCTAATAGTTGCATTCCAGCAGCAGCTTCCTGCAGTCGGTAGGCCAGCGCTTTATTCGCAGTCGATGAGAGTATTGCCTTTGGCTGTATCTGTTGTATAATAGATTGGAGCCGGTCTTCTGGCTGGTTGATATCTACCAAGAAGCATGCTGCGCCCGTTTTCCATACAGCATATGCAACAACTGCTGTCAACATTGACTTTTCAAAACAAAGAGGCACTATCACATTCGGCCCGATGCCCATTATTGTTAAGCGGAGGGACAGACTGTATGCCAATGACTCCAATTCCATATAGGTAAGTTCACCATCCCAAGCACATATTGCTGGCGCATATGGCTGCTTTTGTGCTATATCTGAAATTATGTCATGTATACAGACTTTGATTGATTCGGGTACAGATGCGTTCCAGTTCCAAATAGTTTCTAGATCGCTTTGGTTGATTAAGCTCAAATTCCGAAGCAAAGTTTTTTGATGGGTTTCCTCGCACAAAAGTCGGAGGATATGCTCAAACTGGTCTTGCATTCTTGTAATCTTCCCGGTGCCTATCACGTTTGAATCATAAATGAGCTTTAGAGATAGTCTGTGAGGATTGAAATCACAGACAACCTCTAGAGCATAGGTGGATGACACACTGACTTCTTGCTGGGTCTGAGGATTTTCAAGAGGTCTGAAGATGCTGGATTGCCCGTCTAAATTTTCTGGTTGTACTACGAGCAAAGTCTGAAACTGGCAGCTGCGCTCTGCATCTTCGTTTATTTTGCGGATATTTTGAAGGCCCATTTGCTCAAAAGGTATCGAGTCTATACTTTGTTGTTGTATTTGCGTCTGCAACTCTTCCATAGTTATATCTGATTCCTCTGGAAACTTTATCCGGACTGGCACTGTAGCTACGGTTGGACCAGCAATATGTTCCGCTCCTGGTATTGCGGCTTGTCGGCCAGTGACAGTACAGCCAAATACGACGTCATTTGAGCTCGTATACAATGCTTGCAATAGTGCCCACGCAGTCCGAATAACTGTGGCTGGCGTTACATCTGTATTTGGCCACGTGATATTGGTGATTATTGCGTTAAGTACTTTATCCGTCGAAGGAGAATATCCTGGCAAGGGCAGTTGAGGAAATACATCTGCTTGGGATCCATCAAAGTAGCCTTTCCAAAAATTGATAGCAGCTGATGCATTTATATCATGAACATGGGAGATGAATTTCTGGAATGGAACATATTGTGCTCTTTGCGCATCGAGATATGCCTTGTCGATTGAGTCGAGCACCATTGAAACAAGGAAGTTGTCGTATAGTGCGTGATGTATGGTCCACGAAAAGAGAACTCCATGTTTGTCATCTCTAGACAATTCGAATCGGCTAAGTCTTGTTCCTAGTCCCATAATGACTGAAGCAGATGGGTTAAGACAATCGTCTGAACTGTTCTCACCTTGCCATGGGATTGGCTCGTCGACGATGGACTGAACAAGCCCCTGCCCAGGGAGGTTAATAACCCGCGTGCGAAGTATTGGCATTTCTGCTGAGACATCTTCACAAGCCCGCATAAATCTTTGTAGATCTACATGGGGCTGAAGAATAAATACAATATGTGCAATATAATTGCCACTCCGCTTTTGTGTCATTGCCAAGAGTCCTTCTTGAAGCGGAGTGCATGGTAATACATCCTCAATCTGATTACTTGAAACGTTACAAAGCAATGCGGCTTGTAGTTGAGCAAATTCAGCCGTGATTCCGTCTTTGAGAAGAGAAAATGGAGCTATTACTTCCTCCTCAGAGGTTGTGGTATTCCACTTCAACTGCTTGGCTTGGTCACATAACCGGGGCTGCTTAAAAATATCAGCGACAGTCAGGAGCATGCCCTGTTCTCTTGCTATTGCCACAAGTCTCATAGCTTGGATCGAATCGCCAATACGAAGAAAGCTGGTGTTTGCATCCATAAGAGTAGAATCGATATTTAATACCGATGCCCATAGTTGGCGCAGACATCTTTCTTCAGAAGTGAGTGGTGTTTTTTTCTCTTCCGGCTGTTGTGATATGTGTAATGCAGCAATGTCTTCCATGGCCAGCCTATTACCCATTTCACGCAGTGCCTTTCTATCAGTCTTCCCAGTTGCTGTCATCGGAATAGCAGCAAGTGGCATAAATGCAGCTGGGATCATATAGGATGGAATCTTATCAGCAAGTCGACTGTCCAAACTCGCTAAAGTTGTCGGTAAGTCTGCATTATCTTGGCTGGAAGATTTTAGATAGATGAACGCAATCAATATCTGGCCGGCCGAATTATAGGGAGTCACCACTTCAGCTATAACATGAATATCTTCATCGCTTGGGAGTAATTTTCTAACATGGTGCTCAACCTCCGCAAGTTCCACGCGCTGGCCTCTAATTTTTGCCTGAGAGTCTTTGCGTCCAACAAAAACAAGTTCTCCATTTGCGTTGTATCGCACCAAATCCCTTGTTTTATACAGACGACCGCGCCTCCCGGGGACTCTCCCTGATCCTTGCAGTAGCCACATGGGATCTTCAACGAATGCAGCTGAGGTCTGCCCCCTCTGGTCATCAAAATATCCATAACCTACCAGTGGACCTTCCAGCCATAGTTCTCCTTCAGTACCAATGGGCACTAAGCGGCTTCCCGTTTCTTGGTCGACAACCCATGTTCGTAATCCGCGCCCCCTACCAATTGGAGGCTCAGTCTTGTTTTCAGCAGTGATAAGTGCAACAGTACTACATGGAGTACATTCCGCAGGCCCGTAAATATTCACGACCTGCACTTTGCCAAGTGAAGAGAAATACTCGGCATCGGTCGAACTTAGAGCCTCTCCCGCTAGAGCTAAAACATCCAGATTTGTCAGGCTTTGTAAGTCAACCGACCGTGCAAGAGATGGAGTTAGCTGAACGTAGCTAACTCTATATTTTTGAATGCAAGCAGTAAGGTCGTTGTACATCTCCTCTTGTGAGCCAATACAGAGACATCCACCGTTATATAGAGTAAATATAAAGTTAAACCAAGACATATCGAAAGCATAAGAGGCAAAATCAAGTACCCTGCTGCCAGGCTTGAAACCGAGTGTCTTAACTTCTTCTGTTATTGTGGACGCAATATTCTGATGGGATATCAAGACGCCTTTTGGTAAACCTGTACTGCCTGATGTAAATACAGCATATAGCAAGTCAGAGGGCTGGATAGCCACATGCTCTAAACTCTGGACCTGAAATGTTTCAGTTTCCAATAACTCGTTTAAGAATGTTGTGCTGATGATATGTACTCTGGTAGATGGTTCTGCTAGTTCCACAGCGATGTCTTTATTTGTAGTAGATGCAAGAATAACTTTGGCTTGTATCTGCCGTACTATGCTTCGTAGTCGTTCTTTTGGCTGATTGATATCCAAGGCAACAGAAGCGCCGCCAAGCTTCATCACTGCGAGCATAGTAACTGGCGTGAGGACAGATTTCTCGAAGCAAAGAGGGATTACAACACCAGGTCTAACGCCTTCTTTCATCAGGTGGGCAGCAAGTCGCGATGACAGCAGGTCAAGCTCTCCATATGAAAGCTGTCCATCCCATGCATGTATGGCCGGCGCATTAGTCTGTTTACGCGCCGTTTGAGCCAATAGGTCATGGACACACGTCTCATTTGAAGGTGGAACAACAGCGTTCCAGTTCCAAATATCTTCAATGTCCTGTTCAGTGGCAATTTGAATGTCATTCAATGTTATTTCCTGAAGGATTGAAGTACATAGTAAGCGTAATATGTGCTCGAATTGATTCATTATTCGCTTAGCCTCTTGCTTTTTTACTATTCTTGAATCAAAGCTTAATAGAATAGCAAGGCCATCATCCTGGGGGACGCAAACGATTTCTAACGCATATGTAGAAAATGCACTAGCCTGACTGCTCCCTTGTTCGGTCATGTCAACAGGCGTGAAGATTGAATTTGGAACCTTCTCTATTTCCGATGGCTGAATAACGAGCAACGTTTGGAAGCTACATCCTTGATGTGCTTCTGGGCTGACTTTACGTATCTCTTGAAGGCCAATGTGCTCATATGGTACAGACTCGATCGACTGTCGCTGAACCTCTTCTAACAGACGTGATACATTGACATTCGGATCCAGCAAAACGCGCACAGGGACTGTGGCGATGAGGGGAGCTGCAATTTGTTCCACGCCAGCAACGGGTATTTGCCTTCCTGTTACTGTAGCACCAAATACGACATCGTCAGAATTGGTGAAAATACCCTGGACTAAAGCCCAAGCAGTCTTGATTACAGTGGAAGCTGTGATATTTGTTTTGAGAAAGCTAAGATGTGCAATTTGGTGCCGAAGGACAGTATCCGCGCGAGGTATATGTGCCAAGGATGAGAAATGAGGAAATATAGCCGGGCGAGACTCCTCAAACTGACGTCTCCAGAAGTGGATTGCCGCAGCACTATCCGTCTCCTGGGTGTATTGAATATATCGCTGAAGTGGGACCATTGTGAGGTCGCGTTCTCCGTTATAAGCCTTTTTGATTGCATTCAACATGATGGCGAATGACCATCCGTCGTATAAAGCATGGTGTATTGTCCATGAAAATTTTGTAATTGTATCTTCATAATGTAATCCAAATGAATTGAGTTTTGTGCCAAGTCCGATGTGATCTTGTTGCAAATTCCATTCTATGCGTTCGTCAACTACTACCTGGACAAGACCTTCCCCCGGTAGGTTGATGATTCGCGTTCGAAGGATCGGTAAGGAATCTACCACACGGTCACAAGCGTTCTTAAACCTTTCTGTATCTATTCGTGACTCAAGTTTATAAACATTTCGCGAGATATAGTCTCCAGAACGTTTCTCAGTCATGGCTAGAAGCCCTTCTTGCAACGGCGTGCACGGAAATATGTCTTGAATCTGCGTAGTCTGCACCTTACAAAGAGACGCCGCTTGCTGCACCAGTGTGGAGCGATTGGCACTTTCACTAAGAAGTGAGAAAGGTGGAGCATCTGTGGCTATGATTTCACTCTGTTCCTTCATCAATTGCGCCAAGTTGGATAGCTCTGGTTGGTCAAAAACATCCGCTACCGTCAACGCCAAACCTTGTTCTCTAGCTGCTGCAACAAGTCGCATTGCTTGGATTGAGTCTCCTCCGATTCTAAAAAAGCTATCGTCCGCGCTAATACTTGCTGCATCAATTCTAAGAATCATTGACCATAGAGCTTGGAGCTTCTTTTCTGATGCCGATTGAGGCTCCCTGTACGACTTCTGCCTTTGTGGTTGCAATGCCGCAAGCTCTTCAAGAGTTAGCTTACTAGCAATCTCTCGCAATGCCCTCCTATCTGTCTTTCCAGTTCCTGTCATGGGCATCGTTGGAACGGGGATAAAAGCTGACGGCACCATGTATGATGGTATTTTCTTTGATAACTGCTCTTGCAACGACCCTGCTAGAGCCGAGACTTCGGTTTTCAGCCTTTCATCTGTTGCTAACATCATATCAAAGCCTCGAAGGCAAATGAACATGACCAACAAAGCATTGTCACTACATCTGGGAACTATTATTTCGGCAATCATGCGTATGCCCTCACTGTTATGGGGAAGCTGTTGTTGCGCATGGTATTCCACTTCACTGAGCTCGACCCGTTGGCCTCTTATCTTAACTTGGGAATCTTTGCGGCCACAAAAGATTAGCGTACCATCTGAATCGTAGCGAACTAGATCTCCGGTCTTGTAGAGCCGTCCTCGTCGACCAGATACACCAGGTGCCCCGCGTAATAACCAAGCTGGATCTTCCTCATATGTGGCTAGCGTTTGATTGTTATCAAGATATCCTTGACCAACTAGAGGACCTTCAAGCCAGAGTTCTCCTTCAGCTCCAATAGGAACTAATCTTTGGCCGCTTTCTGGATCGACGATCCAAGTACACTGTCCCTGTCCCTTGCCAATCTGCGGTGTCATTTTGTAGTCCGTGATAACAGCCGCTGTGCTGCAGGGAGTGCACTCCGAAGGGCCGTAGATATTCACGACTCTACCTACACCGGCACAACGGGTAACGTCAGAGAGTAACAGCCCTTCCCCCCCAAAGGCTAGGACATCTAGTTGGGAAAGGGCTGCTGGGTCAATGGTCCTCGCCAAGGAGGGTGTGAGAAACACGTACGAAATTCGGTTCCTTTGTAGGCAGTCGGCCAAGTCATTTTGTATTTCGCTCTTTGGCCTAATACAAAGGCATCCCCCAGCATGAAAAGTAAAGAGGTAGTTTGTCCATAACATATCAAAGGCATAGGATGCAAAGTCAATTACACGGCTTGTTGCATTGAAACTGAATACTCTCTTTTGGTGTTTCATAGCGCTTGCAAAGCTTTTGTGCGATACTCTCGCTCCCTTAGGCACGCCTGTGCTACCTGAAGTAAATATTATGTATAGGGAATGAAAGGGGCGCCTTAAATCTTTCAAAGCTTGTAATTCTGCAGTGCTTTCCGCAGTAGGGTCTACAAGTTCAACCGTCTCTTTGCAGACGATATTTACTTGTATTGCCTTTTCCCCTAGCTGGGATGCTAGTGTAGCATTCGAAACCGAAGAAAGAATAATTTTTGGCTGAACTTGGCGGATAATACCTTTCAGTCTCTCTTCTGGCTGACTGTTGTCCAATGCAACTGAGGTCGCCCCAGCCTTTAAAACACCAAGGATGCTCACGGGCATCCACATAGATTTCTCGAACAGTAGAGGCACAGGCATATTTGGTTCAATTCCAGCATGGAAGAGCTGAATTGCTAGCTGATTTGATAAGTAGTCAAGCTCTTTATATGTTAGTGTTCCATCCCATGCATCGACTGCCAAGGAGTTGGGATGTTCAGCTATTGTTTCAGCTATAAGATCGTAGACACATACGTCCAGCGTCTCAGGAACTGTTGAGTTCCATTTCCAGATGTCTTGTAGATCTTGTTGTGTTATAAGATCAATGCTATCGAGCTTCAATTTTGTTTGCGCTTCAGTGCATACCAACCGCAAGACATGCTCAAACTGCTCTGCTATCCTCTGCGCATGGTCAGTTCCCACGACCGTTGAATCGAAGCTCAGGCGTATATTAACACCTTGATCTTGAAGCTGACAAATAATGAGCAGAGGATATGTACTGAGATTTTTCAACCAAGCTTCATCATCCGGAATTGTCTCAAACAGCTTGATCGGTAGTTGGCTTTGACTTTCTGGCTGGATAACAAGTAAAGTGGCAAAGTCGCAGGCATGTTCTGATTCCTGACTCACTCGGCGAATTTCTTGGAGGCCGATTTGTTCGTAAGACAGCGAATCTATTGCCTGCTGTTGTACTTGGCGTAGAAATTCACCCACTGTCTGTACGCTGGGGTTCAGGAGTATTCGTACTGGAACTGTAGCAATGGTTGGCCCTACTATCTGCTCAATACCAGGAACTGGAAGTTGTCGACCAAGAGCAATAGTACCGAATGATATGTCGTTTGAACCAATGCAAGAACTTTGTACGAGAGCCCAAGCCGCACGAATAGCCGTAGGCGCTGTGATATCAGTATCAGGCCACTGGACATCCATGATTTTTCGATCAATAACAGCAGCAACTCGAGCTTGCCGCACGGAAGGGCGAGATGGAAAGGGTGGTGAATGAAAGCCTTTAAACTGAGCTTGCCAGAAATTACATGCTGCTCTTTTGTCTGTATTTTGGAGATGGCGGATAAATGCTTGAAAGGGGGTGTTCGAAAATTGCGTTTTGCCCTCATACGCGCTGGAGATAGCGTTGAGCAAGATAGGAAATGTCCAGCCATCATAAAGGGCATGATGAATCTCCCACGAAAAGCGGATGCAAAAATCTTCTTCTACAGTTAGAAGAAAATGAGTAAGCTTTCTTCCGAGCCCAGGGCTTTTTACTTCATCAGTCTGCCACTGAATGGTTTCGTCGACAATTACTTGTACTAGCCCTTGACCAGGCAAATCCACGATGCGGGTTCGTAGAATAGTAAATGCATCAAAAACAGTCTCGCATGCTTTTTTAAATCTGGCCATGTCTGTTCCTGGTTGCAATATATATTCGTTTTGGGAAACATAATCACCAAATTCCTTTTCAGTTAACGCTAGAAGGCCCTCTTGCAGTGGTGTACAAGGGAAAATGTCTTGGATTTGAACGGATTCAAGACCGCATAGTACTGCCACAGCGCGTCGAACTTCATCCTCGCTCAGCCCCGCGTTGAGCAAGGAGAATGGCATTATTTGGTCCTCTGTCTCAGCTTGCTCCACTGTTGTTGCTACTTGTGCAAGCTCCCATAGTTGGGGATGTTTGAAAATGTCGGCAACCGTTATTGATAGGCTTTGATCTCTTGCTGCTCTGACAAGTTTGATAGCTTGAATCGAATCACCGAGGCGAAGAAAGCTATCGTCAATACCGATCTGAGAACTATTAATCTCAAGTACCTCGGCCCATAGATGTTGCATTTTCCTTTCCGTCAGTGTGCGTGGTTCCCGTTTTTGTTCCTGAGCTTGTTGACCAAATGAGAATATTTCTTCTACTGTTAGATTACTTCCAATCTCGCGGATCCTTTTCCTGTCTGTCTTTCCAGTTGTAGTCATTGGAAATATATCCAGTGGTATAAACGCTGATGGGATCATGTACGAAGGAATTATGTTGCTAAGAGCGCCTCGTAATTTCGCTATTTCGCCGATGACTTTACCTTCTCCGTTCTCATTTCCTGCCATCAGGAAGGCAACCAGCACCTGATTTGAGCCGCCGCGCGGTGTCACAATCTCAGCTACGACTTGCAAATCATGATATTCTTGCAAGTGCCTTTGGATATGAACCTCAACTTCACCAAGCTCCAACCGTTGGCCACGAATCTTGGCTTGCGAATCCTTACGGCCGATGAAGACCAACGATCCGTCAAAGTTATATCGCACCAAGTCGCCTGTTTTATAGAGGCGACCTTTCCTGCCACTGTGCGCTGGTGCTCCGTTCAGTAGCCATGGCGGATCATTGACGAATGCATTTACAGTTCGCTCATCATCAAGATATCCAAGGCCCACTAACGGACCTTCTAACCAAAGCTCTCCCTCAACACCGACAGGGACAAGGTGGCTTGGATCATTGGGATCAACAATCCATGTGCACTGCCCAACTCCTTTCCCAATTATCGGCAAGCCTGAATTATTCTGCCTAAGATTTGCCGCTGTAGCGCAGACGCTACATTCTGCAGGACCATAGGCATTGACGAGATTCCTAACTTTAGCGCAACGCTCGATATCGGAAGCCTGTAATCCTTCGCCAGCGAGAATTAGGGTATCTAGGGCAGATAAAACTTCCACATCAATTGTACGAGCAAGTGACGGCGTGAGCTGAGCAAAAGAGATGTCATACCGCTGTAGACAGCCTGCGAGGTCATTTTGCATCTCATTGTAAGAGCCAATGCAGAGACACCCTCCTATGCATAGAGTGAAAAGGAAGTTTGACCACGCCATGTCAAAAGCGTAAGATGCAAAATCAAGCACCCTACTGCCTGGAGTGAACCCAAGATGATGACTCTGATGCTTAATAGCGCTAGCGAAATTCTGGTGGGAGATTTGTGCTCCCTTTGGGATGCCGGTGCTGCCGGATGTAAAAACAATGTAGAGTAAGTCAGAGGGGTCTGCAGTTAATTCAGGGGACTGAACCACTGCTCCAATACGATCGACATTCAATGCCTCTAACGCCGACTTGCTCACAACTTCGATATGCGCCATTTCACCAAAGTGAGATGCCATTGCCTCGTTTTGGGTGGATGAGAGAATTATTGATGGTTTAATTTGACTTATAATAGTCCTCAATCGTTCTTCGGGCTGATTAATGTCCATAGCAATACAGCAGCCGCCGGATTTCATGACAGATAACATGGCAAGCGGCATGAACATCGATTTCTCAAAGAGCAGTGGCACTGGTACATTCCGGCCAACTCCAAGGTGTATCAGTCGTTTAGATAAAAGTGTCGAAAGCTCATCTAGATCTTTATATGAAAGCTCGCCATCCCAGGCGCATATTGCCGGTGCAGATGGCTGCCTTATTGTAGTTTCTGCAATTATATTATGTATACACATCTCCACAGTATCAGGGACCGCGCTATTCCATGCCCAAATATCCTGGAGGTCCTTCTTACAGGCAACTTCAAGATCGCCAATTTTTGTTTGACGTTGGCTTTTAGAACATAATATCCGTAGAAAATGCTCAAATAGCTCAGCCATCTTCTGTATTCGTTCGGCTCCAATCACTGCGGAATCGAAATTCAAGGCTATTGAGACTCCTGAATCTTTAAGTCCAAAGACCAACTCCAAAGCATAGGTGGAGAACACATCTGCCTGGTCTTTAAGTTCATTTTTTGGCCTAGATGTGACAGCTTTGAAAATTGTATTCCCAGGAGTAGTTAGCTCGGCTGGCTGTATCACGAGTAAAGCCTGGAAGCTGCAACCAAGTTCTGCCTCTTGGCTAAGTTTTCGAATCTCTTGAAGACCAAAATGCTCGTACATCATTGATTCGACGGCCTGTATCTGTATTCTTTGAAGCTGGTCTTCAATTTGGAGACTGGGATCTAGTACTACCCGCACTGGGACAGTTGCGATTGTCGGTCCAGCTACTCTCTCAATTCCTATCAGTGCAGCCTGCCTGCCCGCAACCGTTACTCCAAAGACGACGTCGTCTACTGTTGTATACGTTGCTTGTAAAAGAGACCACGCGGTGCGAATAATGGTAGAAGGTGTGATATTGTTTGACGGCCATGCCAGATTCGTGATTGCATATTCCAATGTGCTGTCCACCCGAGGGGCATACGAGGGAGAAGGACATACCGGAAATACAGCTCCCTCGCATCCTTGGAAATGTGTTTGCCAGTACTTTTGAGATGCCGCAATATCAATGTTCTGGATATGACGAATGAACGGCTGAAATGAAAGTGGCCAAGGACGCCGCTCATTTCGTGAGAGCAATTCTTCAAGCGTGTCCAACAGCAGGTGAAACGACCACCCGTCGTATAAGGCGTGGTGAATAAACCAGGTCAAGATTATTTTACTGTCGTGCTTTTTGGTAATACTAATGGTATTAAGTCTTGTACCAAGTCCCATGTCAGCATCTGAGTGCTCTTTCGTCCAATGCGCTGGCTCGTCCACAACAACTTGAACAAACCCTTGACCGGGTAGGTACACGATCCGAGTTCGCAGGATAGAAACATTTGTAGCCATATCCTCAAATGCCGCTCTAATAGTACTTGGATCTATCCATTGTGAGAGCTCGAATTCATTTCTTGAGATGTATTGTCCTGGTTGTTTCTCGGTCATAGCTATCAAACCTTCCTGTAGTGGCGAACACGGAAAGATGTCTTGTATTCGTTCAGGCTGGACAGCGCAGAGAGATGCCGCTAGCTTTATGGTCCCTTTTAGATCAATTCCCGACTGTAGTAGAGAAAATGGCCGGACTCCGTCAACTGGAGACTTAATTTTGTTGAAGTTGGGCTTTGCTACTTTAGAAAGATCACAAAGGCGTGGCTGTTTGAAGACATCTTCGACTGAGAATAATAAACCCCGGCTTCTCGCCATGCCAACTAGTCTCATAGCCTGGATTGAGTCGCCGCCAATGCGTAGGAAGCTATCTTCGGTGCTGATTTCTATAGGATTCACACCAAGAACAGTCGCCCACAAGTTACACATCAGCTCTTCAGCTTCTGTACCGGGCGGCTTTCTCTCAGCTTGTTGCTTTGGTTGGAACTCTAATAACTTTTTAAAAGTCATCTCGCTACCAATTCTCTTCAAAACTTTCCTATCAATTTTTCCCGTGGTAGTCAAAGGTAAAATTGTAATTGGTACAAAGGCGGAGGGGATCATATATGACGGAAGTATCTCAGCGAGGCGCTGATCGACTTCTTTCTTGATTTTCGAGATGATGGGCTTTAGCTGGTCGTGGGATGCGTTATCCTTGATGCCAGAAGCGCAGACAAACAACACCATTATCTCGCCATTTCCATCGAGAGGAACAACCACCTCAGCCTTTATCTGTATGCTACCATATTCATTGGGTAGTAGCTTGTTAATATGATACTCCACTTCGCCGAGCTCAACTCTTTGTCCTCTAATCTTGACCTGGCTATCTTTGCGCCCAATAAAAATAAGCGCGCCATCAGCAGTATACCGTACGAGATCTCCCGTCTTGTAAAGAAGTCCTTTTCTTCCAGGCTTAGCTGGCGATCCCTTTAGAAGCCAGGCGGGGTCTTGAACAAACGCGGCCGCTGTGTGCTCTTCATTGTGAAAATAGCCCTGACCAACTAGCGGGCCTTCTAACCATAGTTCACCTTCGACACCAATAGGAACAAGTTTTGTTTCGTCTTCTGGATCTACTATCCATGTGCACTGGCCAATACCCTTTCCGATTGGCGGCGGACCTCTTGTATGAGTTTTTAGATTTGATGCGGTTCCACATACAGAACATTCTGCAGGGCCGTACGCGTTCAGAAGCTTTTTTACGCCAGAGGCGTGATTAACGTCCGTCATGGAGAGTCCTTCCCCAGCGAGAAGAAGAACATCCAAGCGCGAAAGTATGATAGGATCGATAGTTCTGGCAAGCGATGGGGTTAATTGTATAAAAGTAATATCATATCGTCGTAAGCAACCTGCGAGGTCGTCTCTCATTTCGCTCTGCGACCCTATGCAAAGACAACCGCCAGTACACAACGTAAATATAAAATTCGACCATGCCATATCAAAGGCGTAAGAAGCAAAATCCAGCACCCGACTCCACGAATTAAAGCCAAGTTCAGTCTGCTGGTGCTTTACAGCACTGGAGAAGTTCTGATGCGAAATCCTGACCCCTTTGGGGGTGCCAGTGCTGCCAGACGTAAAGACAACATATAATAGGTCCAACGGTGAATGTGACACTGTGAGATTTTCCGTATTATCTTGTGAAATATTGAGCGAATCAGCACTCACAGCGTGTAACGCTGCTCTGCTTACGACTTCTATCTCGACCGGAGTATCGCTCAATCGAGTGGCCAAAGCTTCGTTATCGGCAGATGAGAGGATAACGTGCGGGTTAATTTGCCGTATTATCGCCCGCAGCCGTTCTTCTGGCTGGTTGATGTCAAGAAGCAGTGAAGCTGCGCCAGCCTTCATCACGGAAAGCATTGAGACTGCTGTCCACATGGACTTTTCGAAACACAAAGGGACGAGCACGTTTGCATGCACGCCTTTCTTTGCAAGATGACGTGCAAATCTTGATGCAACGCAGTCAAGCTCCGCGTAGGTCAACACTCCATCCCATGCCCGTATTGCTATCGAATTCGGTTGTTGGGTCGCCATTTTTTCGATCATTTTGTGAATCAGATCGTCGACCGTTTCTGGCAACCTTGCATTCCAATTCCAAATGTCCTGCAAGTCTTCATTGCTTAGGAGGTTGATTTCATGTAGCTTCTTCATTCGTATTTTTTCGTCGCAAATAATTCTTATTATGTGCTCAAATTGGCTTAAAATTCTCTCTATCTCTGCCCTACTAATAGTAGTCGAGTCAAAGCTGATGCTCACATGCAAGCTATCTTTTAAGAGAGTGCATATGAGTTGTAAAGCATATGTATTGAAGCCATTTAGTGCGCCGATATGCTCGGATATTAGTTCAAAAATTGTACTTTGATCTGTCGCCAGTCCAGGTGGCTGCACCACGAGGAGAGTTTGGAAGTTACAGCCGTGTTCTGCTTCTTGGCTAACTTTGCGGATCTCCCGCAGGCCAATCTGTTCGTATGGGATGCTGTCTATTGACTGTTTCTGTACCAGCTGCAATAGCTCATTGAGAGTTTGATTTGACTCCCAAGCGACTCGTACAGGAATAGTGGCGATAGCGGGTGCTGCCATTTGCTCAACACCCAAAACTGCTGCCTGCCGGCCGGTGACAGTCGCACCGAAAGCAACATCGCTAGAACCTGTATAAGCTCCCTGGAGCATCGCCCAGGCCGTGCGAATAACGGTAGATGCTGTGATATTTGTTTTCGCCCAGGTTATATTTGTGAAGCAATGTTCGATCATTTCATCAGCATTCGGTGTATTTGCTGGCGAAGGGGTTGCGGGGAAAATTGTGGCTTGCGACAGCTGGTAGTATTTGTGCCAGTGATCATAAGCTGCGTTCTTGTCAATATTTTGAATGTAGTTGACGAATCGCTGAAACGGCACTCCTTCTACTTTTCTTCCTTGGTACTCCTTTTCAATAGCATCTAACATTAAAGGCACCGACCATCCATCATAAAGTGCATGGTGCATCTTCCACTTAAACACGGTTCCAAGGCCACGATCAACACTCAAATTAAATCGAGTTAGCTTATCGCCAAACGCCATATATCTATCTGACATTTTAGAATCCTCATTGTCAGTTGATTCCCATGATAACTTTTCATTCAGAATCGCCTGTACGAGGCCTATGCCAGGCAAATCACAGATTCGCATTCGAAGGATGGGGAGGTTGGCGACAACATCTTCGCAGGCTCTTTTAAACCTTTCTATATCTATTCCAGGCCGAAGCGTAAAATTCCTTTCCGATATATAGTCGCCTGGCCGCTTGACTGTCATGGCAAGTAACCCTTCCTGTAGTGGGGTGCAGGGAAAGATGTCTTGGACTTGAGCAGCATCAAGGTCACACTGGGACGCGACTTGCTGCCGGGCGTCCTGTATGCTTATCCCATATCCAAGGAGAGAAAATGGGGCTACTAGCTCATTGCTCGACGCAGAAACAAGATTGGAATGGTTCAAAAGCTGAGCAAGCGCGAATAGGCGAGGATGTTCGAAAATATCGGCTACAGTTAGAGCCAACCCCTGCTGGCGTGCAATTCCAACAAGCTTCATGGCTTGAATAGAATCGCCACCGATATGGAGAAAATTATCATCGAGACTAATCATCGAGGCCTCAATCCCCAATACTGTGGCCCACCAACTTTGCATCTTCTCTTCGGCTTCCGTTTTGGGCGCCTGAGTTTCGGTCTGTCTTTTGCGATCAAGCGCTGCTAGCTCAAGAGTTGTCAAATCGCCGCCAATTTCATGTAAGACTCTTCGATTTGTTTTCCCCGTTGCCGTCATTGGAATATTCTTTATGGGAATGTACGCGGAGGGTATCATGTAGGATGGCACCACCTGGGCAAGAAGTTCATCTACTCCTTGCGTTAGAGCCGCCACCGATTCCTTCAAAGCATCTTTATCTTTGTTATCAAATTCGTCAATGCAGATAAATATGACAAGAACCGCACTGCTGGCGTTGCGTGGTTTTATCACTTCCGCTACCAGCTGAGAACTTTCATGCAGTAAGCGTCTGACATGATATTCCACTTCACCGAGCTCTACCCGCTGACCGTTAATCTTTACTTGGGCGTCCTTTCTGCGGATAAACATAAATGTCCCATCTTCATTCTGCCGAACAATATCTCCAGTCTTATATAAACGACCATGCCGACTGTCCCTCGCTGTCGCACCACTAAGAAGCCATGGAGGATCAACCACAAAGGCAGATGAAGTCTTCTCTTCATCGTTGAGATATCCATCGCCTACGAGCGGGCCTTCAAGCCATAGCTCGCCTTCTTCTCCTATGGGCACGAGACGACTCTCATCATCCAAGTCTACCACCCAAGTACACGCTCCATAGCCCCTGCCAATTGGCGGATACATCAATTCTGTCTGTTCAATGACTGAAGCGGTAGCATGCGGAGTGCACTCGGAAGGGCCATAAGCGTTAATAATTTTTTTAGGGAGTGAAATCCTTTCAGCATGAGAGGCAGTAAGAATCTCCCCGCTAGTTACTAGAACATCTAGCTGAGATAAAGCCTGTGAAGAAACGATATGCGTGAGAGAAGGTGTAAGATGGGCAAAGTTGACTCTATACTGTTGTATACAAGCCGCTGGGTCATTGCGCATCGCTTCATGTGACCCTATACATAGGCAGCCGCCACAGCATAGTGTGAAGATGGCGTTAAACCAAGCTATATCAAAGGCATAGGAGGCGAAATCCAGTACTCGGCTTGTCGAACTGAAGCATAATTTTTCGCTCTGATAGTGTAAGGCGCTGGCAAAGTTTTGATGGCTTATTTTTGCTCCTTTCGGTACCCCAGTACTGCCGGACGTAAAGACTACATAAAGTAGATCCGAAGGATTCACGGCCGGCAATATGGACTTATTAACCGTTCCAAAATCCATTGGTATAAGATCATCATCGAGAATGCTGGATTTGCCAACAACTTTGAGCGAGATGTTATTTCTGGCTATTTTCGACGCTTTACTCCTGTTTGCGAATGATGAAAGAATCACCTTTGGCTGAACTTGCTGGACAATCCCTCGGAGCCTCTCCTCTGGTAGATTAACATCAAGGGCAACGCATGCGCCTCCAGCCTTAAAAACCGCAATCATGGCCACCGGCATCCATACTGATTTCTCAAAGCAGAGGGGAACAATCCCATGTCCAAGGCCGAGAGCGTTTAACTGGCATGACAGGTTTGTTGAGAGTTCATCCAGCTCCCTATACGACAATTCGCCATCCCAAGCACAAATAGCTGGCTCATTTGGCTGCTCTCGAGCTACCTTCGCAATAATATCGTGTATGCATATCTGTATTGATCTTGGAACGATAGCATTCCACTCCCAAATTTTCTGCAAATCTTCATTGCTAGCCATGATATGATATGATATGAGATGTGGGAGTCTATGGCATGCAAGCGAGATGATAGATGTGTTCTATCGAAAGAACAGGGACAAATTTAATTGATACTCCCGACCTTTGCTGCAGAATACTCCTATTTTTCTCGTAGCAATTAGACTAACTATTAGATCATATACTTTTCGATGGTAGAGTTTGCAGCACACCATGTCTGAGGTATATTGACCGCCACTAGCCTTAGATCACACAGCACCACATTATTAATTCTACAACGTGGCCGATAACTGCAAGACTATCGATCTTTGGCACGTTGCGTCTTTTGCATCCTTGTCCGAATTAAGCAGGGAGCTCCCTTGGATGCATTTAAGATCGGCATAAAAAAATGGATAGACACTGCTTCCCGGTCAGAAACCAGCCCCTAAGCAGTTAATACATGATATAGGTATTAGGACATATCACAATATCCAATCCGTGTCTCTCATATGCAAGCGATGCTTGATGGTTCCACTTTTGCTAACCAGCTATCTCACTTTGAAGTTGCCAAGTACTCCGTAGCAGGTAATAATAATGAAAAGTTACACCATCAGGTACTTTAAGTATCTAAGTGGGTACTGTCAATTGGCAAAAGCAATACCTATATGTAATATACTACTTGCTGTACAGTGTACACTACAAGTCGAAGAAAAGCTATGAACATTTTGCTATTATAATACGTATATTAATGGTAATTATTATATATATATATATATATTTAAGTTAACGTTTATATTTCTTTGTGCTATCAGCAGACACTCTATTGTAGCGCCCTTGATGTTTTTATATTATTTTATACAAGCATTTAATACAAATCAACTAGAATTCTATTTCTATATTCTAAGAAAAGGAGAAACTAAAAATAAAAATAAACTATTTTTATACTAGTTACAATTTAATATAGAATTCTCTTAAGCCTTAATTTAAATATACATATATTATTATATAGGGTATTCCACTATTATATAGGGTATTCTACAGTGTTTACCACTTTTCCTGCACTGTATCCTGCGGCTGCTCTTTACCTACTAGGCATAATTATACTACACACATGATCTAAATCCAATACTCCGCACGAAAACTGTACTCAATATTCACTCCCGCAAATTACTATGTGGTAGAGTACAAGGGTGAGATGGGATCCTTTGATCATCTTTCAGACTGCATGTCGCCCTCTTCATCGTCATTGGATAGTCGAATCTTGGCCCCCCCATTTTGTAATAAGCACTACTTTTCTGGGCCACATACTTGTGCTTCTGTTGGTATGTGCAAACATCTCTCCAACAGCCCACTTGTCCACTTATTAGTCTAGTTGGTAATGTTCACATATACCTACTCCGTACTTTGATAAATTTCACGACGGTTACAAGCACTGCGTTACGTCATATTTATTATCGACGGGTGGGAGCGACTATTTAGTCATTGTCCGAAGGCTCTCATATGTAGTGTGGCCTGGACGGCAAAGGTAATGTGACATCTGCGTACGTTGTCGCTGACTGTTTACTTGGGAAAATGTCCCAGACGCTCAGTGTTTATCCAAGACGAAAGGAAATCCGCCAAGGGCATTGGAGAGAACATCCCTTGTACCTGCAGGTACTAAAATAAGCGCTCTTGGATTTCATAAAGGTAAGCCTTTCGTACGGAGTACCTACTACTGGAGTCCCTTGAAAGACTGGCTAGAGGCTTTGTTGCTATCTGATTCGAATTGCCGTTTGATTTACCAGGAATACAGTTAGCTGGCCTGCTATAGTTGTAAAATAGACGGGCCGACCGTCTAATTCTTCGAGGGAACATACGTATAGGAGCATACAGAACAGTAGGCGGGCTCAACATTCGAAGCTTACCGCTAACAGCCTGCGCTGGGGTAGCTCAGCCGAATACGGCGCAGCTAGCTTCAAGGATGCATTAGTACGCGCATTACAAGGTCCACAGCCAAAGAAACGTTACCAGAAACCAAGTCCAGCACATTTGACAAGAATCCTAATCCGGCAGAAAGATTTAGATCAAGACGCCCATGTGATAGTGTTGGCATGCCGTTTCACGTCCAAATCCTCTTTAGCTTTTGTTTCCCAGCTTCATTCACAGTTTAGAATTCAAGCTCTTCACAAATCTTTTGTCTATACCCGCTACTCGACTCCAGGATGAATGCCAGCGCACACAATAACATTGCCTCTTCTACAGAAGAGAGATATATGGCACAACTTGATTTACCCAAAGGCGTTAGATTAGTAGCCTCGGAAAAGCTTGATCAGCGTTCTGACCAAGAGATAGCCACATGGTTGCAAAAGAGACACGCCGTTATGTCTCAAAAAAACGTATGGACATTCTGGAACAAGGGCTGGAAGGCCATGCAGCCATGGGCACAACGAAACGTAATTAATTGGGTTCGAAAGCTTGGTCCAGAGTGGACAGTTCACGTCCTTGATGTTGTTCCTGAATCAGAAACACACGTCAAGCACTTCGTCGAATCATCGTTTTTTCCAGAAGCTTTCAATAAAGGAATCATGGATGGACCATTCGTAGGTCCTCACCAAGGGGACCTAGTCCGTTTACCTCTTCTCTGGAAGTATGGAGGTGTATGGATGGATGTTGGAACATTTCTCTTTCGGCACCTGGACGATATATGGTGGAATCAAATTATCGATCCAGCTTCACCGTGTGAGCTAGGTGGCTTTGCCGTCGAGTTTCGTGAAAAATATTACACAATGCTTAACGGATTTCTTATTTGCCAATCTGGAAACTCTTTCATTAAAAGATGGCATGACATTTATCTCAGTCTCTGGGGTCCCAATACGACAAATGCAAACGGATTCCACAAGCATCCTTTGCTAGCTCATATAAAGGCGATAGAAACGCCGTCTGACAGGGTGATTGAAGACCCAGAGATGATTACTGCAGTAGATGTCATGCTTGATTATCTTGCACACTTTCTTTGCCTTGAGAGATTGAGGGGTCTAAGTGATCCTAATGATGGGTTTGATGGCGCAGAGTACTTTGCAACTAAGATTTTCCTTGCACCCGCGATGCAAGAATTATTTGCCCTACAACCGCTTACACAATGGTCTGGACTCGAACAGAATAATCTTTTCAGAACACGTCTTGATGGCCCTAAAGATGAGACTTGGCAGAAAGCGAATTCTTATGCACACGATGCATTTGCAAATCAATCTGCCATTAAGGTGAGCCGCGGACCTAAAAATCCCAAATTAGTGTGTTTGGCAGAGCTATGGGACGAAGAGAAGTTTATGGACGCTGACCATGGAGAGGGAACGTTTGCATCCTATCTGAGATATGGCAGCATACACTATGACCAAACAAGAGACTTGGTTCCCATGGTGCTGGAGCGGGATGAGAACACTTTAAAAATGGGGCTTTTAGAGCCCCTAAAACATCTTAACGAGTAAGAAAAGAGAATATCAGTTCAAATTACATCTGCCGTGAAGCGACAGTCACTCTCTGCAAGTTAGACTATGCCGTGATCGCAGGAAGAACGAATTGCTGCACCATGGTCCACCACTGGTACAAGGGTACAGAGTAGCTTCTCCGTAACTTCAATGGACACACATTTGGTGTAGAAAAATCCCTGGCTCAAAACTTAACTGACCATGATAATGTACGTCGTGGGCCAGTCGTCGTCTGACGGCGGATAGCCTATGAATACCTAACCATCAATCCATTGATTCTAATCCATTAGTATTACCCATCACTTATTATGGCAGCTGCCAAAAAGGAGATGCGATACTAGCGTCGCTTATCATGAACTACGACTGAGAGTGGAGTAATCAATCCACACTACGTAGTGAGGCTGCTCATGAGGTTGGATCAGGACCTAAGTGGGATGCTAGACGAGTGCACTGTGTAGAAGTATCAGCCCATGAATAAGTGCACTACGCTGAATAGAGTAAAAAGAAGCCATAGAGATATGATTACAATTAATTATTTATTTCGAAAGTGACCTATATTTTGATATCCCTAGTTCGGGGCGGGTATAGTCGTCAGGAGTGCGTGTATGTATTCCTTGTACGTACGAAGTAATCCTCAAAAATGAGAAGCGGACTAGCACTACCAGTTACCAGTTACTGTAGTGGTACTAGTGATATTACAGGCTACTTGTTGAATACGAGTCAGCATCTAGTACTAATCGGCACGGAACGAGACGAGACCGGTTAGTAGTGGCCGCGCATCCGCGAAGTGCATACTTCTAATCGCCCCAAGGAGATTTACAGGAATTCGAAATGCAACGATGCATGTGGGGTTAGGTACCATTCGTAGGATTTAAAATCGGTACTGCAAAGAACGTCTCGGTCCCGATTTGTTCGCGAAGGTGCTGGGATCTGGAAGCTAGGCTACTTGATACCGCGCTTCTGCTGCTACACAATTCCTGATTATTTTGTACGCTTCATACCTTGTTACCCAAGTAGGAATTCGCCCTATGATGTGCGATTGCTGAACAGAATGGATGAAAAGTCAATGGGACAGCAGCAAGACGGCCAAACGTCGCTTACTAGCAGTATAGTGTCACCCTCAGTCGCTGCGGATCCTCTTGACTATCAGTCAATTCAAGATGGCTCACAAGGACAAACAGAGCAGAAGCCCCAATTGAAAGATTATTTTGTTTGTTCTCCTCTTTCAGCCTCCATAAGCCCCTATCTTACAATGTTTAGCGTGTTTTTAGCTATGCAGCCAAGATTGACATTTTTGCCTACGCTGTGGGTATTATTTCGTCTATCGCGACGGGAGTTACTTTACCACTGATGAATGTAGTTTTCGGTAAGACTCACACATGTTCTTCCTTGATATTACAGTTATAGGGAACTAACGGAAGGAACTATTTAGGTAGCTTTGTCGGTAACCTAAGCGGCTTTTCTCAGTCGTCTGGCGATGGCGATGCCGGCAGGCTAAAACATCAAGTAGACAAATTATCGTAAGCCTCTACGTGAAATCCTCACAATATTCTTGTCGTTCGAGCCATACTAAGTAAAAGCAGACTGTACATGTTCTTCCTATTCATTGCTCGCCTGGTGTTGAATTATGCCAATAAAGTAAGTTCCGTTTCCAATTAAGGCGTTTGATCCAGTAGATAGTCTAACAAATGAGAACAGTTTACCTTTCGAATGGCAGGTATTCGGCTGTCATCTTCAATTCGACTCCACTACCTGCAAAAGCTCTTCGGGCAGAGTGTTCATGTACTTGACTCAATGTCTCCTGGCTACGCCATAAATACCATTACATCAACAAGTAATACTCTGCAACTAGGCATTTCCGAGAAGCTGGGAGTTTTTTTTGAATACAATGCCACTATAATCGCCGCACTTGTGGTGGCTTTTCATGCAAATTGGAAATTATCTCTCGTCGTCATATCAGTAGTTACATTTATCATTCTAACAGTGGCCATCTTAATGCCTTTCACCGCCAAAATAAATAACCAAATGAGTCAAGTGAGTGTTCAATCAAGTTTAAAGACATTTAGTCATCTATCATATGAAACTGAACCCTTTGTTCCTAGGCGGATGCAAACGCTTCTTCAATTGCAAGTGATGCTCTGGCTGGCGTGCGAATGATCGCAGCTTGCGGCGCTGAGAATCGTATTACTCAAAAATATGCCTTATTTGTAAATGAAATGAAAAGGCATGGTAACAAAATGACACCACTAATCGCTCTTCAATTTGCGTTGACGGTATGTATCCATGACATCTATAATATTTCGAAATGCTAATTGAGATTACAGTTCTTTGCCGTTTTTGGTTGCTTTGGTCTTGCCTTCTGGTTCGGTACGAAACTCTATCTCGAAGGTCATTTGGACAATTTTGGGACAATTACAGTGTAATGAACGGTACGCCTATGATTGCTTTAGCTTCTGTCAAACTAATAATCATTAGAGTTTTGCTTTCGATGACTATGATTGTCTTTTCATTAGAGCGGGTAGCTTCACCCTTACTAGCTCTCAGCAAAGCAAGGTTGGACTGGTACTCATTTGTATGGACATAATAACGCCAGCTAACTCAAAAACAGTGCTGCGGCTCGACAATTTCTTAACATAATCGATGCCCCTCAACCAAACCAAGGTCGACTTAAAAGTCCAGAAGTTAATCCTGAAAAAGATATTTTTCTCAAGCAAGTCACATTTGCTTACCCAGGCCGGCCACATATCAAAATCCTAGACAGCTTAGACCTACGAATAGAAGCTGGGAAGACAACCGCCATTGTTGGACCTTCTGGATCTGGGAAAAGCACCATCATTGGGCTGATTGAGCAATGGTATTCTCTCAGCGAATTCACTAATTCGATGCCTGAAGAACATGGGAGTTTAATAAAGTCGAGCGGAAACATCTCTATTGGAGACCACTCTCTGAGTGAAGTAGATTTGAAGTGGTGGAGATCTCAAATTGGCTTAGTACAACAAGAGCCTTTCCTCTTCAATGGGACAATTTACACAAATGTTGCGAATGGTCTTATTGGAACCCGATGGGAAAGTAGTTCTGAAGATCAAAAAAGGGAGTTAGTCATAAAGGCGTGTAAAGAGGCATTTGCTGATGAGTTTATTGACAAGCTGCCAATGGTAAGTATCTCTACTCTCAGAATCCACCTTGTTATTACGGTCATTCTGAATAAAATTTTGGCAGGGCTATGAGACGCCTGTCGGCGATGGGGGTACAAAGTTATCTGGGGGACAGCGACAACGAATTGCCATCGCTCGGGCGATTGTTCGTCAACCTAACATCCTAATCTTTGATGAGGCAACAAGCGCAATAGACGTACGGGGCGAAAAAATTGTACAGGCCGCTCTTGATCGAGCAGCGCAGTCGCGCACCACTATTACGATCGCGCATCGCTTATCAACTGTACAGAAGGCCGATCGCATAGTCGTTTTACGACAAGGCAGGGTGGTGGAATCTGGGTCTCATGAGAGTCTTATAGCTATACCTAACGGTATTTACTCTAATCTTGTACATGCTCAAACTATATCACTTGGAGATGAGACAAAAGAGACCAGCATTGAAAGAAGCTCGGAAGAGGACATGGAGACGATCATCCAACCTCAAAAAGATGAATCCGAGTTAATCATCAAGAATGCTCCAAGTCATTCTATCCAGAAGCATACACGAAGTTTTTGGAAGAGTTTTGGGCGGCTGCTTTATGAGTCCAAAAATAGCTACTATCTCATGATACTTATTTTCATCTTCACAGCTTGTGCAGGTGCAACTGGGCCGGTACAAGCACTACTTTTTGCTCATGTTATTAACGTTTCCAAATACACAGGATCTAAACTAAGATCAGAGAGCGAATTTTGGAGTGGCATGTTCGGAGTGCTTGCAGCAGGGGCTGGCATTTCTTATTTCGGATCATTATCTACCTCATTACGCAATGGACTCCTTATCCGCTCGAAATACCAGAAAGAATATTTTGAGTCCACTCTCTCGCAGCAAATGGCATTTTTCGACCAAGAAGAGCATTCTCAAGGCGCTATTGTTGCTCGAGTAGCGTCTGACCCACAGCGGCTGGATGAGCTCCTAGGTGCAAGTATGGCGAGCGTCTACATTGCCGTCTTTAGCATTGTCGGTTCTATATCAATCGCATTTGCTTTTGGATGGAAGCTGGCCGTTGTTTCATGCTGTGTCGTCCTCCCAATCAGCATCGTGGCATCATTTTTTCGATTTAAATACGAGCTGCAATTTGAGAGAATGAACAATGAAGTCTTCGCTGAGAGCTCTAAATTTGCCTCTGAATCAATCGCTGCTTTCAGGACTGTGAGTGCCTTTACCTTAGAAGAGACTATATGTAGACGATTTGAGACTCTTTGCCGAAATCATGTGGCTGCAGCGTATAAAAAGGCACGATGGGCAACATTCCTTGTTGGTCTATCTGATAGCGCAACTATACCCTGCCAAGCTTTGCTGTTATATTATGGAGGCCGCTTGCTTGCTAATGCAGAGCTTACGGTTCTAAATTTCTTTGTATCCTTCATGGTTGCATTGAACGCGGGAGAAGCTGCAGGACAAAGCTTGAGTTATGGGCCGAGTGCAGCCCAAGTCACAACTGCCTCAAATAGAATTTTAGACATGCGAGAGTCTCGATTTCTGGATAAGGCTGGAGCGAACGAAGAAATTCCAGGATCCGATGGGGGTGTTAGAATTGAATTTCAGGACATTCACTTCAAATATCCTACTCGAGACGTGCCTGTCTTTGAAGGACTGAATCTGACGATCGAAAGCGGCCAGTTTGCCGCTTTAGTTGGGGCATCTGGCTGCGGGAAAACGAGTATTATATCGCTCTTAGAACGGTAGGCCGTTAATTATCATTTTGCCAATGAAGCTAATTCAATTACAGATTCTATGATCCTACAGAGGGAAAGATATTGTACAATGGAATCGATATTACCGAACTCACTGTGAAGGCATATCGCAAACAGTTATCATTAGTCGCTCAAGAATCTTCATTATTTCACGGTTAGTAGCCATGAAAATCCTGTCAACATTCAAGTCTAACTGAGTTCATCTTAGGTTCGATCAAAGAAAACATTCTTCTGGGTGTAGACCCTTCTACAGTATCTGATGAACAACTTCATCAAGCTTGCCGTGATGCATCGATTCACGATTTCATCGTGTCTTTGCCCGACGGGTTTAGTACTCCTGTTGGATCCCGTGGCGTATCACTTTCTGGTGGGCAAAAGCAGCGAATTTCTATTGCCCGCGCCCTTATCCGAAGACCTAAGATTCTGTTGTTGGACGAAGCCACGAGCTCCCTGGATCCTGAGAACGAGAAGCTTGTACAAGAAGCTCTTGAGCGTGCTTCAAAAGGTAGGACAATGGTTGTTGTAGCACACAAACTTTCTACTGTGAGAAATGCGGATGTTATTTTTGTGTTTGGAGACGGTAAGATACTGGAAAAGGGCAGCCATACCGAGCTACTTGAACGGAATGGGGTTTATTGGAGGATGTGCAAAAGTCAAGCCTTGGACGCATAGAATACTGAAATCAGGGACGGGAGTCAACACACAAATTATTCCATGCCGTATATTCCGTTCTACGGTGCCTCGAATAACAGGAACAAAATGCTCTAAAACTAAACAATATCTCTAGCCACAGCCCAATCTCAGTCATAGCGAGATGGCTGCTAATTCCACGTTAAAAACTTGATCCTCAGACTAGCCGAGAAGTCACCCACGATCATTTTCGACGACTCTAACACTGCAGATCCTCAGTCGGCAGACCATAGGGACAGCTGTTTGCTGCACTGATTTATGACCATAGATGACTACCTAGGTAAAATTGTTAATTATTGATTGCTAAACTTCTTTTTCTTACCGACAATTGATGATTTGTAATTTTTTTTTTTTTTGAAACAGCCAATAAAATATCTCTATAAGGTTTTCCACAGGTAAACAGAGAAAATATTTGGACGTAATACAGGAGGTAGTTTAATCCTATCAATGGATAGTATCTCTAGAGAGGGTCTATCCGGTATCCAAGCCGGCGTATTCTGTATCCAAAATACCTAGCGGGGCGGGTAAAGTAAAGCATTAAATTACAGCATGTATCCGCTAAATTATAGCGCTTATCTGTTAACTATAGCGCCTATTTATTGCAATTGCAAGGCTGGATTACACCTAACCATTGATATGCAGCTGAAAAAAAAAAAATTTTGTCCTGCTTTAAGTAACCAATTCTGGATTACGTTGCAAACAAAATACAAATTGATCTACAAATTGAATTTTCAGGTTCAGATTATTAAATTAATCATTTGAATGTGAAGCCCTTAGCTGATGGTATACAAAGCACAATAAAAGTTTAAAAAGGAAACAAAGAGCATGAGAAAAAATCCTCGCGAATATCCAAGTAAAACAGAAATATAGACTTAATTATACATAATTTTGTCACTCTGTGTAAATATCAATGGTATAACCTTTTACTAAAGGTCCTTCCCTTTTCTTATAGTTTGAGTAATTTCATCCCAATTGATCATTCCTTTATAACCCCGCTGCAAGAATGCTTCCCCCATCATGCTTGCCCAATAGCCCCTAGATGCTCCTGTTCCCACCCATAGCCATTCCCTCATTGCTCCAAATCTCCAAGGACCGAAACTCCAACCTCGTCCTTTCTGCACTTCGCTCACCACTATCTTTGCATATTCTGCACCTTCCATGTGCGTATCTGGAAACCCCAAGACCATCTTTCCAGCCATGGCTTTGTACAAACTATTTTCCGGTACTTGATCCGTTCCATTGACTTCTAGTTTGCTCTGTATATACCCGGTAGGACATGTTAAGACATGAACGTCGAAAGGTGAAAGCTCGATAGCCAGAGTACGACTGTATGAGTTCAGCGCTGCCTTGGTCATTGCATAGAGACCTTTGAAAGGGAACGGCGTCACAGACGACGCTGATGAAATATTGACAATTGTGCCTTTGGCGGCGATTAGCAGCGGCAAGAGACTAGATACAACAGCCATGAGACCGAAGACGTTCGTGTTGAATATAGAGTAGATATGCTCTGGTGAGACATCGGCTAATGCGCCGCGGGAAAGAATTCCACTGTGTGCGTGTTAGTCATGTTCAAGTTACATTAGTAAAATATCAGCCAAATATAATCCCACTTACGCATTATTGACCAAAACGTCCAGTTTTCCGTTAGTAATCCTTTCCACTTCTATCCCAGTTGCTTTAACACTGTCCGGTTTGGTTACATCAAGAGACAGGGTAGTCATCCCTGTCTCCTGGAGGTGAGATATGCTTTCCAGTTTGCGAGCAGTAGCAATTACCTGGTAACCTAAAGATAGAGAACGGACAATTATATGTAAGCATTCTGGCTGTCGAACATCAACTTGTATTTAACGAATTTAGAATTTACCTCTGGCTTGGAATTCTCTCGCCAATGCTTCGCCAATTCCGCTTGAACATCTGCAAAATATATTCTGTTATTAATACTGGTTCGCTTCTATACTACCGATATCATACCCTGTAATGAGTACATTTTTTTGTTGGTTATTTGATGCCATAACGGAGTATTAAACGCCCTCCCTAAAAACCACTAAGTATGAATTAGTATAACAGCTTTTATAGTTGCTGGATGTCTAGAGAAAAGAGGTCAAAGTTATATCTATCAAATATCAAGCCTGAAGATTTCGACATCAAAACTACGAGGCATGATTTCCTAGCTGGGATAATGGAGCTGCTTACTCGCACTCCCATTGCTTATTAATTTCAATCTTTGCTACAGGTTTTACATAGGTACATATGATATATTTCGATGATATGACCATTCCAAATTAGGTATTTGGAGCTGCTTATGCCTGGGGCTGAAAAGATGGGACGCAGTATATTGTGGCTTTGAACACTCCCGATTCACGTGCTCCATAAGCCCAAAAAGCATCGCTTACTCAATCTCTAATGTAAAAAACCATGCATCATGATCCACATTCATGGCCAATTCATTGATGTCGTGAATGTTCTCTACTGCAGGGATATAGCCGAAAAAAAAAAAAGATATCATTTAGAATGAGGACTACAAAATATACCGGGAGTGTGTTTGAGCAACTGCCAGAACAGGCAAGACAAAATGCCAAACTCCTTCGCCCTGTTGACATGCAGCAGCCCCCGCTGCACTTCATCACTGCTACTCTACCACAAGAAATGAACAATACGCATGCGCTAAGTCAGATCAGATCGCATGTTTCCAAGGAATCTCACGCTCGCCGACGGCGAGCCCTTACTGAGAAGGTGGCGCTGTATCACGCGAGCAGTACCAGCGCCAAACAACAGTTGCACGCTCGCATTAGCGATGGTGGCAAAGAAGCTTGGAGTATTTGCTTTCCGTGGTCTCTCTCTGTTAATGAATTATTCCTCTTCAATTTCTGTACGCAACGTTTGTGAACCCTCTTTTGGTGACGCCCTAACTTGTTCCGCAGTCCTGGAATGGGTAATACCGAATGGTTGGACAGAATGTATTACCGAAGAATCCCAACAGTCATTCCAAATGGGCATGAGATCAGTTCTCATCCCTGTTGCCATGACAGACATGAGCCTGTTTACTGCCGTCATGTACGTTTCAGCACGAAGATACAGTCTCATTTCAAACAATACCGCTGAAGCTGAGAAGTATCACAAGCTTATGATACACTACCTTCTCCTATGCTTACAGAAAATTAAAGTCATCATCAATATGGAAAGCTACCCAACAGATGCCTCTATGGCTCTGGTCCTTTGTATGGCCACGGAAGCAGTATGTACTATTGCTATTTCTCAACAAATGTCATCTCCTTCTAGACTTGGTTCATTGCATGCAAAGTCAGCTTGCTGATCAGAGTTCTGTCATAGTACTGGGAGGGGCAAGTGGAAGCATTTCACATTCATGGAATGGCCTTCACCAAGATGGCTGAGATTCGTAGAGCATTTCCAGAGAGAGAGAAAGTTTCTCCTTTTTTGTTAGAAATGGCTGCGAAGTCAATATATGACCCAAGATATAATATTGTTATGGGGCCTTACCATACAAATTAGCTGGGCAGTAGGCATCAAGGATCGCGATTTTCTAGATGTCAGAACCAAGACGCACGGGTATTATGTGAACTTGAGCAACGCCCATTCTTGAAAAACCAGGTCGAGGAAGATTAATGCATAACTTTTTGTGAGATAATAACTGCAGTGCACACATTTATACTTACTAGTTCTCACATACCTGCATAGTAGCCTTATTCCTTTCATGTAGCAACAGTGGTATTTCACATAGCCAAATATTTCTTTCCTTGCCATGTTCTTAGCCACCAAAATTATTATACACAGGGAGCGTATCAAAGTTCATGTTACACACGGCTATTACTATCTTAGTATCATTTGTGGAGCCCTATTTCAATATCGGAACCCTGATTTCTGTCAGGAAAATACATGTCGCCTCGTTGACTAACCAATTCCACATCCATAGATTCTTTGCGGTCCCGTTTATTCCGCCATGACTCTCCTTCGCCTCTGGGGGCAGAGGAAACGTCCACTCGTTTGGTGACAGTTATTTTCCTTACAATTGCTGTGTTATTAATTCTTTCGTCAGAGTAAGAGCCAAGTCTCTCAGATGATGATATAGTGCTGAAAAGACGCATTTGTTTCAATAGCGGTTTGAGTGTTGCAAGAGATGAAGTAGTTAGGGCAACTCCAATCTCAACCGTGCTCCAAATGCCCAGGTCAACGGTTGTATAGAGGTAATCTGGGTTATCAAGATAGCCTTTTGCAAAAGGAATGCGAACGATTGTAGCAATAGAGGCACTATATATGATTAGGATTGTGCGTAATCTCACGAAAAGGAAGCGACTGCCACTTACACAGACCCTAAGGCAAGCAAGACAATGATGGAGATCTTTTCGCGCTGTGGTATCTGCGCTTTCCATACCAGGGTGGCTGGCAATGCGGGCAATATCCAGTCGGCGACAACACTGAGAAAGGCTGAGATGTATGTCGTGACTGTGGCGAATGTTGTTGCATTGCAACTACCCTCGGTAGGTGGGATGGGATTATATCTGGTCCATTGTAGCTCAATTGGATCGCAAGTCCGGATAGCGAACACCTCATAGATCAGGCTGAATATAGTAATCACAGCCAAAATGGTCCAGATGGTGATTTGTCGCCAGCGTTTACGTGGGCATATTCGTAGGAGAAATATACCCACAATCCATTTAGTTAACATTGAAAGAATAACATATATGAAAGTGAGAATCCATCTATAAAAAATAGCCTTTGGGCGATTATCAGGCGGCACATCGACGACATGTGAGCCCACGCCATATTTGATAGAAAGAGCCGCGCAGATTGTGTAAGCTGTATATAATATCTGCAAGTGTATATTAGTATTTGGACTTGACTTATTCCTTCGTATACATCATCTCATACCAAGGAAGCTAATGATATATAATCCTCGGCGAAGAAGTGCTTCAAAATAAAACCATGGGTGTAGAGTCGAAGGCCTATAGCTATAAAGCTTGTGACATACAGTGTTATAACAACTGCTAACGCTTCGGGCCCTCGGCTTTCAGGCATCATTTAATGCTAAATGCCAGGGTATATGTAGGAGGTAAGAAAATGGTGCAAAGTCGAGCATAAGTGTAATGCAGCCAAGGCCCACATATATAAATTATTGTCAAAAGGCGCCTCAAAGGAGATTATTATAGACAGCGACTTTCTGGTGGGATGCTGTTGGCTCCGCAGATTAAAAGCCAGCCTCAGGGGCTATACAGGCGATGCTAAATGTGGACACCAGAGCGAGATGTATGCCTCCATGTTAGACACCTAAGTACGAAGTGTCTCAGCCGCTTTTTAGGAAGTAATGCCTAGTGTGAGTGATATGTCTATCCGTCGCGCGGAATAATCTTCGAGGGCAACAAAGGTTCAAATAGATAACGTAGTTATATAAAACAACCTTTACCTCGGTTTCACCAGCGCACTTTTGTACTTTGAAATAAGAAAGTGATTGACCACTATCGTTTCAGCAATTGTCCAGTTCGGTCTCGGATTAAGCTTTGGAGCAAAAGTTCCTTGCAATAAGTGGGGATATTTTACTCTAAAATCACCCGCCCGTTAATCACATGTCAAGTCAGTCTAAAGTATCTATGCTATAAGTAGTTCTAAATTTCCGACTTTCCTTTTGTCAATAGTTCGTTTTTACATGTACGAAAGAGATATTCCTGATTTAAGTTAATAATATTTGTTATGCTAGCCATTTGTTTATGGCGACCCGCTACCTCGGGCTGTAAAGTCCAGTAATCTGCGTTTGGAATGCAAGGCATGACTCAATGCCAGCGGAAAGAAATTTTATCACACATCCATGCCCTTGTTGCTAATGTTCAAGAGCTCTACTGTGAAACTGCACCTAGACAGCATATAGGTGCTATCTGGAGAATTTGCCGTATTCCTTTGAAAAATTAGCTAATGGGGTTCTCTAGATGCTAACTATAGCAAGCTAACTGGCTACTAAGCTATGGGCTGAAGGCAATCAGAAAGTGGCTGCAGAACGCACTAGCCACTTTTTCAAAAGAATAGTACGCCTATTAATAATCTAATCCACTATGCTCCATTGTTAATTTTCCGATAAAAGCCGATCCCGAACTTTCCTGCTTGAATTATTCCTGCGGCTTAAACATTCTGACCTAGGTACTAGAGGCCAGAGCTCTATATTTTTTCTTTTGTTCATCGTTCCTTGCATTGTATCCTTTAGTGTTAACAAAAATCGCTCCCACATCCTAACCGGGCCATTTCGATCACTTTGGTGCTTTACAATTGGAAAAGTATTGTTGTGTGCCCTCAGCGTTTTGCTGTTGCTATCCTGCAAATATTCGGTGGCATTCTTCTTCGCACCCATGACAACGCTAGAACGCTGTGAAATTAACAACGACACCACAATATCTGGTGAGAGAATGAATCATGGAATATATCAACATGAAGAGTTCGCAAAGTGATAGAGCCCGCTAACTCGAACGAGATATCAACGTTTTGGGGGGATTTATGCAAAGATATAGCTCTGTTAGTGCCGCACACGTTACCCAATCTCGCCGTACTCTACGGAGTAGCTATTCCCCAGATGCTCTCAGGAATATGTGTAACAGCTGAATGCCATGTAGAAGATTCAGCAACACTGTACTCAGCTGTACACGTAAAGTAGTATGCTCTCATATTGAGGACACTGAAGCAACACGGCCATTTGCTGCAAAATAAGCCTTTTTGTGACACAGTAGTAAACAAATTTTCACTGAACTTATTAACTAAAGCTGGGAAACTGTCACCGGGACTTATGTCTTTTTTCTAGTTTATTACTTCGCAGTTAGTTAATCCTGAAGATATTTCTAGGGATAGCTTATCTAGTATTCAAGCAGGCTTTTTTAGTATGCAAAGCGGGCCACTATGGGGAGGTACTTATACCTTTAACCACTGTATTACAGCACTTGCTCAATACAATATAGCGTTCATGTCCAATATTATAATATACCATTATATTTATTATAATACAGCACTTACTCGCTATAATATAGGGCGTATTTGCCGCCGTCGTGTATTTACTTATATAATATACTACTTATATACTAGGTATTTACTATAACGTAGTGTTTATTTACTATCCGTAGTAGAAAGCACTGGGGGTGTTTTACTAGATGGTACCAGCTGGCACCGCGCTATAATATAGCCTATATTATAACACAAGATGCCAGGCATCTCCCGGCTATTATTTTATTCTTGCATTAAAAGAATATATATCATTATAAAAAGAGTTTAAATAAGGGTAAAAATTAATTAATTTATATAAGTGCTACTATACTTCTATACTATTCTATTTATTCTATAGAAGAGCGTGCTGTAAATCTGGCTTATATACCTTCTGTTCTAAGATTTAGTATGTATTAGTTGGAGCTTGGCTGGCAGCTTGGCACCTATTGGCATAAACCGGAACCTTGTTGGCACCAGCGGTACTGTGTGGGATCACGGCTGGGATCATGAACGAAAGACAAAAGGCAAGGGGAACAATCTGAATTACCAAAGGCACTGAGCTCGAATGCAACAAGCAAAATGTGACTTGGGAACATAAGAACAAGGTGATGAAGAAGAAGAACTAGTAACTGTGACTGCGCAGAGGACGGACTAAGTACAGTGGGGCCACGTGGCAGGTACTATGCCAGCATGGTGCTGCCCCACCTCAACTTTCTGCTACTAATACTTTTATATTACTGCAGTACATTTATTAATTAGTATTTATCTTATTTATTCCATTTAACACTAAAATTATGTCTCCTATAAATATTATAAATCTCGCTACTTTAGATACTAAACAAGTCTGCTTGAATATCAGATAAGCTGTCGCTATTTCTGGATAGTTTGTCTTTTCAGGTAAGTTGTGGATTTACGGGTTTGAGACCTTTTATTATGCAAATTGAAACAGTTGCAAAGCAGACTATTCTATAACAAATTTGAAACCATATATTAGAACGAGACTCAAATACTTATGATTATTGTTATTATTATTGTTATTATTATTAGCTTTGCATCCTTTTCTTTTATTCATATTAATATTGGCTTTACGTTATCAGAATATTTTTACCCCCAAGAAGTTTTAAAGTGCATAAGGCAAATCTCTGGCCTTGCCGTTCTTGTCACAAGGTGCAAATTGCCACCAGTCGGAGTTCTTTCCAAAATACAGAAATTTTAGAACGAAGAAAACAAGAGATGGTACCGGTGGCCAGCTACCAATTTGCTCAAATTTAACCTCATGATTATGAACCACAAAGGGCAGCTCCACAACCTAGAATCATGCATCTCATTGTCAGACTCCATTCTTTTATAGTTTAATGAAGAAATTTCTTATTCTCTGATTATGAAAGAAGAATATAAGGGGTGATCGACGATGAAGGGTAAACTTACCATGCCGTCAGATGTCTGGGTTTTCTTTACCACCTTTGCAATTGTATCTTTTGTCCATTTGGCCCAATCGGTCTTTTCCTTATATTTATCAAAGTCCTTAAGAGTCAAAATCTCATCTTGCAAATGTTGCCTAAGAACAGGCATGAATGAGTCAACAATATTCTTGAGCTTTGTCCCGTCATATTTTTCCTCGCCGTTTTCCGCATTCTTCAAGTAAGCAGCGTATTCGTTTACACCCTCTTCAAAAGCATGATGTTGCTGAATGTTAACATCCATGACGCCTTTTTCACCAACGATCGCCTCAATCTCAGGAAAAATCCACTTTTCCTCGGTCGAATGGTGGGTGTGAAGAATCTGGCCCCATACACTTGCGTATTTGATGAATGCTGGAACGCTAGCCGATGAACGTTCCACGTTGATGCACTGGAGATAGACGCTGTTTATACCTCTTATCAAGCAATTATGGACGGTAACCATTTCCAAGGCCATAGCGTGGTATGGTTGAACCTTCTCCCCCGGCTGAACACTGTAGTGAGCGTTGCGCACTTTCGATAATGCACAGGCTATTATATTGGGCTTACCTTGTAACCAAGAAGCGAAATAGAAATCAGTTCAAAAGGTCCGTCGGCCCAAGGCCGGTTGATGTCACTCTCTACGCTAGCCATGATACTGAGCAGTGACAGGGAGTTTGAGTTTTTAATATTCCGCCTTTCAAGAGAATAAGGGAAGATCAGCGCGTGAAGGTATGCTAGGCAAAGCTTATTTCAACAAGGGCTGCTTAAAATCAGAAGGTCACAAACCCAGCGTTTACTTTAAATAATTTTGAAAATACGCTAGTATATAAAATACGTCCAATTTATGGCTGACATGAAAATGCAGCTGAATAGTAATACACACGGTTACTAAAATCTTACACGCAGCGAACGCGATAATCTTGTTAACATACATACTGTAATGAAATTGGTAGTCAGCGAATTTGCCAATGGTCTAGAGAGCGCAGGGTTGAAAAGAACATTCGTGATATGATCAGATTCCCCGGCAATAGAGAACTCATCGCATAGAGCTGAGTATCCCGTCACCTGAACCCCATCGGCTGATATTTAATTCTAGCTTGGAGTTCGAAGAATATCTTCTACCAAAATGTCAATACCGATATATTTTCAAGCTTACCGGCTCGCATTGCATCGCAGTCCTATCATCTGTCTAGCGATGGTTAGATTGAGTTCTCTAGTTATACGGCCCCTAATAGCGGCTAAGAATGTAAGCAATATGAATTTGATATACTATGCTAACGTTTCGTGAAACCTGCCTTTCCTAGCAATAGTCGTTAATGGTTGCTGAGATAGCCATGACAGGACAGCGGCGATGCAATCGCGTCGACCTATTCATTGTGCAATTGCCCGGGTAAATAAGTTTGAAACCGAACACACAATTCGAGAAAAGGTGAGACGGTGTTTTAGAATTAGGGAGAGTTTCATGAGAGATGACAATATCTTTCATAGTACCTACTATGTTGCGGCGACGTCCAGGTGAAGGCTTTGGCCGTGCTTGTGAATATTGAAACGGATCAGAAGAAATAATGGAGTCAACAGAGATACCGAGCGCACGATGAGGGTAATGGGCGGCTAGGGGCGAGAAGAGTTTTTTAATGCGTGTGGACTTCGTTAGCGTAGAGGTAGGTATTACGCGAGCCTTAATTCTTGCCACTAAGCCATGTATTCGATGCCGCTAAGAGCTATCATCTAAAGCCAGCTAGAATAGAAACTAAACCGCATGTTGAGATAAAGCATCGCTTCTACCTATCGCGGGAATTCATCAAATACCAAGTCAAGGCGGTGATTATTGGCATCGCAGCAGCAGAACTAATAGTAGCTTCCGAGAAAAAATGGGTCAATAAGCAAAACCGCAGGAGATTATTGTTGGGTGTGATGAGCTCGCGGCTTAAAAAGTTCTTACGAAAATTGATCAACCGCAGGCACAATGTTTTTTGAGACTGCCTAGGTGGTTATTATTATATCATGATTCTCTAGCTTCCAACTATAGATAACCGGACTCTTTAAACCAATATATAAGCTAAAGACTTGGCGTTGAGAGAGTTTCACGCATATTCTGGATTACTCGTGAGAAGCCTTGCATGGTCTCATCGATGAAATTGACCACGGAAATAACGCTTAGTATAATGTAAAACTTACTTCTGCTATCGTAAATGCACTGCGAATGATATATATTTTTTAGGGGACACCAAGTAAACTGAAAGATATTACGCAGCTTTGCCACGAAAGATAGGCAACTATGAAACAATTAAAGTCGAACAAGCGCCATTTACATTTAAACCGACACATACACTTTAGGGGCCAAATGCCCCACTTCGAGTAACTGAAATGCTTAGATACACGAAATACTACTGAGATAGAGAGAAGGCAGGGAAGATATTAGATTCCGGCTGGAAACTGTCAGCGAAGCCATTTCGCTTCTCGAGGCCTCTTCTTCAGCGGTTGTTAGTACGGAAAGGAAGGCAACGAATGAGATTTATGATAGATATGGCATAGTTGGCGCGGGGCGCAATAATAGTTATCATCCCAGTGAATCCCATCCAGCGAAATTAACTATATGCGTATGTGTATCTTCGTTCTTCTCTAGGGAAGTCTTCCTGCCAATCAAGGGAAAAAATCACATAATATTGATTCTATTGCGACTCTAAAAATGCCTCAAAAAGAAGGCTGTGCAAAGCGCTGTAAAAGCTACCCCTGCCAATACCAAATGTTGATGGACTCGAAGCGCTGCATGGTGACAAGTTCGAGGCTGTGCAATTCTAGACCCATTCCAGCCAATTGTATCATGTATAGAAGCGCTTTTGCTATTGCTATGGCTTGCCCTGGATGTTAAACAACGTACATTTATTTCATCGTAGATATGATTCGATCAAAAATTCATTGGCGCCTAGGAGTTTATAGCAAAGGAAGGCAGGCCCCTTGATAAGGGACGAAAGTGGCATAAAGCGTGCATCGCCGGAATGGATCTGACAGACAATAAGTACGGCATTAAATATTAGAAGCATTCCTTTTAACCTCACCCAATTTCATAAAGTATTCATATGTATCTGCTATAAGGTATACAGAAACCAACAACTTAAGTCAGATATAAAGTTTATATCCGCCACAATGGGCCTCGCAAAAGCAGTTCTCAAATTTATTGCCATCCCAATTATAATTGTCGTCTTTATCGCCTTTATCATCATATTTATTCGCTCTAAAAGGGAACAAAAGAAACTTTCCAAACACGCTGAAGCCGAAACACTTCCTCAGTTCAACTGCGGACCGGTGCCGCCTCCTGCGTATACATTACCAGCAAAACCAGCCCCTGCTGTCGTCCAACAGGGCTATACCGAAAGCTATCATCAAACTTGAATCATTTATAAGGTGGAAAAGACAAGCATGTATAATTTGGGTAACGGGCGATGAGAGGAAGGTGATGGACGAAATGTAGAGAGCTTCTCGATGGCAAGACTATGCAGACAAGGTTATAAATACTTGAACCTCGAACTGAGTTATCAAATTTTTAAACTGTTCAGATTATCTATGAAAATAATAAATTACATATAATGCCATTATCTAGGCCAGTTACTATCACGTTGATACTTACAGCTGCAGAAACAGCGAGATTGGTCCTTACAATGTAAGGAAATTACCAAGAAAGGCATTCGCATGTAAGTATTCAAAAGCTAGTTTTATAAGCTCAATCCTCTTAATTTTGTGCCTCGTTGTTTCTGTAGTCAGTGACTGAAATCGAAGAGTATTACTTTATGTAGTCCCACCACAAGATATAGAACATTGATTGACTGCTTTATATGGCTAAGTAAAACAAGCCGCGAAGGCAAGACTAAGCATTTTATTTTCACGTTCACTAAAGAATGCATGGTGACGAAAAAGCGTGGGTGGAGTTAGGGCGCGTAAGAGAACCTCATAAGCTTGTTCGAGCTCCCAGTCGGCGTTTGCCAAATCCTCCTCCAGTTTCTCTTTGAAACGATTCAGGACTTGCAGTCGCTAGACGCCGTACCATTGCAATCCCAAAGACTCCAACCAGCAAGGACACATGCAGAAAAGTTTTCGTTTGGATATCGAGATAAACTGTACACTATGCTCTTTCTTCCTTACCCTCAATTTCCCTAAGGCTGCCATTGCACCTCGCATTATCAAAGAGTGGTATGAACGCGTGCATGCATCCGTCACTCCAATACATACCCTATGCTATCACATTATTAGAACTAAGCTCAACAATCCTTCTATCTTCTAATTCGACAGTTAATTGCTGGGATTGAGACTATGCGGACACAATGACACTTATAAGCAGGCCTATGTGATTTAAAACACTCAAGGTTCATGTGATATGCTATGGAAACGTACGTGCTTAAATATCTTAAAAGAAATTAAAAAAAAAGAGTTCTGGGTATCTGGTTATGGTTGCCTCCCTTAAGAGCCAAGATTGAAATGGAGAACATGTAACAGCGAAATTCTAGATTTATAACTGCACTCTATATATGCCTTATATCTGAGCCTAAAGCAGCTAGGTGCTGCTGAATAATTTTAAAAAAGAATCAACACGGAGAAAAACAAAAACTATTATAGAATGAAAATACGTTTAAGCAAGAGCAGCCGGGACAACGGCAGACTTGGCTGCGACTTTGGGCGCAAAGGTCGACAGCGGATCGTTGCTGACAATGTCAAAAACAGACAAGTCTGCCTGGAACTCCTTGCGCAGCCAATTTCGTATCTCGATTGCAACAAGACTGTCGATGCCGAGAGCCGGCAGAGACTTCCGGGAATCGATGTCGTCCTGTTCCACCTTGAGAATGTTGGACAGGCCAGCTACCAGCGCGTCGAGCACGAGATCGTGGACCTGGTCCTTGGAAGTGGCTGTTGCAACCAGCTTCTTCCAGTCCTCCTTTGTTGCCTGGCCGTTGCTGTCGCCTCCAGAATGGCGATCCAGTCGGCTGAGGATAGCAAAAACGCGAATCGTCAAACCAATAGGGGTCGTTGGACGACGACTTGTCGAGCTGGCCACCGGTGGCTGTGCCGATGGCAACTTGTGTCGGCGCGCGACCGGAGACGGCGGCCGTAACAAGGTTCAGCACGTCCGTTTCGTTCTGGGGTATCAGATCTCCATTTTTGAGTAGTTGGAAGACATTCTCCTGCTCAGTGGAGACACCGACGCCGACGACCAAACTGAGGTTCAGACTGGTGGCTGCCAAGCCTGAAGCGGCACGGTGGTGCATGAGAGCATCCTGGTAGTTGTTACCAGCATTGTAGTTGGCCTGGCCACGGTTTCCGATGATGCCAGCAATAGACGACAAGCAGACAAAGAAATCCAGGTCAGCCGGCAGCAGCTCGTGCAGATTGCGCGTGGCTTTAAGCTTAGGACGGAGTGATAAGTTCCAGTCTTTCGCGGTCATGTTATTGTAGATGCCGTCCTGCATAATGGTCAGATATCAAGTAACATCCGATTGGAGAATGGGAGGGAATGGGAGACCTACTTTCAAATCCATAGCGCAGTTAATCATGCCCTTAATCGGGGGACAGCTTTGCTTTACTTTGTTCAAGGCTGCCTCCAGCTGTGCTTTGTCTGCTACGTCGACCGCCGTGACTGTCGAGGTAACACCTTGTCCCTGCAGCTTATCGAGCAGGGCTTGCGCCTCTGGGCGCGTATTGCCAGATCGAGACAGAAATACGAAATGCTTAGCGCCCTTATCAGCGAGCATCTGGGCAATGGATCTACCAATGCCGCCAAGACCACCGACGAGAACATAGGTGCTGTTAGAAGATAGTCTGAACGCACCGAGGCCTCCAGGGATGATAGGAACAACATCGTCAGGCCGTGGAATCAGAACAACCTTGCCCATGTTATCGCCGCTCTGCATCAGCTGGAACGCCTGCTCCACTTGTCCAAAGCTGAACTGCGTAACGTTCTTCAGGGGCCTAATGATTCCTTGTTCTAGCAACTCAACCACCTGTAAGCTGAGCTTCTCGCATTTGTTGGGATACTCAGTGACGAGGGTGTTAATGTCAAGACCCGAAAAGCTAATGTTGTTGAGGAACGGCCGCATCTCCAGGCCGGAGTTGTCGTGGATGTCGCGCTTGCCCAGCTCGATGAAGCGGCCAAACGGCGCCACGCAGTTCCATGTGCGTCGAAGTGCTTCGTTGGCGAGGTTGTTGAGCACGACGTCCACGCCCTGTCCGTTAGTCAGGCGCATGACGCCATCGGCGAACGAATGGTCACGGCTGTTGAAGATGTGCGCCTCCGGGATGCCGTACTCGGCCATCAAGAACTTCTTCTTCTTCTCCGAAGAGACGGTACAGAAGACCTTCTTGGAGCTAAGACACTGGGCGACAATGATGGCTGCTTGGCCGACACCACCGGCCGCAGAGTGGATCAGAACGGACTCGTCCCTCTGCAGGCGGCCGACGTTGATCAGCGATTGTACCGCCGTCTGGTACTGGCCCATCAGCGATCCGGCCACCTCGTCGGTGATGGAGTCAGGGGTGTGCGCAAAGGTGCGTGGGTCTACGCGCAGGCGGGTCTGGAAACAACCGCCGTGCAGGCCGAACACGCGGTCGCCCACACGGAACTTGGTGACGCCGAGGCCCAACCGGGACACGATACCCGCGCACTCCATGCCAATGTTGGTATCTTCGTCCTGGCCAGTGGCCATCATTACGTCACGAGAGTTCAAGCCGACCAACTGGACCTCGATCTCCATCTGGCCCTCGGCCACGGGATCCAGAGCGGTCAAGCCGGGCACGAGGTGGTATTCAAACGAGTCGAGTAAACCAGGCTCTCGGAAGGACAGACGCAGTGTCTCATCACCGCGGTCCTTCAAGGGCATTGTAACCGTGGGAAGGCTCTGTCCGGACCGGGCCGCGTCCAATAAGGTCTTGAGGTCGGTCTGCGGCTCGAGTCGTTCCACCAGGACTTGACCATTGCGAATGACATACTCTGAGTCCGTGGATCGATCTAGCGTCTTGCTGGTGCTGATGAGTTGGGAAATGGTACGCACATTGACGTCTGCATCAAATGGCGCCGCTGAGTCGAGAGAGAGGGTGGAGAAGGGAATCTCTGGGTACTCGCTGCGGATTGTGCGACCCAGACCCTTTACGAGACCCCCAGAGGCAGTGTCTAAAGTCAGCCACAACGTCCCCTGGGTACCGAGAATCAAGGAGCGAAGCTTGACAAAGGAATCCTCATCTAGATCTTCCAGGAAAGGAAGGTCCAGATCCAATGCAAAGAGAGCCAAGTACGACGAGAGTTGTTCAGGAGTGGCGGCGTCAAAGGGCAACTTGACAACATTATAGTTATGCACCTGTTTCAGCTCGCACTCCACTTGTTCCACGGCTCGGCTCAGCTTAGGTGATGGGCTTTGGGGCATGACAACTAGAATGTTTTGGACAGCGGCGTTGCTTTGCTGTGTCACAGAGGCGATTGTGAGGCACGAGGCGTCGGAGATATTGATCGAGGTAGGGGCAGTGAAGCCTGCGGACACTAACACTTCTTCTGGGATGATTGCGTTGTTCAGGACCATTTGCTACTAAAAGGATACCCCAGGGTTTCAGGAGTTTCTTGATGTTGGCCAAGATGACGGCATTTTCGCCTTCATACGTTTGAGCAGTGTCTAACACAATAAGATCACGAGAGGCTTCCTCGAAGCCTTGTTCAACAGGGTCCTCTGTAAGATTTAGCTGCTGATGATGGATCAACTGTTTCCAAGGCCTAGATTGCTCCTCAAGGGCCACGACGCCGGACAGAATTACCGACTTGACACGCTTATGAATCTCCTCTCCACCCCCAAGAAGAGCCCGTGTGAGAAGACTGTTCGCAGACGAATTGGATTCGAGAATGTCCAAAGCAGGATATTTGTGGGCAAGTAGGGTCACGTATTTACCCAGTGAGGTAGCGAGGTTGGGATCATCCTGCAGAATCTGTTGGATCTGAGTAGCATCGATCATTGTCACATCAAGAGCCAGGCGTGGAGCAATAGGAACATGGCCACCAAGAGATGCAGATGCACCACCAGAAACATCCGATTGTGCACCTGAACCACGTAGCGGCACGTGCTCACAGCCACGGAGCGCAATAACAGGCTTGTCGTCTCCATCCTCGCCAAAGGCAAACACATCACTCGCCATCTTGTCGCCGCCGCCGCCGAGCTTGTAGGTGCGCGAGAAGCCATGGTACTTGCTACCCGGGGTCGAATCAAACTTGGTCGAGACATAGATGGACGCCGTGGATACGGGCATTCGTGCCGTGAAGTCCTCGCCATACCACGCACTCGAGGTTAAGAGATGCACGAAAACGTCTAGGACAGATGGATGAATTAGATGTGGAGGCTCCCACTTTGCAGGATAATACTGCTTTGTGTCCTCTACCTCAACGGTGTAGTGCGACTTGTCGTTGAGGAGGTTTAGCTTTTTGACTCCTTGGAAGGCTGGGCCCAGATGAAATCCGGCACTGTCGAGCTTGTCGTAAAATACTGCGGGCTCCAAGCTCGGGAAATCTCCCTGTCAGATCTCTTTATACTCCGCCTGGAGTTGTGCGTTGGCGGCCGCCTCTTCGTTCACGAATACACCATTTCCAGTAGCCGAATCTCCCTCTGGTGTGTAAATGGCCTTGATCAAACCATTGTAGTTTGCCGTCCACGTGCCGCTCTCATTGCGGCTGGACACCTTGAACTCGGTCCAGTACGACGAATCTTCGTTCGCAATAGGTGACGAGCGCCATGGTGCGAGCTGGAGTCTCGTCTCAATCGTCTGGTTGATAGGAACCACCAAAGCCTTGCCAATATTGATGTCGCGCACCTGGAAGCCCTCGATGTCAGTGCGGGTCTGGATCTGGCGCATGCCTTCGATGGCCATGACAACCATACCCGCCATGGGATAGATGTTTGTGCTCTGGAACTGATGGTGCTCAATCCAAGGTTGCTCCGAAGTGCGGAGGAGGTTACGCCAGGACAGTTCCAGCTCTGTGGATCGATCGTCTCGTGCGCCGAGCAGCTCAAGACGCGCATGGCTCCTGTTTCTGTAGGCCGAGATGGCAGCCGACTCGCTCCAATACTTTTTGGACGTGTTCCATGCGTAAGTGGGTAGTTCGACAAGCGGAGAAATCTTGCCATCGTCGGTTACATCGCCATGGTTAACGCCGCGGTAACTATCATACGCATTCGCCAAGCGCATGTCGACTGGGTGGCCCAGGACGAACAGCTCGCCAGCCACCTCCAAGGATGTTTGAATAGCATCCTGCTTTCTCTTGATGGCCGACAAGTAGCGAGGAGGAGTCGGAACCTTGTCACTGACGCTGGTCATAATCTGCTTCAATGGCCCCTGCAGAGCCGCATGGGGTCCAATCTCGACTATGGCGTAAGGGCTTCCCTTAATGCCGTTTTGGTTTCGTAACTTACCTCCGAGGAGACCTGCCTCAGTAGCAGCCGTGACGGCGCCTGAGAAGTTGACCGCACTAACCAGGTTGGCCACATAGTACAAAGGGACAAGCTCGGTGCCATCGATGGGCTTGCCTTTAACTGACGAGACCATGGTGACGTCCTTATGCCCCGACTTGGGCTTCCATGCGCCTTCTTCCATTCCAGCAAGATACTTTTCAGCAATGAGCTGCATATGGTGGGAATGGTACGCAGTCAACTCGCGGAGCTTGCGCGCAAAGACATCGTCCGCCTGCAGCAGATGCATAACCTCGTTGACGCCCTCCACATCTCTGGACAAGGTCGTGCTTTCTGGACTGTTGATGCAAGCAACAACGACCTTGCCTGCTGTGACACGGTCGATATACTTCTGGGCCGCTTCCGGACCCAAGCCAACGGCAGCCATGGCACCATTCTTGCTGAGCTGGCTGGTAAGGAGACCTCGGTAGTATGCAATGCGCATACCGGCCGCCTTATCGAACGCACCTTTTGAATAACCCGCTGCAATCTCACCGCTAGAGTGGCCAATCACGACCTGCGGGCGGATGCCCCAGCTGGCCAGGAGATCCACGACGCCGAGCTGCAACGCCGTGCATGCTGCCTGGCTGATGTCTGGGGGATCAATCTGCGATTCCTCAGCACTGCGGTTCAGCTCTACGAGGAGATCCCACGTGCAACCAAAGGACTTGAGGTGGGCGTTTGACTCATGCAGAGACTTCTGGAATACGGGGTATTTCTGCAGAGAACGGCCCATGCCATACCATTGCGCACCCTGGCCAGTGAAGATAAAAGTGATCGGCCGGGCCTTGGTCGGTGTACGGGTGGCTTGGGTTCGTGCTCCATCCAGAGCCTGTTGCAGCTCCTCGATAGTCGAGGCGGCGGCAAACGTTTTCCAGGGAAGGCTCGACCTCTTCTCAGAGAGTGTATAAGCCAGACGGTGCAGCAAACGGTTCTGCTCTTCGGACCCCTTCTTCGCGTCGACCTTGCCGAGGTATTTTTGCAAGCTTTCGCTAAGACGTGAATGCCACTCTCCTCGTGAGAAGAGAGAAGGAAGAGACGGGAGGTAGGCCCATTGGGTATCGTTGTAGGACCTTTGATGCTGTTGGTTAAGAGTTCTTCTACAGTGGTGTTGTGCGGGGCTTTCAGGTTGTGATTCTTCAAATAGTGGTATGCATCGTCTATTACAACATGAGCATTGGCACCGCCGTAGCCAAAGTTGTTGATGCTAATACGACGGAGGCCAGCAGGCCAGCGAGTCGCCCGTGTGGGAATGTCAATCTTCCACTCAGCGAGCTTGATCTTTGGGTTGATATTCGTCAGGCCATGGGTAGGTGCCATCCAGCCACTTTCGAGGCTGTAAACGGCCTTGACCATGCCAACGATGCCACTGCAACTCTCTAGATGTCCCACGTTACTTTTCACGGACCCAACGTACAACGGACGTTGTCGTGTCGAGCTAAAAGCGGGACCGATCGCCGAACACTCGACGGGATCACCCGCCGCGGTACCCGTGCCGTGAGCCTCAAAGTAATTGGTCTCATGCAGTGGCAACCCCGCAGACTCATATGTCTGGCGGATCAAATCCGCTTGTCTGACTGCGGATGGCTGTGTGAGACCGAGAGTCCGGCCATCTTGGTTGGCTCCTGTGGCGCGGACGACGGCGCGGATGGTGTTGCCATCACGGAGAGCCAGGTCCATTCGCTTCAAAACGACGAAGCCACCGCCTTCGCCACGAGTGTATCCATTGGCTGACGTGTCAAATAAGTGGCACTTGTCGTCTTTACTAAGGAACGACATGGGGGTGGCAAATATGTCAAAAGACTGGCAGAAGTCGCAAGTTGAAGCCTCCAACCAAACACTGGAGAGTTTTGTTAGCGCGCTCTATGCTGAAGAAGAAGAGAGAAATGGCCTTACCGAATCGGTTTCTCCGCTTCTAATGCTCTGGCAGGCCATATGCATTGCAGTCATCGAGGATGAACATGCTGTGTCAATGGTCATGCTCGGACCTCTGAGGTTAAAAAACCACGAAATATGGTTCGACAAGATGGAGGTTCCCAAACCCGTGGCCGAGTATTTTGGGATACTATCCAGATCTAAGGCTTGGAGGTCCCAGTAGTCATGGCTCTGCCCGCCGCCGACGAAGCAACCGATGGGCTGGTCGGCGATTTGGTCAATTGTCAGACCGGCTGCAAATAGTTAGTAACCTGCCACTGTAGTAAACCCATAGTTTACTTACCGTTCTCGAGGCCTTCGTAGGCTGTCTCTAGGAGAATACGCTGCAGTGGGTCCATTGCCTTGGCTTCTTCGGGCGTAATGCAAAAGAAACCGGCGTCAAACTGGCGGATATCTTGCTTCACGAAGTGGCCTTGCTTGATACCGCCAATTGTCCCAACCCGGCTAGGGTCCTTGTGCCAGAAGCCGTCTGCATTGAACCGGCTCTTAGGTACGGGCTCCCTGGCATTCCTCCCCTCCACGACCATATCCCATAGATTCCGGGGGGGAGTTGCCTCGCCGGGAAAACGCCCAGAGACACCAATAATGGCAATGTCAGATGATAGACTGGAGAAGTCTTGATCACCGAAGCCATTCTTAGCGACGAAGAGGTCGATGGAAGGTGCCATGATGTTTGCTTGTTAGGTATACAAGAAAGCGAATGTAATTGTTTCTTAAGTATGGATCAATGTATCATGGGAACTCATTCCATACCGGTTATCTTTCTTCCGTTGTCTTCAAGCATGAGCTGTTATTGCTTTATAGGTAAATCCTATAAATCATAGGGTTCTCCCTCCTTTTCATGCCGACTGATTCCAAATGAGGGTCTCACATAACAGACCTTGAATATTACAGAATCGCGACATCGCTATCGGAGCCTCTCGGCAGCCTCTCGGGAGGTTTAATCAATCTAAAGTATACGTCCGAAAGACTGAGATAATACAAAGCCAGCTGCAGAAGAAACGCTTATTGAAGACATGGTCTACGCTTGGCCGGACAGTTTTATTATTACTGCATTAGCTCTTAACTTGCCCACTGAAACGGTAAGGGTTTCAGCAGCCTATATGCCTTTATGTCACGAACCAACCACATAAGATCCCTCTGGTATGTACCTCCGGGTAAACCTCGGGCAAGACAACCAATTAGGACAAAGGAAATATATTTTTAGTAAGATATATACCTACTCATAAGATAAGACTGCAACTTTAAAGAAGCATTTTCATTAAGTATAATGCAACTTATATAAGTAATAACTATAAAATAACTTACTATATAAGACTGTTTATTATGCTTATTAAATATAACTTAAATAGTTAGTTGTTAATATAGTATTTATATAATAACTAGATTAAACCCTTATTTAAAGTTATTAGCTATATAACTAAAACTGCTTATAAAATCTTTTATATCTCTCTGCTAATATAAACCTAATATTAAAGGTTTATCCTTTAGGAATTAAGTTACCCTATACTAAATATAGGATTAAAATATTATATATTAATAACTTTTATTTAAAAAGATACTTTAGATCTTTTAAGCAATTTAAACTACTATAGTAACCTTAGGTAACTTTAATATCTTTATTTTTAATTTTATTAAGGATATAAATAGAGATATTAACCTTACTGGCAAACCTAACTAAAATAAGCTTATTATTAAGCAGCTTAAAAAACTTATTAAAAAACTATATAAAAAATAAAAAGCATTAGCCCTAGGAAAAAACATTAAAGTTACCCTTAAGCTTTAACCTTTACTAGTATATAATAATAAGCCTACTGAACTTTAATTATTTATTATATAACTTAAGGCTTATTTTTAAAACTTCTTTATTATCCTTAAAAAAGAAGAAAATAAAGTATCCTTTACAGTATTTTATCTTTTAAAACTTGCTTTTAAATAGTTTAAATTAATTTAAAATAATTATATAGAATATAACTTTACTGCTAAAGATATTACTAAAGCTATTTTTAAAAGTTTTAATAAATTTAAAAAAGAACTTAAAAAAGCCTTTGAGGATATTAGAGAAATTAAAATAGCTAAAAATAAACTTACTACTATTTACTAAAAAGGAAAGTATTTAGACTATGCTATAATATTTTAAGATCTAGCAACATGCATTAATTAAAGAGAATTAACACTTATTAAACAATTTTATAATAGACTTAAACCTAAAATTAAAAAAAAAGTCTATTAAATTAATTAAAAATAATATAATTTTTTATCCTTTATAAAAAAATGCATAAAAGTAAATAATTTACTATAGAAATTAAAAATAGATCTCTTTAAATAAAAAGGGAAATATTATTTAAGATTTTAAGTAAATTAAGGTAAAAAATAACAGGAATTAATTACTAAAGATAATAGTAGTATAGCTAGACCTATAGACTTTAATATAATATAAAAGAAGAAAAAGGAATTTAAATATTATAATTGCAGAAAGCTAAACTATATAGCCAAGAATTATAAATCTTTAAAAAAGAAATAATCTATAATCCTTAAGCTAAAAGTAATATATGTTATAGATAAAGGTAATAAAACTATTTATTTATTAAAGCAATTAGGATCTTTTAAAAATAATAATAACTATAACTTTTATAAATCTATATCTAAACTCTTAGATATATCTAGGATACTAAATGAAGAAACTAATAATAAAATCCCTGATTAATAACCTATCTCTTAAGTTAATTTTATAAACCTAGCAAATCTAGTTAAAGGCATTGCCCTAGAAAATAATAAAGACAATAAATAATGTAATTATAGACATTACTTTAAAGAAACCCAAGATATTATATAATATTATAAGAATTTTACCCCTGAAATTATAGCACTTAATTTATTCTAATGCAATATTATAGATAAAGCAAGTGTAGATATAGAAAATACTTTAATAGTGTTATATACTTACTTAAATAACTTATAGAAGTAAACTTTAAAAATATAGTATATTATTAAGGCTATTATTATTAATTAAGCACTTACCTAAGGCCTTAATTATAAAAAAATAGTTAAAGAATATAACTACATTAACCCAATATATTTACTATATTATTAAATTAGCTAGATTAATTATATTACTTATAGATATATAGAATATTTTAAATAAAAAGCTAAAAAGAATGTTTTTTTAATATATATCCCTTAGTGTATAATATTAAAACCCTATAATAATTTATACTGCTTTATATAGGAAGCTACTTAATAATATTAATCCCTTAAAACAGTTATTCTAGAATCTTTTAAATATCTAGATGAAATAAGCCTTTTTAAATGCACTAATTAATCTTATAAAGTGCATAAATTAAGAAAATTATAAAATTAGCATAAGTAAAAAGAAATTAAAAAAGTAAAGCTAAATTGCTAATAAAAAGAATTTAAAGACTATAATAAAATAAAATATTTATAATATATAAATAAAAAGATTAAAAACTGGCATTATTTAAAAAACTACTAAAGTCCTCTGCAAAAGGGCAGCAGAAGGACTTATAATACTTAAATATTATTAACTTAAAATATAATAGTAAAGAAAAAAAAAAGCACCTTAATAAAAGAATTATTTTAATAATATTACTAGATAGAAATCTGCTTAATATTTTAATAAATAGTGGGTCAGGAAGTAACTATATATTTACTATAACTATAATATACCTGCAGTTACTAGCATATAAAAAGAAAAAACTATATTAACTTTTCTATGCTAAAGGATAGACCTTTAAGTATAATAAAGGATAGATAAAGCAATAGACTAATCCCCTGCTGCTATAAATTAGTAACTGCATTATAAATATAGTATATAATATAATTAATATTTTAAAATATAACTTTATTTTAAAAATACTTTAGTTATATAAATATAAACCTAATATAAAATAGAGAATAGGTTAAATCTATTGGTGTAATAATAAAAGTACTTTAAATAAAATTAATGTAGAAACATTAAAAGAGGAACTAGATTACTAAAAGCCTAAGGTTTTCTTCAGCCCTTTAAATATCCTTCTTTAATATTATTAAAAAAGGGAGAAAATAAAATAAGTTTATATATAAAAGTATATTACTATCTTATGCTAAAAATTAATAAAACTTAATAAAGAATTATATAAGTTAAAAATAAAAAAACTTACTTTTAAAGAATAATTAGCATTAATTTTAAAACAATACTGGAAATATTAAAAACTCTTTAATAACTAATTAAAAAAAGGGTTATTACTGCATTTAAAATAGAACTATAAAATAGTGCTAAAAGAAAGAGAGTTACTAAGGTTTTATAAAATATATAACTTAAGTAAAGGAGAACTAAAAATACTTAAAGAATAAATTAAAATATAACTATAAAAAGAATATATCTATATATTAAAATTATTAATTAAATACTCTATTATCTTTATTTTAAAAAAAAATAGTAAACTTTAATTAGTTATTAACTACTGTAAACTAAATTAAATTACTGTTAAAGATAAAACCCTTTTACTATTAATTTTATAAATTAAAAATAGATTATATAGAAAAAAGTAATTTATAACTTTTAATTTTACTAAAGCTTATAAGCTTATATAAATAAAAAAAAAAGATAAATAAAAGACAGTATTTACTATAAGATATAAGTTATATAAATATATAGTTATGCTATAAAGGCTTATTAATGCATCTATATCTTTTTAAAAAAGAATAAACTATATACTAGGACTATACTTAAATAACTTTACAATAGCTTATATTAATAACATCCTTATCTTCTTAAAGACCCTTAAAGAATATAAGAAGTATATCTATCTTATATTATAAAAACTTAAAAAAGTAAAACTCCTTATTAATCCTAAAAAATATATTTTTTATTTTTAATAAATAGAATTTTTTAAATATATTATTACCTTAGAAAAAATCTATATAGATCTTAAAAAAGTTACTGCAATTAAAAAATAGCTAATGCCTATAATATTTAAAGAAGTATAAGCATTTCTTAAACTTGCTAACTATTATTAGAAATTTATTAAAGATTTTATATAAAAAGCTACTCTACTAATAAATATAATAAAAAAAGGTATTTTTTTTAAGTAGAGGGAAGAATAATAAAAAGCTTTTAAAGAACTTAAAACAGCAATAACATTAGAACCTATTTTTACTATATTTAACCTAGAAAAACCTATTATAATTAAAACTAATGCATTAGTGTTTACAATAGAAGGAGTATTAAGCTAACTTAAAAAAGATAGTAAACTATAACCTATTGCATTTTTCTTATATAAACTTTATAAACTAGCAATATAATATACTATATACAATAAAGAAATATTAGCTATTATTAAAGCATTTAAAGAATAAAGATATTACTACTATAAAAGTAAGTATAAGGTTATTATTCTTATAGACTATAAAAACCTTGCTTACTTTACTACTATATAAAAACTATTAAGCTAATAAGTTAAATACTTTAAATTCCTTTTATAATTTAACTTTAAACTTATTTATTATAAAGAATTAAAAAATAAATAAGTTAATGCATTAAGTAAAAGGGCTAATTATAAGTAAAAAGTACTTAAATATATAGCGCAAGTACTATAATTTAATAATAATAGAAATATTAAATAAGTATAAATTTATATAATATTTAAAGTTTTAAAGAGCAACCCTA